CATCCTGTACCTAGCATCCTGTACCTAGCATCCTGTACCTAGCATCCTGTACCTAGCATCCTGTACCTAGCATCCTGTACCTAGCATCCTGTACCCAGTACCCAGTACCCGGTGTCTATCGTCTATAGTCTACTGACTGTCCATCTACATCCCCTCTGCATACCCAACAGCATACCTCACCGCGTCCGAGATCCCAGCCCTGACCCTCCCCCTCTCCAGTTCCAACAGGGCATTGATAGTAATCCCCCTAGGAATCGACATGGCCTCCTTCAACCCTTCAATCGTCATGCCGTCCTCGTCGCCGCCCCGCACCAGCGTCGACGCGCTCCGCAAACATTGCGTCGCCACAGCCATCGCCACGGGCCGGGACACACCCGAGACGACGCCGCCATCGACAATCGCATCCACCGCCACCACCGCCAGAGCGTGCGTCGCCGCACTGATCGCCGTGACCGCGTTGAGGAGCCGCTCGGGCACCACGTGCATGGCACCCACCAGACCAAACAGCCATGTGACCAGTCCTTGGTCGGGGCCACTCAGATCCGTGTCCCCTGCCAGGAGGGTCGCGGACTCCTTGATCTGCGCGCCGATGCTGGGGATTGCGCGGGCGATGCGTGGCGGTGCGGGTTGACCGGTTTGAGCGGAGGAGGTCTCAGACTCGGCTTTTGACCCATCGCTCACACCAAGCCCGCCCGGTGAAAGCTTGTCGAGGATCTCCCGACAGGATACCCCCGCCAGGAGGGAGATGATCAGTTTTGGGCGCAGGATCTCGACCAGCACAGTGTCGCTTAGTACCTGCGCGAGTTGATGGGGCTGGAACGCGAGGATGACCACGTCGGCGTCACGGGCTGCGGTTGCATTGTCGGCCGTGATGACGTCGACGTGGTCTCTATATCTCTGGGAGGCGAACTTGTGGCGGAGTCTGTCGAGGGTCGTTTGAGAGGCGGCGCTGAGTGAGAATTTGAGATTATGAGTGGTGGTGTCGATGTCCTTGAGGATGCCGGATAGGACGGCCGTGCCTATGAAGCCTAATGGTGCAGTATGTTAGTTCCCTAGGTAGCAGTTGAGACGTGAAAGGGGCGCAAGTGTAACGTACCACAGCCGAGGATGGCGATGCGGAGGGTTCCGGGCTCTGATGGGTTTTCCCTGGGACTCATGGCGACTGTCTGCTGGGGTGAGTCTCTATGGAAATGAGTCGATAGGGTCGAACGGCTTTGAATAGTTCAAGTTATTGCGTTGCTTATCGATCTGCTCGGAACGACGTGCTCTTGAGCGAGGTTGCTGGGAAAGGAGACATGGATACCTACTGTGACGGGAGTGCCGACCGGATAGACGTCCACCTCCGGACCAGACCGGGTATGATCCCGGTATGATGCCCGGCCAGAGGCACTAGTCTATCTTGCGCACGGAGTACAGTGGCTTCTCGAACGACCTTTCAGGAGCAAGGATCTTGGGAATGAAGAGAGAGGTACGGTATTCATGTTCATACAAGCTCTGATACGTACTATACTATCGACCACTACCACAGTGCTGCTCGGTTGGCATCACTCCACAAGCCTCACGCTGCCCTCATTCCCACTGTCCAACTAGACCACTCTTGTCCTTTCCTAACACAGGATCATTCTCTGGTCTCGACACCTCCCAGACCTGCGCGTAATTGCCTGCATTCTCTCCACCCGTGGCAAAGTCCCATTGTCCTCCGACAGGGTACGCCCCTAGCATCGTAAAGCCGGAGGGTTCCAGTTTCTCCAGAGCGCCTCTCACGTCTGACGCTGGAATATCATGGCCGTTACCTGGCGTGAGGAGCTTGAATTCTGCAGACGGCTGGGTGTCGAACGTTTTGTGCGCCACACCGGCCGGGATGATGAAGACGTCGCCCGCCCGGGCTTCGATTTCGATGCCGCCACCCTCTTGGCCTGACCCATGAGTACTTTCTTCCAGGTCAGAGGCCGTGTCGGCCACACCGAATCGGATCGTCGCAGTGCCGGAGAGCACGGCCATGCACTCGTGGGTTGCCGAGTGGTAGTGTGATGCTTGGGTTTGGCCGTAGCGGAAGATCCATTGGACTTGCCACCCGTTGTCGGTAAACGAGTCGTAAGCTTCAGTGGTGATACTCTCTGACGCGGAGAGAATGCCCGGGTAGTGGAGCAGAGGACGTGGTGAATTGGGAATGAGACCAGTGGGTGGTAGGTGGTACTTTTTGACCACAACCATTGTGTGAGTCTGAGCTATGTCGTGCAGCCTCGCAGGATACCCGTGTTAGCAGCCAAAAGCGGTTTTGGACCTCGATGTGATACCCCGTGGGGAATGGAAATTTATCAGTGGGTGGGCGGAGTGATCAACTGAAGGGCGTGGGACAGAAGCGACGGATGGGATGCCGGGCAGCCGGGCACGGAATCGCCTCGGATCGGTAACTGGGATACGAGCAGCATTCGTGTGACTGTTATACGCGATATGTGGCGATCTCAGCCCAGAAAGCGCCTGACATTCTCGACCCTGTGTCCACGATGAGTCTCCCATCAAGGCACAGAATGATCGACTTACACGGCGAATGTCCCAGAGGATGATAACACGGTCCTTAGCAAAGTAGGACCAAGCCCCCGGAAGAACGCAGGGAACTTCCCACCCTTCCAGGTCTGCACCGTCGCTGTCCAAGCACTCTTGTACTGTCGATCTGGGCCGATTCCGTCGTTCTGTAATTTCGTCTTGATCACATCGAGCGGATAGCTTCCAAACCAGAACGCCACACCGGCCAACGCACCGCAAGACGCGACTGACCAGGTCGGCAGATCCTCACGCCTTTTCTCTCTTGCATCGGCCATCATCTGTATGCAAGCCTCGAACGCCACAAAGTAGCAACCGTAGGCTTGAAACTCACGCAGCACGGCAATGTTCTGGCCTTTGAATACTCCCTTGATCCCAGCCGCGCCAGATATCTTCCTCATACAATCCCACGGCCCGAAGTACAGTCTCCTGGTGCCGGCGGGTTGCATCTGAAGGCGGATCCGGATATGCTCTACAGGACCTGATACAATGCTGTTTGCGAGGCCCGCAGCTCCGCCAGCCAAGTAAAAGTCCAGGTTGGAAAGTTTCCGTCCATTTGAATGGGAGGATTGGTCTTTGAGACGTTCAAGAGCGTGCTTTGCGCTGTGAAACACAGAAAACTGTATGCTTACCTGTCTCGTCGTGAGTATTGCGCATGTACGAACTTCGGCCAAGCTTACCGCTGCTCCCACCCCCAAGAAAGGTAACAAGGCTCCCTGGTTGTAGTCAGATATGTGTCGTGTAGGGCACGCAAGCGGCTCGCTCACCTTGTAGAAGGCCAACGGCCCTTCATTCCGGAAGATATCGGAAACCACCCGAAGTGCGTTGCTCGAATTATGAACCTGGAGCCTCACTTTGATCAGGTCTGCATTTGGTGAGCAGCAGTATCAGCCGGGTCAGGCATCATTGCCTTCTCAGTAGCGACAACTCACCAAAAGGCTGGCCTAGGCGGTTCCTCTGTCAGGTGGAGATTTGCCCATACCATACTGGAATAATGCTCACCGAGAAGGACAGACACGACTCCTCCAGCGGCACCTGCCACGGCATTTGTTGCTGGAGCGCCCCCTAGATTTGTAGGCGAAGATGAAGCCACCATACCGCTAAGTTGTGCTTGTTCGTGATCAAAGACGTGGTCAGGAGGAGCCTTGCACGCTTGAGTAGAATATCATAGTATGGTACTCTGGCTTGACAAATGGTTATGTCCCTGTTGCACCAGGAAGTTCATCAAGTCAACATGTGTCCTCAATTTTCCGTGTTTCAAGCGCAACTATAGATGGCCGTTCCACGGCAGCCTGCGCACTGGTGTCTTCTGGACTTCGAGACAGATGGTATGCTGAGCCGAACCCCTCCCATTTCGAGAACCTGAGATAACTGTTCATCCGTCGGGGTTTGCCCGATGAGAGTGCTCTCGGTTGACCCTCATCTGTGCCACCGGGATGCTACCCGATCCTTGAATAGCCGGGGTTCTCAAGTGTCGGCCTATCCCTGTGGCGGTCCAGAAACCAGATACCGGATTTGGTGTTACCAGTCACACATAGTGATATGATTTGCTTACATTTGTTGTGACTATCCTATTGCCCTGGCATTATTGAAGTACCTAATTAACGACTTTGGATTGTCGCAGGATTCATAAGTACAAAGCGTCGCTTCTGCACATCAACAAGATTCACCTCAAAGTTAGGGCCCCAGAAATACGTTTCAGCACGATAAGATGCCGATAGACAAATCAGAACCTATCACTATCTTGGGGGCCGGCGCCTGGGGCTTATCGACGGCCTTCCATCTCGTCGAGGCTGGGTACAAAAACATCACAGTCTTCGATCGGGCATCAGAGATTCCGTCCCCCTATTCAGCGGCTTATGACTTGAACAAGATCGTGCGAGCCGAGTACGAAGACGAATTTTACACTGAATTGGCGCTTGTAAGTGTCTAGAAAGACGAGTTCTAGCATCGAGACTGATTTTGAATTCCAGAAAGCTATCAACCGCTGGAAGACGCCTCTCTGGGGGGCCAATTTCCATCAAGTCGGCTACGTGCTCGCCACGTCCAGCGCGGCACCCGCAAAAGCAGTAAAGCACCTGCAGGCAGCGCTTTTGTCAGTGAAGGACCATCCTGTCTTCGCCGAGGGGATCACGCCGCTAGACCACCCACAAGCATTCAAGGACATATATTGGCAGTTCAGCGGCCCATTGACCGGCTTCCGAGGATACCACAATAGACTGGCAGGCTATGCACATTCGTCCAACGCAATGGCCGATATCCACCGACATTTGGTCGGCAGAGGCGTCAAATTTGTCCTGGGCCCCAAAGACGGTAAAGCCGTGAAACTCCTTTACAGCGACGACGACCCCCGCTCTCCTGAGCGGCGATGCACGGGGTTCCAAGTCGCAAGCGGACAGCGCTACGACTCTCGTCGCACAGTCGTCTGCCTGGGCGCTTGGGCGGCAACGCTCATTCCGGATATCGGTGCTTACGTCGTTGCGAAGTCCTGGTCGGTAGCTCACGTTCAACTTAGCGAGCGAGAATGCGACTACCTCCGGGGCATCCCTGTTCTCAATGTCCGAGACCTGGGATTTTTCTTCGAGCCCGATCCGGCGACACGGCTCTTGAAACTGTGTCCTTTAGGTGCCGGGTACGTGAATACGGACAAGAGGATGCGGGTTTCGATACCTCCTAGGCAATCGGTCCCAGCCCCGAGAGACCATATCCCCGCGAGTGATGAGAAGAAGCTGCGACAGTTGCTGAGGGAGACTCTACCATGGTTGGCGGATCGTCCGTTCGTGGACCAGAGAATGTGCTGGTTCGCTGATACGGCCGACTCGGATTACACAGTCGATATCGTTCCGAACACAGGAGACTCGTTGATCGTGCTATCTGGAGACTCTGGGCACGGGTTCAAAATGATGCCGATTGTGGGAGAATGGGTGGTGAGGCTGCTGGAGGACGGAAGGCAAGCCCAGTCTCGGTGGCAGTGGAGAGGGAGTCCTGAGGGAAAGGGAGGCAAGGAATGGGGCGATGACGTGAGTTGGAGGATCGGTACGACGAGGGAGATCAGGGACGTTATCGACGAGCAGGATAGAGCCGTGAGAGCGCGCTTGTGAGCCCGGGGTTCTCGATAGAAGCTAGCTTGTGAATGCTGTGCGGATTTACTTCCCTTTTCCAGCGGATGTGCTCTGCTCCTCATGTGGAGGTTCTCCCGCCTGTTGTGTCTAAATCACACTGGTCAAGCAATGTAGCAGCGAGCAGGCATTGATGCGGAGAGGCACGCTAGATGAGCTTGGTCCATCCGTGGGTTCGGTGTAGGTAACGTGTCGATGATCACATTGCGCAGGACCTGAGACTCTCCCTGATAGATAGGCGAGAGAAGACTCCTCGGCTTGCCTCCCGGCACGACCTATTGGTAGGAGCCGATATGGGAAATAGACAACAATACCCCTCGGCGAGCCCTGTTGTCAGTCCTGGGCCGCTCCATTCCACAAGTGGTTCTGAATTCCCTGGATCTGCGGGATGAGCTGTCGAATGTTGCGGGTGAGATGAAATCCAGCGGATGTTCAAGCGCACGAATCTGTCACCCAATCCGCCGGGTTCGGGTTGTGCGTCTCGCCAATAGAAACAGCTCCCTGAAGGATACGCTACGGATACGATCCCGGAAACTAAGCTGGTAGATGTTGGATGGATCGTGGCGCCGAGTTCTGAGCCGGTATCATCATCGCCTCTCCGCATATCACTTGCAGTAGCTGTTCGTTGTCTTTACTCCCCATGACTCGGCAACGCTCATCCTCCAGCTTCGGCGGACATCTCCTCACGCTGTGAGTCTGGCATCAGAACTGGGGACCTTCTGCCGTAACGTAAGCACCGTGACATCTGCGCCGTTTGATATGGTGCATACGATTCTCTGCTCGTGGCTCGTGGCTCAAATCCATGGGCGGATCCTGAGAATCGAAGACATGACCCCGCGTGGGATCCAGGCTCATGGGGCTGCCTATCTTGACACAGTACGGGACATCGTACCCTGTGTCACTACTACCCCGGTTCTCAAGCCGAGAAGTGCGGTGCGGTCTGTGCCAATTCCTGTGCCATAATAACGTGGCGCCCACTTCTTTGTCCTCTGAAGATGTAAGATATGGTCGGGTAAGAATAACATGGCTTCGCCCGTTGTAAACGCTGCTTTCAAGACCCGTGCGAGCATTCGACGGATATTTAACACTAGGGATTCCAAGCAACGCAGGCTTCAATCATCAACCACGACTCATACATTCGTTGACAGCAGAAGGGGCAAAGAGGAGTCGGTTCTCGTTCCCGCAACGCCAGAGTCTGCTCCCTTTTCGGCACCTCCACTGGCGCGACTGTCCACAGCAAGCATTCTTCGGACATTGGTCTTGAGCGCTTTCTTCACGACCCCGTGGCTCTTCAAACCGGGTTTGGCCGTGTTTGAGAAGGTCGCCAATTCGCAGTCCGCGTGGCTGAACCCGGACCGGAATCCCCTGCTGCGGACGGCGATCTATCCCCTCGTTTACAAGCAATTTTGTGCTGGCAGGAATCAGGCTGAGATCGCGCGAACGTCAGCGGAGGTCAGGAAATTGGGCTTCTCGGGTATTGTGCTTTGTTACGGGAAAGAAGTGCAAGTCCGTGGCCAGGCGGACGAATCTGTAGGCCATGCCACTGTCAAGCCGAATCCCATGGACATGGAAATTGACCAGTGGGCGGATGGCAACATCAAGACATTGGACATGGTTGGACCAGGAGATTGGCTCGGTATCAAGTAAGCCGTTTGCCCAATTGTGCCATTGTGGAAGTGGCAGCAAACACTAACACAGCGCAGATTCACTGGAGCGGGAACGAACATCACAAAGGTGCTCATGGACGGTGGTGAAGCTCCAGCCAGGTTCGTCGAGGCCATGGACAGGATTTGCGAGTATGCTGCCTCCAAAGGTTGCCGTGTATGGATCGATGCCGAGCAGCAGATGTTGCAGGCGACCATTGATGAATGGGCATTCGACTTGATGCGTCGATATAATCGACCTGGCCGGCCGGCTCTGGTATACAACACCATCCAGGCGTATCTGAAATCAGCGCGAGACAAAGTGCATCACCAGTTGGAGCTTTCTCAAAGAGAGGGTTGGCGGCCGGCGATCAAACTTGTCAGGGGAGCTTATATCGCCAATGACATGCGTGCTAGGATCCACGATACCAAAGAGGATACCGATGCGTCGTACAACGGTATTGTGGAGGATCTCCTCCGCGGGAATTTTCAGGCGCAAGGCGACCACCACCAGAAACACCACCACACAGAAGAGATCGATCTTTTGCTCGCAGGCCACAATACCGAGACTATTCGGAAAGCAGCTCGGCTGGCCTCCGAACTTGCAAGACAATCGAGGTTGAAAGTGCGACTGGAGTTTGGACAGCTTCAGGGCATGGCCGATGACATTGGTTGCGAGCTCCTTCAAGCCGCGGACGAGGTCAAGGAGGACAAATTGTTGCCTACGGCCAATACCTATATTCCCAGGGTGTACAAGTGTCTGACTTGGGGCAGCATTCAGGAATGCATGCAATACTTGGTTCGCAGGCTCATTGAGAATCGAGGCGCGGCTGAACGAATGAAGGTCGGCGCGGCAGAATTTAGAAGAGAGCTCTCGCGCAGGGTAGGCATCTGGTCCTAGAGGGAGACGTGCAGTCGTATAGCATTAGTTTTGGAAACCTCTACTGCCATAATTAAGTGAACAAACAGTGGAAAGTGAGACCTCAGAAACGCCAGGTAGAAGACTGACTGGCAGCCACTGAAAACGGAGATTCGACACGTCATGTCCACAGCACTTCATGTTGAGCAGTGTCAGAAGTAGCACTCATCTGATTCTCGGATGCATGAGGAAAACATATGAAGCCACTGGAGCTTGCTCAGAGAGAAGATTGAAATGTTGAGATTGGAGTCAAACAGTGACTTTGCGATAGGGCGGCGCTCATTTACCCCGCCTCTGGCTAGCCGCGGCACGCCAATGCGGTGCTCCCATTCGCCAAGGTCCCTTTTTAGCTAGGCTTCCCTATACTGCAAACTAGGCCTAAAGGGTACTAACGAGTTGGCGATTCACCAGGAACAAACCTTTGTGGCGACTGCATCTCTGACTTCCCTTTCCCATTGCTGTCACAACAAAACAGAGCCTCGAGCCTCCATTCGGTGATGTACAGGTATCATGCCTTGTGGCCACCAGATGGCCCGTGCCAAGCGCAACTATGTTCCCAAAGTGAAAGGTGAGTGCGCGGTGGAACGGATCTTTGGACACGTTACTGACTTGCCTTTCAGGATGCTTTGAGTGCTCGCAACGCCGCATTGACTGTGATCGCACCCAGCCCAACTGTGCGAAATGCGTCGCCAAAGGTATAAACTGCAGTGGTCTCGGTCCAAGGTACCGCTTTGTCGACGACATCACCTCGAGTGAACGAAGACGCGAGGCACGAGAGACATTGCAAAGTCATCTGGCCTCACCACTTCCTGACGAGGACCATCAATCCAGAACGAAAGATACTGCACAGTTCTACACCTGCGCTGAGACCAAGACAGACATCGACGCTTTTCCCACCGATCATGAGAGGATGCCGACATCTAGCAATACGTCTAATGGCCGAAACGACCTCGATTTCCAATGCACCAGCCTGATACAGTCCGGCTGGGCGCAAGTGTCCTGGTCAGCCTCTTCATCTACTCCCCTGAGGTCGAACCATGAGCCCAGCCTCATCCCAACACCTCCATCTGACCTAATTGCAGCATGGCAGCGATACTGCCTCTTTTATTGTAAGCTCACCATTGTCTCGAACCGTCTGACCAAGCTTATTTTTCCAGTCTCAGACCACATTGCTGCAGAGCTGGTGGTGATTGATGATCACCAAAATGGGTGGCGCTACTTGATCCTCCCGATCGCCCATCTCGATGAACTGGTCAGAGAAGCAGTATTATCGGCATCGGTATTCCATTTCTGCGCCAATGTCAAGGAGAAAGTCTTCGATCCCAACATCATCTACGGCAATGCGATCCGTCGTCTGCGTCAAAGACAAAATCTAGAGGTCTATGATACAAGCGGCAAGCAGACAGTCTTGCTGGCTCTTCTCGTGCTCCTTGCAACCGTGATAGTGAATGGGTCTTCCGACTTCCCTACCGTTTTCAACTTGCTCGAGGCCGCCCTTACCGCAAGTGGAGGCGAAGCAGCAGTTGAGGTAGGTGAATTGGGGGTCTTCCTGGTGAGGCAAATACGGAAGTACGTTATTGCAAGGCCCTTTAAGCACCACCACTGACACCAGCAAAGATTCCGCGGCTATGCTGCACCCTTTCTCAGCCAGGAGCGAGGAGTAACTCGTCTCAGCCTCACGGCTTCAGGTGGCCAAGAAGCCGCTGATGGTTGGGACTGTTTCAAATCATACTATGCCCTCCATCCAGAGTATAATCAGCAAATGTCTCTCATCTACGACCTGAATCAGCAAGCATGTGATATCTATGTCACTCGAGCGTCAATGGGTGTGAATGGGCTGCCTTCGTCTGAACCAGTGGCTAAGTTCATCCGGACTCTCGAACTGCTTCCTCCGAGCTCACCAGGAGAGCATATCCTTGTGTTCGCAATCTTCATCGTCGCATCGGAGAGTGTTCTACCTGAACACCAGCAATATTTCACAAACGTGCTCTTGAGGCATCACCAGCGTAACGGCTTCGCTAATATTCTCACCGCCTTGGAACACCTGAAACGAAGTTGGTCCGAGCGGAGTACCATACAGGACTGGACGGAGCGCCTTCCCCAGATGCAGGTATTCATTGTATGAAACAGATGACTGAATGGCTATAGCTCCGACTTGCGGCATTTCCTCCATCAGCTCTTCGTTTCAGACTGGCTGTCCACAGCCGGCTCGGAGCGCCTGCGACGATGGGTCACTCGTGTGGCATCCAACAACACCCCCTTGCTTTTCTCATGGTTGAGGCCCAGTACTTCTTGCTGCTGTGAACCCGAACTGCATGACGGCGAGCCAGTCTGTCAACGCGACTACGGATGATGTCACCATCACACGGGTTCTGAATGGCTACGAGGTTGATCTCACTCTCGGCGGCTGAGTAAAGAGATCAGTACTAAAGGACGAATCAACGACGAAACTGTGTTTTCTCTTGCTGAAGTGTCCTTCAAGTTTTCCAGAGTCAGGCTTTGACTTCGAGCCTTCACAAGGTTAGGCAGCAACCACAACAATCAATGGGTCGGACTCTCTCGCGAGAACCCACAATACTACCACGATCTCTGATGGTGGTTGCGATTCCACCAGTCACATTTGCGAAGCACAGTCAACATCCGGTCCGCCACTGCTTGAAGCCGTATCGCGCTCCTCTGCGGCTGTTCTCCTGTTGGTTGTCCCTCGTACTCCAGCTTCACCATTGTCAATATGCACGCTGATGCTGGCCGGATCACATCCGATCTGCAACCGTCATAGGTGGAATATACCTCGCATGGCCAGCATGGTCGATTGAACCGGCGCTAGCTCTCATTTCCCTTGCCGGATTCGGCTAGCCGGAACGTTGTTTCCTTGCGGGGCGATTGCCAACTCGAGCGGAGAGAGTCTCGATCGCTCTAACTTGCCCTCCCTCTCTCCTCCTATTTCTTGATGCGAACAATCGCTAATTACTCAAAGCTCACGTATGGTCGGATGATCTGCCGGCATATGTCGTTTCGGGATCCCGATCGCAGTCGACTTTGTTCGAGGGAAGAGATTCCCAAATCCAGTAATGATTCTGAGAGCGCATCGCTTCCCAGAAGCCCTATCTTATCCTCCGAAGTGGCGAAGAGGCCTCTTCTCAATGAGCTGCATCTAGCGGGGTACTCGTGGTGTGGTATGCATACACAGCTGATATATATCTCGGGCAGGCTGCAGCATGGATGAGCTCGACAAGCAATCCAGCTATTGCCGACTGACGTAGCTTGACCCCCAAACCTAGACAATCTGATTACTTACTACCCATCATGGCATCCACAATCATGAATTACCTCGGGTTCGGGGCTCGTCCTGCTGCGGAGGACAGCGGGAGCCCTGTCCGAGCACTGCCGTCGAGCTGGTACACCTCGCAAGAGATGTACGAGCTGGAACGACGGGCGATCTTTTCGCGGAAGTGGATGCTCATCACGCACCAAGTCCGACTTGCTCAACCTGGCGACTGGCTCAAATTCGACGTCGCCGGCTTTGAATTCATACTGTCCCGCGATCGAAAGGGGAATGTCCATGCATTCCACAACGTGTGTCGGCACCGAGCCTTCCCCGTCGTCGAAGGACAGCAGGGGACATCCAAGATCTTTGCCTGCAAGTACCATGGCTGGTCGTACGGGCTGGACGGGAAGCTGGCAAAGGCGCCAAAGTACGACGAGTTGGAAGATTTCGACAAAAGCCGCAACGGTCTGTTTCCAATCCACGTGCACGTCGACACCAATGGTTTCATCTGGGTCAATCTGGACGGCCGGGAGAGACCCGAGGTGGTGTGGGAGGACGACTTTGTGGGCATCGACATGCAGGAACGGTTCAAGCAGTACAACTTTGACGACTACGTCTTTGACCACACCTACCACATGGAAGGCGCGTTCAACTGGAAGATCCTGGCCGACAACTTCAACGAATGCTACCATTGTCCCACGACGCACCCGGACGTGCCCACGCTAGCGGACATACAGACGCACGAGGTCGACACCGCCCGCGGATGGATCACCCACAAATCCAGCCTGACGGAGGAGCAGGCGAAGAACGGTCTCGGCATCAGCAGCACGTACTACTTTCCCAACGTCTCACTGTCTGTCCTGTAAGTTTACACCTTCGCACAAGCAGTCGTCGTCGTCATCGTCGTGTCAGCGCAGGGCATAATGTAAGCATATAAGACTGGAGAATTTTAAGCTGACGGGGCGGCGCGACAGCCCCCATTTCATCATGCTCCAGAGATTCCTGCCCACCGGTCCGACCAGCTCGTTCATGCAGTACCAGATCTTCCGCAACAAGAAGTCGTCCGAGGAAGATTTCCAGCTCATCAACCAGATGTACCGACGGATCGTGGGCGAGGACAAAATCCTCTGTGAGCTCGCGCAGAAGAACCTCAACGCCCGCATATTCGTCAACGGCGAGCTGCACCCCCGGCTGGAGAAGGGCCCGCTGTACTTCCAGAAGCTGGCCCGGGAGGTCGTGCGGGCGCACCACGAGCGCGAAAGAACGGCCAAGAAGGAGATATGGCCCGCCCGGCAGAACTTGCCGGACTCTGCGGCGACGAGCAGGGAGGACGAGGAGCTATGCTCGGGTCTGGCGTGTCAGACGAATCAAGCGGTGCTGGCGTGGTAGTGGTACCAGTGGTGGTGGTGGTGGTAGAGGTTGTGTCGATGGACCTGGAAGGGAGGGAGGAATTGACCCGAATGTTCTTGTCAGATTTCCATTCCTTCATGTCGCATTACTGACGTACCCTGTTGGGATTGGTTTGGGTTTTCGGGTCCAAACTGGACTTGACCATGACTATCGCAGCACTGTAGGATATATCACTATGTAATGTCAATGTACGGCGTACAGATGAGTCGGACAAAGACCCACTCTCTCGAACGGGGAACCCCGTACAGCTTACGGAGTACGTACAAGGGGCGATAATTCCTTCATGGTGGATGGGTCGGAGGATTCTGTATTACGGATTACGGTAGGTAGCGACGGATGTAACCTTTGCACGGGGAGGAGAGTTGAGTGTACAGTACCACAGTAAGCCCGCACTGCCTCCCGTACCTATCGGAAAGGGAAGTCGTCAAAGTACGTGGCCCCCAAAGGGACAGTCATCACTGCTGAATTGAGTACTCCTTGCTCCGAAGCTCGAAGGTAGATTTTCCACCCTCTCTCTCTTTGTTTCCCCGCTCTCTACGGATGATGGACGAAGAAGAACTTGAGACTCTCATTATGTGACTCGGTCTCTTCGTCGATGGCCTATCTGTGGTATGAATTGGGAGACCCGTACCCGTATCCGTACCCGCTCCCCTAGTCCGTCCTGTGTGTCCGTTTTATTGCCCGCGAGGCTAATTATTGCTCGGACGAGCTCTCCTGTGGCGCGCGCGCGCGCCGTCTGAGTTTTCCAGCGCGCATCAGCGGCCGCAATGGCTGTGTTATTGAGTCGTCGTTGAATCATGAAAATGAAATGGGGGCTCTGCATCTATTCATGCTTGCCCGCCCGCCCAACATCCCTGGCGTCCGATATCGCCTCCTGTCGGGGAAAAAAAAACTACTCACACATGCTCAGCGACCATCTCCCTCGATTGCATCGCAACGTCCATGGCGAAGCTTGGCGCACTGCTCATCGCGGTCCTGGGTGGAGTGATCAACTCCTCCCGACTGGTGGCCCTACTGTGGCCATGGCGCCAGCCGATGCGGGCGGCGTCGACGATCTTGTGCTCGCTGATGAGTTCCTTGTTGATCTCGTGGTGGCGGATAAAGAGGCCGAGAATCAAAGCCACGCCGGCGAGCGCGGTGAGGAATGCAAACACGCCGTGGAAACCGGACACGTAGGCGTCAATGACGGCCTGTCGTTCTGGCGTGTCGCCCATTTGTTTCAGCACGAGGAGGTATGCTTCGGCGTTGGTCGCGATGTCGGTCGGCAGGCCCGTGTCCTTGAGCTTCGACTTCATGACGTTTTGGAACACCGACCCGCTGACGCCTACGCCGATGGCCATGCCGAAGCTGCGGAGGAAGGCGTACATGCCTACTGCGCGACCTTCGTCGCCGGGCTTGGAGACTGCTTGGGACGCCGTATTGAGGGCATTGAGGTTGAGTCCGTGTCCGACGCCGAGGATGATCAACTCGATAGCCCAGACTGCCGTGTGTGTGCTGCGGTCCCAGGAGATTGTGAGGCCCGTGCCTAGCGTTGTCAAGGCCCAGCCGATGGCGATGGCCCAGAGGTATGTTCCAGTTCGAGTGATAGCAGCGCCGACAATAACGGAGGCTGGAATCAGGGTAAGGAGGATGGGGAGGAGGGAGACACCGGTGCGGATTGGAGAGTACAGTTTAACGGACTCGTAGAAGAAGGGAATGTAGTACAGTTGTGCATAAAGCTGGAGAGGTAAGCCCTTAGTGTCAAGGCGTAACGACGAAGGAGGACATGACTTACCACAAGCCCCTGAACGAACGCGCCGATGTAGATGCCGTGAGCTGACTTGACGTGGAAGAGAGAGTGTCTGAGGAATGCCTCCTTGGCGCCAAATCGCTCGTAGATCATCGTGGCGATAAGTCCCAGGATCCCGAGGATCAAGGGCACAAGCGTCCTCCAATGGTTCCATGGGTAGCTCGTGCCACCCCAAGAGATAGCGACGAGGAAGCCCGTGGCTGAAGCGATGAAGAGGAAACCCCCAATCCAGTCAACACGGCTGAGCATTTGCTTCACGGTGGCCTCGGGACGCCGGATCCTGATGAACAGAGGGATACAGACAAGCCCGATGCCACAGAAGGGCAGCATGATGTAGAACACCCAGCGCCATTGATGAGGATGGGCAAGAGCACCGCCAATGATAGGTCCAACGACGCTCCCCAGCGCCCAAGCTCCTTGCCTTCAGTACCTATTAGCTGATGTCCCCAAATACACATGGTAGTAGGGATTCTTACAGAACACCAACATATTGTGGTCGGAAGCGAAGCGGGACGATGTCGGAGAAGATGACCAGAGAAATGATGATGACGCCGCCACCACCGATACCTTGTAGACAGCGGCCAACGAGCATCAGGCCAATACTGCGGGCGACAGCACACAGTATCGTTCCCACTGTAAAGCTTACAACAGTGATGAACAAAGTTTGGGGTCGGCCCACAATGTCACTGATTGAGGCGGTGAACGGCATGGTCACGGCGACTACGAGGAGGTAAGATGTTCCAATCCAGAATCCTTGAGTCGCGGTGGCGTCCAAAGCTTGAACGATTGTCTGAACCGCCGGTCAGCTGATGCCGTATTCCTGAGAGAAAGCAGGATAGGGACGTACCGACAAAGAGGTCACAATCACAGTAGCATCCAGCGAGACCATCAGGGAGAGAATGGCCAGAGTCACCATGATCATGGTCTCTGTGAAGTTTGGTTTCCATTTGGGTATATCCGTGCCTGTGAGTACACCTGTCTGTCGGTTACTGTGGCTATCGCCGTGTTCCTTTTCTGTGCTGCGCATGTTGAGCGGTGCTTCGTGGGTCTTGGGGAGAGGCTCTTGTGGTCTGGGTTGCTGTAGGTCCGACGAGAGACTGTCTCGCGGCGTTTGCTGGTTGAGGTCAATGGTGGCCATGGTGGAAAACGGGTCGACTTCAGCATATAATATGCTCGTGGTGCTGGTGTTTGACGCTCACGGCCACATGCGCAGTCATGGTAATCGGTAGCAAACCCTAATTATCGCCACAGCCATACTCCGTACTGCGGTAAGCCCTACGAAGGGACTCCCAAACACAGAAGAGAGGAGGAGTACACTGCCCGCAGATGATCGGGATGAGCTAACATTCACTTCGTCGGAGGGGGGTGATGAGGCTCCGAAGTGACATGTTGGATCGCGGGCCGTGGGCCGCCCAGCAAGCTCTGGCCCGCGTGCATCCCCTGAGCACTGGGAACAGAGGGCCCAGTCCTTGCTTCACCTCGCTTCCGTGAACGGTGAAGATGAATGTTTGCCATGCGGAAATGTGCTGGTGGGGATCTGCACTTTGTGGCTGCACTAAACCTGTTAGGGCCACGTTACGCGAGATGACGCACGGCTCGTTGTTTCCTACCATGGGGCTAAATTGAGCCATCATCTCTTAGCGTTGAGTCTAATAAGCCTTAGAGCCGCAACGGCGTCCCTGGTTAGTCTGCAGTAAGAGACTTAGCCACGTGTGCTATCTGGGCCTTGTGGCGATGGTACATCAGCTTTCTCGCAATAAGAATGGAAATGGAGCCAAAGATGAGTAAGCCCTCAGCAACAGCCAGAACAAGGCCCTCACAGAGCTTACCACAGGACGCTCTGCCCTCAGGACCCGATTCCGAGCCCGAACCGCCTCGCGAAAGTTCGGCTTTCGAGCTGCTCCTATTCTGTCAATATGGATCGGTGGCGCAGCATAGCTCGTCGTCCGTCGGACACTTTCAAGTTTGGACCCGGTTAAATCGTACTCGTACCAATATCGCACTACCCCGGAGATGATTCCCATGGTCGGGACATCAACCCTCCCTGAACTCCGCCAACTGCTCGAGGTCGATCTCCGGTTGCATCCCTTATCCATCGGAACGTGGTCGAGTAATGAGAGCTCAACTATCCCCAGACTTTGAGTTTGAGCTCATCTCATAGTCACAACTTCAGCGCCCTGCCACGTTTTCGCAAGTCACATACGCGGTGCATTTGATTGAGTCCCTGGACGGTGACCCAGCTGCTGTGTTGTGGTTACCCGACAATGCACGGACCATAACTATGTGTCTACTATCGATAGTAATGCCTGCAAGTGCGTCCGCGTTCGGGACAGCGACCAACCAGCATTCGCCGTAAACGTGGGAAGCGTACACGCGAAACCTCGTACTATTGTAAACGGTCGTGGCTTGGTACTGCATTCCTCGGCAAGTTTGTTCAGTATACTGAGTACTCCGTACGAGTACCGACTATCTTGAACCCATTTATTACCGCTTCCGGTACAGAGTCATGAGAGTACAACGTCCAGCAGCCTCTTCTCACACCACTTGCAGATCACCCAACCAAGCTCACGAGGTTCGGTAGCTACTGAGTACCGGGTATACTAGTCAACACGGAGTGGTTATCCCCACCAGCCACGCGCAGCCACGCGCAGCCATGCGCAGCCACATTGCGGGTTCGGGGGAAGTAAGCCCGTCTAAGACCGTCCCACACCAAGCCTCCCGTCGGGTGCCGTCCGACGGCCTGCCACCACAAGTACCAGGGTACAGTAGATAGCCCCCACCGCGCCAGAATGACCACTTCTCGTGGAGTCAATGCCTACCAGGTAATTACTCGAACTTGCCATCAGGCTGCTCGTCTCCTTCCAGTGACCACTCCTCGCCAGCCGGAAACTCTGTGGTCCAGCAAACAAGATGCCGAGCCCACAGTCGACCGCATCCAATGTAAAAAGTGTTCCGTACTCGCTGAAAGGTCCAAGATGCTCCCGCAGACAATAGTCGTTGCTTCGCGTGATTTGGAGACCCGGCCGAATCGAGAACAAAAACAAATCTCGCATACACAGTAGATCGCGGCTCGAGGCTGGCCATGAGATGAGTTACTATGTTTGTGGCCAAAACGTCGAAGCTGGGGAACATGAACCCTCCCATTTTGTTCAATAGTAGATCTCTCCCCGATGCGGCGGCAATGATTAGCCCCCCTGAGATCTGCGGCCTAGTGTGTCGGATAGCGTGCAGAATGGTGTGCACCGTGGCATTCTGTGAACGCATGTTTGTAAGTACGAGTACTCCGTAGAGCTCAAAATAGCCCAGCTCTGCACTCCGTATATGATGGCAGAATCAGATAAAAGATCAACGGGACAAAGTCAGACAGATACTAGGAGATGTTTACATGTCTACCCACGGTGCACTGCGTACTCGTACTCCGTATCGTAGAGAGCACAGGCCCGCGGCTGGCTTATACTGACAGTAGAGCTGAACACCGGACGCTTTGGGATTTGAGTCACGGCTTTCCCGCTCGGTGACGAGGCTCAAGAATTGGCCAAGGTCGAAGGAGTGGATAAGCGAGATTCGGCCATGCGTCACAAGGATTACTGTATCATTCATGGGCCCAGGGGCGAGTTACACGTCATTTTTGTCTGCTGTCTCCGTACTTCACTCGCAAACGGCTCAGCGAGGAAGATTGGCTTCGGTCACCGTTTAGGCTTCTTGGGCCCCCGGAGGACCCAGCCATCTTGGGCTGACACGGATGTGATCGTCGCGTGTACACAGTAATGGTCAGAATGGCCATGGCTGCGTGGGATCCAGCGCAGTGGTTCGCTCGATGGTCCGTACTGTATACAATCGAGTTCGGCGAAAATCGACCTGTCGCCGTACGAGTTACAAGGGCCACTTTCACGTGAAATTCGATATCGAATCCGCGACAAAGAGGCTGGCCGGGTCAGGTTAGACGGTCGGCATACGATGTAGTCCATACTAGAATAAGGACTTTCCTAGGGACACAATCCCATTGCCAGACGGGGCCACCGAGATCAACGATTGTCCAACCGGGCTTGGAACTGTCGGAATCAGGCATCTGTCAATTATTGCCATGACATACGGAGTACGGAGGACAGAGTGCCTCATCTGAATCGAGGCACCGCAAGATGACCGAACCCAGACAGGATGACCAGGTGAAACATCTGCACCCCGCAAACCTGGGTACCCAAGACTCCGGATTGCGCTAGCTAAGGCTCCAACCACGTCTGCTTCATCTCGGCTGGGAAAGGATTGCTTGGCCGTTTATGCAATACACTTACTATCGCTTGCTGAACAGTCTCGGATACGTAATCTGAGGTCGACATATCACTGTCAGAAGCGTCGAAAATGCCTCTTGCTCGGACGGTGTCTGGGTAATGGGACTGTTGTCCAGGCGCTCCCATCGACAGCACAATTCTCCACCATGGATTCTCTTTCTCTCTGATCTCGAAGGACTGGCATCCGAAGCAGCGCTTCTCCAGGAAGTGCGAAGCTTCGACAGTACTTTGCACGGTCATAGACTCCTCCACACACATCGCTCTTGGTATCCTGTTCGTGTTCTTGCTGACAAGGATGCTGCGGAGGTCTCACAGATGGCCTGTGACGGAGGCGTTGAGATGCATCGGCAGTGGACCAATTTGGCCATGTAGGTGGTAATTGTTACGACCACCAAAGCCGAGTTCGCCGCCTCGACCAAGCTGATGTTTTCTTTCATTCACTCGGACATGTCCCAACCTTCGGCGGCTCGAGAATTCTCAATTCTGACAGCTCGACGAGTTTCCGTCATGGGTGGGTTTCCCAGCAAATCACATGCCTTAAGGCCAGCAAGCGAACATGACAAACAAGCTTGATATAAGTGGCCTTGTATGGTGACTGAATATTCATGTTCATACCTGCGTTCCATTATCAATATCAGCTGAGGGTCACATTCGGGGAAACTGGCGAGCCCGTTGGGAGGCGCTGAAGATATAGTTGGTCTTCCATCCAGCGGAACACTCGCGCCGATCCCAGTCAGCTGGCCTGCACCAAGACGCATCCGGCGTGACTGAAAATGGAGCATGTGATGAGGTACTAAAGCTTCGCCCGTTTGCCCAGATGGAGGCGCACAGGATGAAGGGAGTCGATAACTCTCAAGCCTGGGCTGGCTTCTCCACGTTTTCAAGCTCTGAGCCCGAGTCCGCTCTCGAGGTTTCGCTTGGCTCTCCAAGGTCGTCCATCAGGAGGTCTGTGCCTTTTACATCGGTATACTGGTCAAGGGGCCGAGGGCTGATATGGTGTAATGCCAGGGAAATCTGCGGAATAGTTCTGGGACCTCCCTTCTCCCTGGTCGCGAAAGTTATGTATGCTTTCGTGTCTGAGATAGACCTATCATTGCCGGTTCATTTGTGTTGTTTTTCGTCTTTCTTGGCTTTTGCTCGCTCCAGTCGCTCCAATTCTTCGCGCAGGATCTGCTCAAGGCCTTCGTTTCGCCTGGTAAGAAGCATGACGTCGGCGGGTTTGATGGAGGTCCTTCCCGCATGTTTCGAAAACGACTCCAGATCGACGGCGGTATTCCCTGAGCAACATCCGATGTCAGTACTTCCGAAGGCTTATAGATACGACAGGCGCGATGTGACGTACCGATTTGAGCCCATACAAATTCCATCAAACTTCCAATGAATTGAGGGGTTGCATTGACTCCAAGGTTAATGCTCTCTTCATCGACCATCTTTCCAACGTGAAACCACAGGGCAGACCGTAATTTCTAGGTGGATGGGAACCGGTCAGCAGGTCAGAACATCCTGCGACCATCGAGATGTCTCAATGAGGCATGAGTGACTCCAGGTGGAAGACGGTCCCCATCAGATTGCGACTCACCTTCTGCAGCGCCTCTGGTTCTGCCTCTGTATCTGAAGCCATAACATGCGGCGGGACGTTTCGCCTGAGCGAGGATCACTCAAGCGCTCGAGGCTGAAGCGGTACGCTGAAGGATGGGAGAAAAACAGCAGCGGAGGGGGTAGGCGACGCGTCAACGCGTAGACGCGTGGGAACGATATCAATTTCGACGGACCATTAACTACGGGGACGCACTATGGCGGAGTGAATAGCCACCCAGATGAAGGGGGTGCTGGACAGGGAATCGAGGATCTTCTCGACGTGCTCACCTCAGACTCTTAACCGTCTTTCCCACAAAAACTCGTAGTCTAGCATTGCCGCTGTGACCCAAGCCTCAATCTTCCGTGCCTCTTCTTCTCCGAACTCCTGGCTCCATTTCCGCACTTCCTGCCTCATATCTAAGCCTGCTGCAACCTTGCCATCTCGGATGATACCAGCTGACGACAGCAGGCTTGACTTCATCTTCCTCTCCATGAAATTCATACTTGCTTCTTCCTCGGCGCCGGCGCGCTCCCATTCAAATCGGCACTTCTCTGCGTCGAGCCCCACTAGCTTGCAGTATGTGGTGATGATCTGTGGCTCGAGAATGATGTCGTCCGCATCCAGAATGATGGGACGCAATGTTGTGTTTCCCTCCTGCCACTCCTTGTTGTACCACTCCCATAGCTGACGACTCCATCGCCATGTCATCTCTATTCGGAACATTCCACCAGCGTTATTCCTGGCTTCGTCGCGGCCTTCTAGGTCTACAGAGGTCCTGTAGAGGGACGGAAATACCAATGCCGGATGCCGGATCAGGAAAGTTGGTGTCCAGGTACGGAGAAAGCTATCAGGAAAGACAGTCTGGTTCTCGATGACCGTGGCCTCCTTGTCCTGCACGCCGGCTTGCCTGTGATTTGAAACGTAGGATGCAGCTTTGGAGCCTCCCTGAACGGGCGTTCCTCCGGGGACTTTTACTTTCCAGAACCGGCTCTCCAAGTTGCCACTGCGCTTTACCAAGTCTTCTGCTTGCGGAGAAAGCATCCACAGAAGATGCTCTTTCACAAAGACACTCCTCCCTCCCGCTTCCGCTTCTTCAAGGTGTCTCAACAGTCCATCTGCCGATGCTTGAAGACGCTGCATTGCTTCTGTACGTTCGTCCTCCGACCAGGACAATGAAGGCTGGTCGGCGAGCTTGATGCGAAGTGGCACAGTTGACACGAAAAAATACTCAAACTGGGCATTCCGTCCAGCTCCGTCATCTGGTCGACCTAGAGCAGGTTGGTTCTCCAAGTTCAGGATGCGGACCAGCAGATTTGAAGCCGTTCGCGGATGCGTAAGGAGGAAGACCCGCTTGTGTTTGGTGGTTGATACGATACCCGCCATGGCTTCCGATCGAAGACTCAACGAACTCTCCGTGTCTATGTCTCTTTGATTTGTGGTCAGTGACCTAAGACGTCCAACCATTGGTATATCAGGTCATCGTGCTAACATGCCTCGAGAAGTCCTCAATCGTCACCAGCTTACTAAGCCTAATACATGGCCATGGGTAGGTCGATGGTGACAAGCAAGCGAATTATCAGACCTAGATATTGCATGCGAATTTTCTCTACTCGAGTTTTTGTTAGGCAGTTCATCTCCACTCGCTGGAGCAGTCACGAGTACTAATTCACCCGATCCCAGCAACCGGAAGAGGACGTGGGTGTATTCTTTCCCCCGTCAGACGGCCAGATTCGGGCTCTGAGAATGCTGGAATTCCTGCCAGACCAAACCCGGATGTGGAGGTAAATGCAGTGGTACAGCAACACGGGGAAGCCACACAGCCTTTAGTCCCAGCCTCAAAGGTGAAATCTCCTTCGCGTCAAATGGAATGGAGCAGACGTGGTCGAGGACGGCAGGCAGAGACCTCCAGAGGTTCTACAACTCATCACAAGAAGAGAGCAATACCCGAGGTGCAGCAATCGCAGAGAAAGAAGGCCTGGTCGCCACATACTACAATCAGCACTTGTACCAGGCCCAATGGTTTGACTGAAAATCCTCGACTCCCCAGAACCCAGTGGGTGTTGATTGGGATCGTCAATGAGTTGTGGTCGCGGGTGGACCTCAGCAGATCCAGGACGGGAATGACCGGACTTCGTCCTCATCTAGATGATCGGCTTCGTCAGCATCGAACGAATACACCCACAACGTTAAAGATGCTTCCCAAGATGAGAACAGGACGTGTATTTGCGAGCGAACCAGAGCACCTTGGACATGCACACAAGTGGTTACAGAGGAGAGGCAAGCGAATTGTTGTTCACCTTTTAAACTACATGTATGTACTTATACGTGCGGGGCCAAACACACCATCCTCACACATACACTCCCCGGTCAAAAGTTCTCGCACATCAAATATATGGGAGTACCCTAATTCCCATACAAATTTGGCGATTTGGCGTGCGAGAACCTTTGTCGCGTAGCTGTAGGCAAACGGTACCGTCCAGACACCGTAGAAGATCGTAAGAAAAGCAGCAATGTGATTGAGGATACCGTCTCATGTGTACCGCGAGCTTATCGCTACAAGGGTTGCATCGATTTGAATGTCTTTGCAACTATATAGAACCGATGAGGCGAGGCCACAGCGGAGCAGTAATTCCGACCAATCTTCTAACCGTCAAGACCTGCCAACCGTCCTCGACATTCTCGCTACGAATATTTACTCTGTACACGTACCGTTTGCCCGACCATACATTCGCCGCAAGCAGCGCGTCACCTCTTCGACGAAAGAAAAGGCCCCTCCACCGTGAAATCGCCCCACGTACGCAGCACGCAGTACCGCCTCTACGAGTACTGTACACACGCACACGCACACGCACACGCATACCACACCACACCACACTTACCACACCACAGACTTACCACACACACACACACACACACACACACACACACACACACACACACACACACACACACACACACACACACACGATGTCCTTCTTCCCCAACCTGGCCGAGCACCTCGACTCGCTGCACGACGCCCTCCCGCCGTCCCTCCAAGCCTACTTCACGCGGCAGAACATCCAGCTCCTCCTGCGCGTCGTGGTCATCATCTCCACGTACACCCTGTTCCGACCTCACTTGGAGTCTCTGTTCCGTAAAGCCACGGGCACGCCGGACCAGAGAGAAGAGGAGATCAAAGCGCGGGTGGAGCTCGCGAGACAGCAGCGAGACGGAGTGGGGCGAGGTGCTGTGCCACCTGGCGGAGTGGGCGCGGGCGTGGGCGTGGTGGGCGGCCAGCAAGGGACGGTATACAGGGTTGTTTCGACGCAGGGGCGGGGGGACGGCAATGCAGCGCCGGCGCAGGGGACTAAAGGGAAGGCATCAAAGGGAGGCAAGAGGAAGGGCTGAGTTTGAATGTGCGTGCGAGTGTGTGTGTGAGTCTGTGCGGAGCAATGCAGGTGCCGTGCGAGAGCAAATGCGAGAGCCATGCAAAGGGGAGATTGATTGCGGACGGGTGCGCATCGATGGGGCTCCATGTGCTTCAATGGTATGCCTGACTGATCGATAAAATGGCAACATCGAGAGCCTCAATCTTGAGACGACGCGGACCGGCACGAGCGAGAGGGACACATACATACGGATACCAGCATGAAGTGGCGGTAGGGATCGGGGTGCCAATCTTACTCAAACTCGAGAGAGAGAGACGTCCAGCAGTGCCTGTCAGTAGATGGCAAAGCAACGCCGGTATATGCCACCACTATCAAAGAAGGCGAAAAGCACCGCCGATGTAGCTCGACCAGGCCATTCGCAACCCCAAGGATCGAACCCCGTCCATGAAGCCATCAAACAGAGGCGAGAGCGAGCGACGCACACCCATCCCCTGCATTACCGACTGATCATGCACGGCTTTCCAACCACGCACGTGCCAAAGTTTGATACATTCAAAACGTCAAGATCGAAGTCCGGATCACCCATCGATAACGCGTATTGTATGCAGTATTCGATCATGACAAGCAAAGGTATCGGCCCACGAGAGTACCACCACACTACCACGTGGACATCAACCTGGTCCTGAGAATGAGAACGTTTTATTCTATGCTACCGCAATGCAGTCTTAACGGTCTCAGTCAACTGATGTACCCCGTCTCTGTCCCAAGTATCTGTACTTTTGATCTGTTCGACGTCACTCACAACCTCCCTCTCTCCAAAAACCTCACCGGTACGTCGACGTGTCTGCTCCGCAGGTATTCCGCGCAATTCTTGCCCAAGAAGTCCACGCCCTGCAAGCCACAAATGTTAGCATCCATCAGTGTCTGTACGTACTCGGTACTGGGGCGGCGCGGCAATAGTACCGTCAGGGGTAGGGTCCAGGTCTACTCACCGCTGTGCTCGTGGCCCCCCTGTCCAGCAGATTCCGAAACAGAAAATGCACGGCCCTCAGATTGGAAAGTTCAAACCTTTCGATCTCGATCTTGGGCGTCCTCGTCTCGTCGTACTCCTTGCCCAGCAGCCGTTTCACCGTGTCGATGGACAACAAATTCCGCAACCAGACGTATTCGTCCTGATGAACGACCCAGAACCCGCAGTTACAGTCGCTCCCCTTGTCGCCGGAGCGGGCATGCACGATCCTCCCGAGAGGGACCCGCGTCGTGGGACCGAACCTGGTGAGGTCGATCTCCAGCTGCGTCGTCGGCTGGCTGGGCTGTCGCTCCGGGAACGTCTTTGTCAGTGTCGGCGGCGGGATCAGCGTCTCTTTGCCGCCAAAGTGCACCCGGTGGGATACCTTGGCCTGGTCGAGCAGCGTGACGTAGTATTCAAAGTACGGCTTGGGGATGCCCTGGCGGAAATCGAGGTGGAACGTGCTCCCAGGATAGCCTTGCATGATGTTGTCGATCACGGGACGGAGGAACTTCTGCGGCGCAATGTCGTTCGACTGCTTGGCCTGGGCGAAGACGCGAAACACGCACGTCGCCGCGTTCTGCGTGTCGGCATCCTCGCCAGGCGAGCCCAGCACGCTGAACGCCAGGGTCGTGAATTTGTCCGAGTAAGGGCTCAACCCTTTGCGGAGCTGCGCCTCCGTCATGCGCGCCTTCTCCGGGATATCCAGCCCGGTCATGAAATACCACGCCTCAGCCTGGAAGCCGCCGCGCGCGGTGAGTCCGACCTTGGTCGTCGGCGGAGGAGGCAAGGCCTTGACGCCACGAAGCGCCACCCGGTCGGCCGCCAGTTGTTCGAACCAGATGCCGTCCAACACGGCGGTGACGTCCGAGTTGAAGTACCACGGCCCCTGGATCTCATACAGCAACTGCGACGAGCACGTGTGAACGCTGACCATGCCGCCGGATTGTTTCTGCTTGGTGATGACCACGCCGCCGTCGGCGGCGATCTCGGCGATCGGGTATCCGATATCGACCCATCGCCCGTTCGCCTCCAGCGTCTTGAACCCGGAGAAGTTCCCGCCAACGACATAGTTGCTGCACTCGATCATGTGGCCCGCCACGAACGCGTAGGCCAGTTCGTCCAGCTGTTCGCGCCGCCAGTCGTGGAACCACACGGCCGCGCCGATGACCGGGGACGCATCCGCGACACGTCCACAGACCACGATCTGCGCGCCCTGCCGGAAGGCCTCGGCGATGCCCATGCCGCCGAGGTAGGCGTGCGCGTAGATGGGCTCGAACTCCCACCTCTCCAGCACCTGACCGGTGTAGATGTTTTTGAACTTGGACGTCCCCGTCTTCAACCCGTCGTTGATGGCCGGGAGCACCTCGTCGCCACTGATCCACGCGACCTTGACCTTCCCGCTCAGACCCTTCTTCTCCACCATGTCGCACACGACGCCGTACAGGCCGCGCACGTCCGCGTTGCCCGCATTCGCCGCGACCTTGATCCCGTACCGCGCCAGGTCGTCCAACGCGGGCTCCAGCGCTTCCAGGAAGGAGGCCTCGAACGCCGGGCCCGCTCCCACAAATGCGTTGGCCATGTCCGGCGTGAGGTTCGAGGCGTCGACTTTGCGCGCCGCCCCGATCGTCATGTTCACCTCGGACATGTAGTCCGAGATGATCACGTCGACGGGGTCCGAGGGATATGCTTTTGCGAACGCGGCCATGGCGTGGCGTCGGTCAGACGCCGAGCCTGAAGCTCCCGCGATGCGGACTGCGCGGGAACGGGAAGACATGGCTGCGCTGATCGTGTTCGTGAAGCGTGAATGTGAGCGTGGGCAGCAGCGATCTTGCTCTATCGGATATTTGTTTGGGTTTCTCTTCCTCCTCTGCTCAAGACGATGTGGTATGTAGCCGCTGTGCGGGGAAAAGTACCGGAGTTGTCTGTATTTGTGTAGATACTCCTTCTCTGATGTGATGACTGGAATCACTGTCTGTTCGACGTCGTCAGTGCGCAAGTCCGTCACCTTGCTATACTGTAAGACTCTTCGAAGCACTTCGGCCTCGAATATCGCAGGTGGTTTACATCCCTGTGCGGTTGCAGTAGCCGTTGTGGACGGCGCTACGCCCGGGTCTCTCGCGTAAAGGAACAGTTGGAGAAACTGGCAAATTCCCGAGGTGTTTCGTGGTTCTACAGTATTGCTTGGGTCAGCCGAGGCTCAGCAGCGGTGCTACAGTACCTGGTTGTGCGATCGGTCGGCCATCTACCTCCCCACGGGGGGTAAGCATTAGGAGATAAGTACATAACACAGACGCCTCCAGGTGCATTAGACGGTGAGTAAGGAGAAACCTAGACTGCACAAGTTGAGGTGGAGGGCGTACAAGATGGCGAAGCTAATTGTTCAATTCAATGCCTTTGCAGAAGATCAACTCGAGTTGAGGACCAAGTGAATGGTGGGTGAGGACACGCAAGAAAGCAGTCAACGGGGACCAAACTGTCAATCGTGAGGCGACGTTTGACTGTCAATGATCGTCTTGTGTTGGTTCAATCACTATCGAATACCTAACACTTTTGGCTCCCGTGTCAGCTCAGCTCATACTGTATCAATCGTTGCCTAGTTCCACCAGCATCCATCGGGCATAACCCCACGAGACTACTGAGTCCGTGTGAGAGACAGGGAGTCAGAAAAGAAAGAGATTTCTCCCGGCGCGTCACCACCACCATGCTTGCCACGATCCGTCCATGCTCCCATTTCCTTGCCATGACTGCTTTCCCAAGCACATGCTAAATCTTACGTTGTCGTAGGTATCGTATCCTCACTCTCAACCAAAAAGCGAATGCCATATTGTTCGATCGTGTTGTACACAGCCGATTGTGCCAACCGGGTGGTAAGGGGTCATTGCGGAGGTGAAATAAAAGAAAACTTTTCTTCTGTGGTTCGACAAACACCCTCCCATACCGACGATGATGACGCTAAAGGTTCGACTTGCGCGCTGCTTTCAATGAATTGACAAAAGAAAACGTTGCTTTCCGCTACCCATCAGGAAAAGGCATTGGCCAAGGACGAAACGCCTGCTGCGCCGAAGTTCTTAGACATGCTTACTGCCTCCGCGTCAGTATGGTCCCATCGGGGAGGTAGGGACTGGACTGAAACCGACCTTCATCGGCGCATAGCTGCCGTACTGGTGAGCAGGAGGCATGCCGCCCATCGCACCAGGATAGATGGGTGGAGGCGGCGCAGGGCGGTATGGAGTGCCGGCGGGGCCAGAATTGTTCTGGCTGCGACCCCAGCTGAGGCGGACTCGAGAATTGCCAATCGGATAGCCTTGCATCTGGTTGATAGCCATTTCGGCGGCGTGTCGTTGGACGAATTGGACGAAACCACAGCCCTTGCCAGGCGGGATCTTGACGTAGGTGATCTCTCCGAATCCTTGGAAAAAAGAGCGCAGCTCGTCTTCGGTCACGTAGCCAGACAGACCTCCGACGAAGACCGTGGTGTTGTTCGGGTCGGTGAATTGATTCATGGGCTGCGGCTGCTGCTGCTGACCACCGTAGAAGGGCATAGGTGGTTGAGCCATTGGTGGATAGCCCATTGGAGCACCACCACCTGGCATACCCATATTCATGCCTCCCATTGGTCCTCCTTTGTTCTTGGGGGTCGCAGTCGAGATGCGCATCGGACGATTACCGCAGTAGACACCTTGCATCTCATTAAGAGCACGCTGCTGGTCGCCTTCGTCGGAGAAGCGCACGAAACCATAGCCACGAGACATGCCGGAAAGAGGATCGGTCATGATCTTGGCCGACTTGCACGAGGGGAAGCGGCTCTGGAAGAGCGAGACCAGAACGTACTCGTTGACTTCGGGGCCGAGGTCGCCGACGAAGATGGAGTACTCGGGCCCACGATCGTCGCGTCGATCGGCAAGACCGCCGCCAGAAGCCCAATTAAGCTTGAACGGACGGCTCGAGTTTGGCATCGGTTGACCGCTCAGTTGAAGAGCCTTGGCGGCAGCCTGAGAGGAGGAGAAATCGACGAAGCAATACCCGGCATTGCTGCTACCATGAGTTCAGAGACGTGCGAAGGAGGGGCGTGGCTCTGCCGAGACTTACCCTGAGAATTTGTCGCGGATCATCTTGACGCTGACTTGTTCACCCATTTGGAACCAGAGATTGCGGACAAAGTTTTCGTCAATCCACGGCTCAAGCTCACCCATCCTACAGGTCAATGTCAGCACTCGAGCATCACGACACCGCACCAGCATTCGGACCTACCAGAGAGTGGTCTTGCCATCGGCACTTTGGCCATTCTGCGGCGCCGCGTTCCCATCAGGAGTCGGGAAGGACATCTGCTGCGGAGCAGAGGGGTCGGTCGGCTGTCCTGGAGCAGGGCCATCCTGGGGAGGAGGACCTGCACCTGGAGCACCCTCTTGCTGGGCGTTTGGGAATTGACCGTACTCCGGGAACGACATTGTAGAAGACGGAAAATGAGATGACGGAATTGAAGGCTAAAGTAGAGCTTCTGTAAGATGAGTCAGATTCCGGGTCGAGAACTCGTGATGAACTGCTGCCTGTCACAAGACCACCGCAGAGGGCAGAGCAGGCGCTGAATATGCGTACCAAGCAAAGTCGTCTCGCGATGGACGATGATGAAGAGGATATCGAAGGTATTATGTGGACTTTCTGATAACTCAAACCCAACTTTTGTCGCACAAGAATATCCCGAACGGCAACTGTCCAAGGGAGGAGGGTACAAAGCGATCACGAAACGTCGATGGCGATGGAAGGTTGTTCTGAAGTCTGGGAGATAGATAGAAGTCAGCGCATCGAACAATTTCAAGATGAAAACCGCGACTGTGGGAAGGTAGTGAAGCTGTCGCTAGTGCGCATCGGCATCGTTGTGAAGGCTATTGATGACGAGGAGGTCAGGAAGGTGTCCGCAGCGGGAGCCCTGTGCAACCAGGTCGGTCGTGATGTCGTCGTGTGTGCTATTCTGTCTTCTTTGGTGTTGCCGTCGCCCTTGCGTCTGCGACTTCCGCTCACACCACCGCAATCTTGGAGCACACTCAGATCCGGTCGCCGCCGCACCACGGTTCGTCGCTTGCACTCGCGCCACAGCCCGAGGGTTCATCCGAGGGGAAGTAAGAGATGTGTGAAGGACTTCGCTACGTACCAGATCAGATGCGCAGTGGTTAGATGGGGCCAAAAATGGACAGCCAAGCCACAGATCAGACCAGACGCAACAAGTGAGCAACTCCCGAGAAGAGCAGTGCGCCAAGTGAAGCAGGAAAGCAGAAGTAACACTGCGATACTAAGAGAGACGCGCGCACTAAAGCAAGAGACTCGAGGAGGAGGATGGAGGGGTGAGGCAGAGACGAAGTGAAAAGTGCGGGAAGGACGACTAAAAAGTTAGAAGGGCAAGAGCTGGTCGAGGGTTGATGGTTGAGGGCCCGAGTGCCAGTGTGGGCGCGCGAGGGGTTACCCAGAATATGAGCTAGTTAAGGTTTCCTTGGAAAGGGTCTGACGACAGGCAAGCCTATGAAGCTTAGGGCATAATTAGGCGAACACCAGTTTACAGGCCAGCCGCCGCGCGGTTCCCAACTTTCACTCGATCTCCTTCCTTGCACCCAGCGACCTCAGCACGGAAACAATGCTGGCCTGTGCCCGGTGATTTGACGGGAAATGTTTCTACCACAAGATGCTCGACCACACGGTGTACGAGTCCTCACATCCCGTCGCCCTCGAGCGGGAAGATCGACAATCCCACACACCCGAAGAGGAGCTCTATCAAACCGCGTCTGCCGCGCCAAACACATGTACGTAGATAAGTAGGACGCAGGAGCTTCCCGGGCCCCTCTCGGCGCGCGGCTTCGTCCTGAGTCGAAAATCCCCGATCAGCTTACCGCCCTCACTGAACCATTGTGCAGTATGTGTGTCTGTGTGTGTGTGTCTTTCCCACCTTGTCCCCATTCGTTCCGCTGCAAAGAAGCCAGGGAGACAGCGCGCGTGTTCTCCCACCCCATCTTCAGCTCGGCTCCGGTTCAAGCGCGGGAAGCCTGGAGGTCCTAACCACAATGGCCTGCAGCCCATGCACATCTCTATTGCGCCACATGCCGGAGAAACCTTGCTAGATCCTGCAGACAAGACGCCCATCGCCAGCAGGCAACGCGTTGATCTTGATCCAATGAGCGATGTTGTAGTCAAACAATAGTACACTTCGAGGCTGCAGATAGCACTCGGAGAACACGAAAATTGCAAGATGCTTGTTCGGTTCGCAAATCCGTTCCTTCGCACTTCAATCATATCTTGACTAATCCCGCGTTGTCATGCGGCGCGCTGCGCGACTCGGGATGGCGAGAACGCTCGTGTTCGACCTAGAAGAAGCTTCGATAAGAGCCAGGATTATGTTTACCCCCTACCTACCCCGACTTCAGGCCATCTGACTGCGCATTTGATCGGGTAGATACATGATGGTGCCCCAGCGTGTGTCGATCTCACATTGTGCAACCTCGACATACTCCCACAATCCAGGAGCAGACGTCGCAGACGTGCCCCTTCGATGCCCAAGACCCAGAGAGCGCAACGTGGCAGCGCCACCCAGGGCGAATCAGGGTGGCCGCTGGGCTGGCGATGACCTGCATACCGAGGATCATGAGTTGGCCGATCGTCCAGCCGCCGCCCTCGCGTATCTGGAAACTCCCCATCGCTGCTTGGTGATCCCCCTTTGGTTACACAAAAGAAATCTCCACCGCATATCGCAGCCGGAAGCAGGCCATCAATAGTCGATGGGGCGTTTGTCCATCAAAACTGAGCCTATACAGACGCTGACACAGGCTCGATAATCACAGAAGGCCACGGTGAGTGCGTAGTCATGAGCACGGTCTCAGCGCACCTGTCAACCCCCCAAAAGAAACTCGGAAATACCAGCCGATGCCTTGAAACCTGGCCTGTCATCGGCTCGCGACCTAAAAGTCTGACGCAAGGGTCTTCTAGGCCCAAAAGGGGGGGTGCCAGTCATACTCCACTGTGGTCCAAGTTTCCCCGAAACCGATGCTCTCGGAGCTCAACCACGAACAATTGGCTGCCACCTCGTAAAGGGCGGCTGTTGGAAGTCTTGCGCGACAACTGGCCGGCAACACTCGGCTTTCACGGCGATCGTCTTGTCTGAGAGACCTGGAAGCACGCACAGAGACTTAAAGTAAAGTACTGGGCCAGCACCGGCGCCTGCTTCAGCTAATGCTTTACAGTCATTAGCCATTCCTACCAGTAACTCGTACTCGTCGCAGATCGATCTTTCGCGGCTGTCCATATCCGAATCAGGTTCGCGCTACATCGGTGGCTTGCGAGCCGTCTCGACAAAAATCCCCTTTCAACGCGCTAGTGCTTTCACATCTTCGGATGGGATACGCGCAAGTCCCGAACTTCCTGTCACTCGTGCCAAAAGAATGTCCAAGGACCCAGTAGAACTCTTGGCATGCCGGGCGCTAGCAAAGCAAGAGGGGACTGATCGCTGGCTGCTTCGACGCCAAACGCGGTTTCCCCCTGGCGAAGGTGAACTTTGATGGAACAGAGCACCGTCGTGTTTTCAGCTTGGATAGGACAGCTCGAGTCTCAACCCAGCAACGCAGCTGTGGGCACCTGAAACGGAGCACAAAGCACAAAGCATGCTGCTTCCGCCATCGCCTACATACATCGCAGAATGTCCCGAGTCATTCTTTGTCCCGAAATTGTGGTCTGACGCCGCCTCAGTGCTGCCATGGAGGCTCACTATTGCCGGCGGATGTACCGTGCATGGGATTAGTGGGAAAAGACGAATGGTTCAGGTGGAAAGACCCTTAGACCCTCAGACCTTCTGAGAGCCATAGTGGGTAGATCAAGCGATGTATGTGCTTGAATCGGGCTAGGAATTGCTTGTGCCACAGCCATCTATCTGAAAAGATCCTCGTCCTGTGCCAGCGCCGTGCTCTCAAACTCTATGGAAAATAAAGTACTCCGTCTGGAGGATGCTCATGCCAAGTTTCCTGATGGTGCGGCATCAATAGACCTTGCGCCGTCCCGATGTCCGTCTTACGATGTGACATGCCGCCAATTGCCTGATTGACTGTGGCGCTATTTGTGAAGAAAGTCGCCTCCATCCGTCAAAAGCGCCATTGATGCGGTGGCTCACCATTAATGGTGGACCGTGTGCAGAATAAAAGAGCCGAAAAGCCGAAAATTCGATTGAAAGGAGGGAAAAGAAAAGAAATCGTTTGTCGTGCGTCGTACTTCGCATCGCATCATGTCTCGTATGCTCCATGTCGTCGTTTGAGGTGCTCCATATTGTCGTTTGAGGGGCTCCGTTCCGTTCCGTTGCGTGGTGATCGATTGTTTCAAGCATCTCCGTTCCTTTTTACCTCTCGTTTGCGCATGCTTCGACTGTCAATCAGAGCCTCATAGCTTCTTCGCCCCTTTTCTCTCCCCTCTGACATTCCATCCCAGAACTCTCTCCAGCGGATCAATATCCATGGGTATAATCCGGGATCCTCCCCTCGCTAGGCTGCCAGCACGTCTCGCGACTCAGGTACCTCACGTCCATGAAGCGTCCATGCTTGGTGCCCATCATCTTCAGGCGTGCCTCTTCCTCGAAGCAGTATGACTCAAGCCAGTCTTTCAGCCAGATCTCGTAGTCATCTTCCCGATCGTCGATGCGCGCAGACTTGGAGAAGTCTTTCTTCGGAGGTTCGCGTTCATCTGCAGAGAGAGCAGGAGTCGGCCCACGGCTGTGCAGTTTTCTGTTCCAACGAGACGCGTTGCGGTCGAGAGGCAAATCAGGCGTACCCATTGCTGAGCGACGAATCCTCTCCATCTGCTCGGGCGTGAAAGGTCTGTTGTACGAGCGGACCTGAAAGACCAATTTGTGAAGATCCCGACCACCGCCACCAGAGTACATATGCTTGATTTCTGGGGCGACGCGGAATTCATAGCCGCCTTTCTTCATGTAGCCCCGATCTGTGGCGTCGAGGATCGCATCCATCAAGCAGCGGCCTACGCCGGACTTGCGAGAAGAGGCAGCGACGTAGAGCTCCAGATCGGCGGCGATGCACTCGCAGTAGTCTGGCGCAGACCAGTCTGTAGCACTTGCCCAGCCCACGATCGGCTCCTCGCGCGTCACACCGAGGTAATCAGGGTCGATGTTCTGAATAGGGTGGTTTGGGTTGACCCGTGGGTATTTGCGACCCTTGGGACGAGAAGTCTTGCGAGTACGCTCGACAGCCACAATGAAGGGGAGACGTGCGTGCTGTGACATCCTCATGCGTTCAATCATATCGTCTTCGCTGATCGGCGCGAGTTCGGGCGGACGGAACCCATGGGTAATGTACCAGTTAATGATTTCCATCATTCCGGGCGCATCGGCTTGGACGGCAGGGCGGAGGTAAATGTTCTTGGTTGTGGGAGGAGGTAGAGGTTTGCTGCTCTCGCCGAACACGGCAGCGTCGTCTTCCTGTGCTTTGGCGCCCATTCCAAGTTCAAATTGTTCTTGACGTTCAGCCTCTTGTTGCAGTCTCGCTTTCTCCTCTGCCTCCATTTGGACATGTTTGATCTGGGCCATACGTCTGGCGATGTAAAGTTGTGCAGTCTCATCTTTGTATCGAGCATTGTCAGGGTCCGAAAGGTCCAGCTTGGCATCACCATCGAAATCAGTGGGATTTTGAGGATCCGGCATGATTGGCTTGATCAGTCTGTGTCCGTAACGCTCAGAGTTGATTGGACCGAGGACGGTTTCTCTCGGTGCAAAGCCTATTCCATCTGGGTGATTGTCCAGATTTTCAACTTGCTCAGTGGGAAGGACGCCGAAGCTCAGTTCTGCAACAGACTTCTCCGACATGGTGCGCACCGTCACTTCACCGAGCCAGTTCTCGAAACCACTGATGTAATCCGGGGTATTGTTGTAGAACCGTGGACGATACTCCCAGTCAGTTGGAGGAGGCAAGAACTGTCCATCCCAACCGACGAGTCGTTCTTCTGGCACCGGAGGCTTGCGGCTGCGGATGAGACGACCAAGTCCTCGAGCCATGGGTCTTGTGGAGTCGCCGTCACTTTCCGCTTCCTCTGAGCCCGCAGCATTGCTGTCCGTCTTGGCTTTGGGAGCCTTCATATCTGCAGCAGACGCCCAGCGAGAGTTTCTCCGTGCTGCTTTGTCGGATTTCTGCCTTAAAGCCCAACTGTGCTCATTGCCTTGCCCGGACTGGTGTAAGAGTGGTACAGCGACCTCATTGCCTGGCCGAGCTCCGCCCTCGTTCCACGTAGCACCGTCACTAACCGATGGTACAGCTGATTGATTCCATAGTCCGGTTGTCTTTTGCAGGTCTGTGGTGTTGCGTGATGGTCCTGGTTCCTGAAGCTGAATACTGCTCGTGTCATTGCCACGTGGAAGTGCTGCCTGCTCCCACAAAGCGGGATTCTTCATGTCGTGCTCCCAATGTCGCTGATCCTTGTTCGCCTGTTTCATTTCTGTGAGAAGGTGGTTAGTGGGTCTGATGGGCTCTTGGGAGGACTGGTTCCAGGATGAGCTTGGATCAATGTTGGACAAGGGTTTGCGTTGTGTTTCAGTTGTGGACGCATCCGGCTGAGGCTCATCTGAGGCTGGAGGTAGGGGCTTTCTCAAGAGGTCGAGCAGGGCCAGGCCCGTGGTGGTAGGGATCTCACCTTGATCCTTTCGTTTGACTCTCTGGAAGACGTCACGTGTACCTTCGGCCTGAAGTCGGGCAATCAGTTGTTCTGGTGTTTCGTCACCTTGCTTGAGGGTCTCAAAGGTCTCCGGGCGAGGTGTCACTGACTTTGTTGGATCATTTCGGCTAGACGTGGTTTTGAGACGGGATTCCTGGCCACCATTCATCTTCGGCTGAGGTGTGTTGTAGTCTGTCGGCTCCGGAGGATTTCTTGATGCGTCAAGTGTAACGTGAGACATGGGTAAGGGTCGGTGCGCGAGAGGTGGTGAAGACTGCGGCTCGGCGGTGGATGCGGTTCCAACCTCTGGCCAACCATTCCGCCGTCCAGCCGGGGGGTTTGCAGAATTCAATTTGGACTGTCTCTGTTTCGGAGGGTGGGTTGTGGTCTTGGTCATTTTCTTCCTCGAGGGATCACCGTATGCCGTCTTGTCGAATTCGCGAACGCTGCTGTCGACTGTCGCTACAGTGTCCTGAGACAGAAACCACGTTGGGTTACTCCCTTTGACTTTCCCATCAGTTGTAACATTTTGTGGTTCTGTCGGCTGGACATCTAGAGACGTCACTTCCTCCCCCTGCTCCTCCTCCACCATCTGTTCCTCACCTCGATCTTGTGTCCGACCTTCACCTTGCGCAGAGTGCCACGGCATCCCAGAAGACCAATGACTAGCAGGTGGGTGTTGAGTGATACCCCAGCCAGGGTGTCGATCTAGCCGTGACTCGCCTTTGTTTGCACTATTGTCCCTCTTCTTGAGTGTGGGGTTGCCATACGCGTCCGGATTGAAGCTCATGTCTCGGTTTGAATAAATCTAGCAGAAAATAAGCGGATTCTCCAAGAAGTGGATGGGGAAAAAAGAAGACGACATTGAAGGGAAGGGGCTTATATAAGAGAACTCACCCTCTCCCAGTGGTCCTGCGCATTAGTCCAGTGACATCGGTCATGTGCTACAGCACCAGCTCTGTCACTAGCATGTGCGGTCCGATAGGAACCGGGTGACAGTCTTGAAGGACCTTGCATACCAATGACGTTGTCCATGGTAGACGGCCCGACATAGGGAAACGACATGGCATCCGCCTCCTGTTACAGTGCCGGCCTTCGGGAGAAGTCTCCGTCCCTCAGGCGAGAAGATGGTCAGGGACTGAAGCCTGTCTTTGGGCCATGCTATGTCCATGCGTCCATGCGCACTGCTCTCTCGGGATTGCTTTTGTCCCAGGCAGAGCTTGACACAATAGTAAGCCACACGAGAAGAGGATACTGCGAGTTTGAAGAGAAGAAGGTAAACTGGTGACTGAAAGAAGCGTGAAGCAGAGACTACCGGGACATGTTGATGCCGCTAACACGCCGCTTTACCATTCTCTGCCTAGCGGCTGCGGTTCCCAACCCAATCAGCCGCAGTGGATGACTCTTGGGAGCAAGCGCAGCAAGTTAACGGCTCTTGGTAAGTACTCTGTATGTTTTTGAATCACTGTGAGGGGACGATTGATGCTGACTACGAGGCGTACGTGTCTCTAGAAGTGGGCTCTGATGGAAGTACAAGGGTTTGAGCTGTGAAAGGCTGAGATGTCTGTGATCGCAGCTTAAGACTGGTATCGAAGCGCAGGTGCCTGGAGACGAGAACCAGCCAGTTCGTGGAGAAGCTGCCAGCATATGGTACAAGATGCTTTCCATTCTCCGCAAGGCTCGTCTGAAAGACAAGGAGATGCGGATTCTGATGTTGTGAGTGAAGCCAGTTCTCCCGCAGATAGACGAGGGCTAATCTTTATGCAGAGGACTGGATAATGCAGGCAAAACCACGATAGTCAAAAAGATTATGAATGAAGATGTTCATACCGTTAGCCCGACACTAGGGTTCATTATCAAGACGATCGACTTCCAGGGGTATGCTCCTTTCCGTTGAGCTTCCTCTGGAGAAACTAACGTGTTCATGCGCAGGTACAAGCTCAACATCTGGGACGTCGGTGGCCAGAAGACCATCAGATCGTATTGGAGGAACTACTTCGAGAAGACCGACGCTCTCATCTGGGTGGTGGATGCGACTGACCGGCTACGACTTGACGACTGCAAGGCCGAGCTGAAAGGACTACTGTTGGAAGAGGTAAGTTGGCATGCCGGACCGACACCTGCGAAAGCTGACAGTGGCCAGCGGCTAGCAGGAGCGAGTCTACTGGTGTTTCTGAACAAGACGGATGTTGCTGGTGGTATGAGCGAGCAAGAGGCTACGCGGCTGCTGGACCTGAATTCCATTTTGACGCATCGATGGGTGGTCATTCCATGCAGTGCCATGACGGGTGAGAATTTGGAGAAAGGCTTAGATTGGGTGGTCCAAGACGCACGCGACCGGCTGTTCTTGTATTAAATGTAGCACTCGTCGTCAGGGTTCGAGGCCGAGTACAGCAAGGAGTCAGAGAGGAAGATGGCAAATAGCAGCCTCATTGACCGTTAGATGTCACTTTGAAACAAGGCGCAGAACGAGCCGCATGGGACCCTGGTTGGTACTGTAGATGCACAGGCCGTAAATTGGCCTCTCGCTGGCCTAGCCCGACCAGGAGGTCAAGCAGCATGTCGCAAGATCAGCCCTATCTGAGGATACTTTTCTCGCAGTATGACCCGCGCCGCGCAAAAACCGACGAAGGACAGAGGGAGCGGGAGGCGATGACGGACTCAACTTAAAATAAATAAACAATGAAAATCGCCGTTGGTTGAGTTTCCGATTTTGCTGCGGAGACGAGCGCGTGTTCCCGACAAGCCGCCCTCGTCCTCTTCCCATCCATCAGTCAACATCAACATCAACATCAACAAATCCAGCCTGCGGTTCATATGACGACCTGAGGGCGACCTCGTCCAAGTTCCCCCCTGCGGCCTGTATTGCCTTCTTCATTTCGCCTACACTCGCTTATCAACCTCTTCAACCACGCGCCGGTCGTTCCCTTTCAACCTGAACCCCAATTTTCCCATGTGGAGTGCCGCGTGATCCCAGACCGTGTCGGCTTCTAGCAATCTAACAGCACCTTTTCACCGGCAAACGCAGTATGGACGCGTCAAATGATGGCGCCGAGTCAGTCGACCAGTTCCTGGCTCGGATTGCCAGCCTCAGTTCCAAACAGACTGCCGAGGAGGCTGAGCGATCCAAGCGGACGGAGGAAGAGTTGTTGCAAGCCAGGAAAGAGAGACAGGCAAGGAGATTAGGTACAGTTCAAACATGGTGTACACCGGAGAGTGCGATGGCATGCTGATGCACTGCAGAACGCGCTCGGTCGCTATCACCCTCAAAGACTGGCCCTACAGCGTCCTTGCGACCCACGAGAGAGGCTGCGTCGAAGCCGACACAAAGCATTGAACCTCCCATTGCTCTCACCCCTCCTCTTCAACCACGAACACTCGGCCGCTCTGGCTCAACATCCCCAAGACACGATCGAGCCCCCGTTACAGGGCTAGACTTCTCTCGACCTCTGCCAGCTCCACCTCCACTGACCGACGAGGAACCCACTCTGCCCAGCCCGCCTGCCCATGCCCCTACACTTTCCAGAAGCGGCACACTGTCATGGAACCAGAGGCCTTTGTCAAGAGGCGGCGCGGTGCGAACCCGGCCGATGTCTGTCGCATCCATCCCGGACTTGGGAACCCCCACTCCGAGTGCTGCCGATCAGAAAGCCGAGGAGGAGATGTCGAGGAAAGATATTGCTGCAACTCTGGAGGCCAGAGATCCTTCGTGGTTTCGTCAGACCGCTGATCGAGGCATTGGCTCCGCAGCATACCGCAAGAATGAGACAGATTCTGACACGATGACTGCTTCCGCGAGCCCGGGCATGCGGCTCCCGGGCATGTCCAATGCTGCAGAAGATCGCTCAAAGGAAGAGAACGGGAAACCGACGCCTCCGTCGTCACCTCCAAAATCGGCTCATGCATTGTCTTCTAGCCAGCGACAGCCGTCAAGCTCAGACCGGCCGAGACCGCGGCCAGTCTCAATGGTATCCTCGTCCCCCTCGAAATCTCCCGCCCTGGACTTGCCATCCTTCAAGCCATTAGACCTGAACACCTCCTTTGCTGTAGACAGCCCTGGGCTGGGAAGGACTCCTAGCATTTTGTCTTCTTCGGGACGTCCCCCTTCGCCAACTAAGGGTCTGGGTGGTTTTGTGGAAAGCGCAATGATGAAGCGATCGGACAGTGTTAGCAAGAGATGGAGTGTACAGGCCAGTGCAGGCTTGAAGCGAGGTGACTCGGTTGCCTCCACCCGGCCACCACACCTTGCTACGGTCTCAGGCTATACTCCTGGTCACAGTCGTGGTTCCTCGAGAGACGTTAGGGGGTCGCGCGATGGTAATTCTTCCCCACTCTCCAGCTCGAGACCTGTTTCAAGTCACGGAGAGCCTGTTGCAATCTCAAAAGGTCGCTCACTACCACGGCCGGAAGACGATTCAGCGGCGGCTCCGGATATCACACCCAAGCAAGAGGTCCCAGGGGAAACAGGTAAAGCTTCTGATTTACCACCACAGACCCGTCCGGTAACGCCACCGCCGTCGGACACGCTCTTATCCCGTAGTCCATCGAAGACTATGGATCCTCGTCGCTGGAGTCCGACAAAGGCCAGTTGGCTCGAGAGCGCCCTAAACAAGCCGCCGGAGTCTCCAAGAGCAGCGAAGTCCGAGACGCCAGCATGGAGGCTGAGCATGCAGCGTGCCAAGCAGGAACAGTCCCAATCGTCTGAAGCCGGCAAAGAGGCCTTGTCAAAGCCCGCAAATGCACCCAAGGCGCTCAGCACACCATCAATGAAGGACTCGAAGACAGTCGAGAGAGCGACAGCAGTCGGTGTCGCCGTAGGTTTGAGCTCGAGGGACACTGGGCGCGAGAAGCCTAACTCGACACCATTGCCGTCCTCAGATGCCAGTGACGCGAACAAAACTGACAAATCCTTCACGTCCACAACGGGGGAGAAACCCATTATCCCGTCCAAGAGAAACATCACACCTGTTCAACTTGGGGCAAACTCGACCCAAAAGGTGGCGAGCACGTCTGTTACATCCCTGCAAGATGAACAAGAGACGGCTAAAGGGCCCCAAAACCCCACATTCCGTGAACCCAAACTCGACTCAAAAATGCCAGCTCTGAAGCCAAAGCCGACCACGCCTCCGAAACCCGACTTCAGAGCCAGTCTCAAATCACGTCAAGCAGCCCCGACCGGCAATAACAACGCGGAACCGGAGTTCAAGGCAGTCTTTGGAAAGTTGAAGCGCGCTCAGACGCAAAATTATGTTGCCCCTGACGAGTTGAAGGATAACATCACGATGGGGAAAGCAGCGCTAAACGTCACAGGTGGTCCGCAGAAGACGAAAAGGGTCGACGAGTTCAAGGAGAGCATCCTACAAAAGAAGGAAGCAATGAAGACAGGTGGTGGTGCGATCGGCAAACGTCCTGAAGCGACAAGCCCCACAGAAAAACATAACGACCCTGTACCAGAGGCACTGGCCAAGCGTATGGCGCTGCAGAAGACGGGAACTTCATCTGAGAAGGCGGAAAGCAAGAGGCAGAGTGATATGCCAGCCAAACCCAGTGTGTCGGCGATCGAGCCTCGAGCAGTCGGCGAGAAACCATCATTGAGCGGTTTGGGTACCAAGCCATCTCTTGGAGGGTCGAAGCCACGGGTTGTCCATGACATACCAGTTCCAGCAAAGGGAGAAGCTGTCGCGCAATCTGAGCGAACTTCGGCACCACCGACAATACTTGCAAGCAATCCCGAGAAATCCGATGCTGCCCCAGTGACTGTGCTACCGCTACGATCAGCGTCCGATGTACCAACTCGACCAAGCCAGCAAAGTCCGGAAACCAACGTGGCAGAACCTGCACCTTCATCTGAGTCAGGCTCCGGAGTGAAGCTGCCTGAAAATAGCAAACTTGCTGCTCGGCTCAATCCTGCGCTGGCCGGCATACTTTCACGAAGTGGTAGCCCCAAGCTTCCTGGAGATGCGTCATCCAATGGTCGAGGTGGGATCCAGGTCCGCGATACTCACCAGAACCCGCGAGATAGCACGAAAGAGGACCCTGCGGAGCTGACCCATATGACCAAGGCACGTTCCAAAGGTCCTAAAAGAAGGGCACCTAAGACCGCTGCATCTTCCCCCGCGAGCGGCAAAGCCCCATCTGGACAGCCCGCAACAAACTCGACCTCCGTGTCCCCGAAGGTCATAGGGTCACCAGAGTCCGCGCTGGGTTCCACAGCGTCTTTGCCGCCACGCTCGTTCGCGCCGAAACCAAGTGCGAGCAAACCCACAACGGGAGACCAAAATGCAGACGTGGGCGTGCGCGAAGTCCAGCGGTCGCTGCCGACATCGCCCACAGCTGGGATTGAGAAGCCGATCCTGGCTGAAGCCAAACAATCGTATCCAGCGCTGCCCAAAGCGGAGTTGCCTAAGCCCAGTATTGCCAACACGGCCATCGTAAAGCAGTCTATCAATGAACCACTTCCTATTTCCCAAACCGAGTCGGAGTCGAAGCCGAAGCCCATCGTTGCCAACAAATCAGCGGAATTAAGAAGGGTGTCGAATCAGGGTGCACCTGCCGAGACTGTTGACATGCCGCCTCCACTGAAGCCTAAGAAATCCGCGGATCTAAGAAAGGTCTCCAACCCCGGCACGCATGCGAAACCTGCCACGCCAAAGAAGATCGAAGTCCTGCCTGATACTTCAAAACTGGTAACGTCACCTCCAGACTCGGATGGCGAGAAGAAGGCAACGGCGCTTTCTCCGGCCTTTGCGCCGGGTTTGCCCTTGACGCCGAACAAGTCAAAGCTCAACACTCCAAAGACACCAAAGCCTGATATCATTAGCTCGATGAAACCGCGGCCAGTGACGCCACCGAAAGCCAATGGGCTTGGGTTGCAGCTTGGGACAGGTTCCAGGAAACTGGTTGCCGCCCCCGTCCTGACCCCGCCACCGGAACCGCAACCACTAGCAGTGCGAGCAGCAGGATCCTCCAGACAGTTTAGTTCGCCCACGACATCGTCGCCTTCAGTCAGACCCCAGCTTGAGAGCTTCTTTGGCGTCCTGCCGCGAGCAGGTGAAAGGGCGGAGTTTGACACGCATGCTTTCCTTTCGGCCCAGAATAAGACACCAGAGAAGTCCAAGACTCTCAACAAGCAGATCTGGGAAGTGTCCGGCGATGGCAAGAAGACGCCCATGCCGCCGCAACAGGAGCACATTCTCTTCGAAGACTGTATGTATCTATGTGTGCATTCGATGCAATCACCCTCAGGCTCGAAGTTGTCCGAGGTGTATCTCTGGTGCGGAGACGAAGTGCCCGAAGCAGCTGTGGAAGATGCTCAACTATTCTGCAGGAAAGTCGCAAGGGAGAATAGTGCTAAACTGGAAGTTATCAAGCAAGGCAAGGAGAGCTCAGAGTTCTTCCAGGCTCTGGGTGGGATCGTCATTGTACGGCGCAACAAGTCGTCGGCTCTATATATGGTCTGCGGCAGAAGGCATCTCGGGCACGTCGCTTTCGATGAAGTCGACCTCTCAGCCGACAGCCTGTGCACGGGGCTCCCGTTTCTCATTTCAGCGAAGTTCGGCAAGCTCTACTTATGGAAGGGCAGAGGCAGCAACCCGGAAGACGTGGGATGCGCAAGGCTGATTGGCATGGACTTGGGATTGACGGGTGAGATTGAGGAAGTTTCGGAGGGCGAAGAACCCGCAAGCTTCTGGGACTCGCTACCTTCCGGTTCATCCAAGCGAATGCTACCCCAGAGCAGCAGCGGAGCCGGTGAGCGCGACAGCCATCCACCGAGGCTGTACCGCGTCGAGCACGACCGTCCCAAATCGTCAGGCGGCCTAGGCGGCTTTTGGGGGCTGAGGGCATCTTCACCGCCGAAACAAAGTCTCAAGGCTCTGGTGGAAGAAGTCGCTCCATTCAGCCAGAAGGACCTTGATGGACATCACATCTACATCCTCGATGTCTATCGAGAACTTTATGTGTAAGTCTGACCATGTTCAAATTGCAGGTCGATGTACTGACGTCGTTGTCTCTGGCAGTTTGATCGGCGGTTTCGCCAAAAAGCCCGCCGAGTTTGCGACAGCGGTGCAGGTTGCCCAAGAGATAGCCGTCCTGTCGCCTTCTGTCCAAGACCGGCCTCTTTTGCCGTCGTGTTATGTTGTGATGGGTGAGCCACCGCAGCACATCAAGTCAATATTCCGCAAATGGACGCCACAGAGATCGCCGACTCCAGGGGAACAGTTGTGTGTGCGCGTCGAAGAGGTGGTGCAGGAATTAGGCATTCCCCTCTGAGTGAGTTGTACCACTTGGAGACGTGAGACGTTGAGTTCCCCAGTGGGAATGTCTCCGTCTGATCGGGTTGGGATTCGTGTACACTTGTACAGTTCACGGTTTGAATGTGATATGACCTGCTATGGCGCTACAAGGACGAGGTGGATGTTGTGACTATCTTGACCAACTGGTGTCTGGAAAAGTTGCAGCTCATATACCACGCGGGTTGGTGGTACATAGACGTCGAATGTGCGTGAAATGCCCCCAGCGGGCGTTATCAGCCGCTGCCCAATCAAAATCTGCGGGGCCAATTTAGTGCGTGTCTTCGCTTCGGGCGCTTCGGTCGCTTGCGTCGCTTCTTGTCCTGCTGCTCGCGCCGCGGCTCAGCGTCACGTCCGCTTCAAATTCTGGCTGCCGTCTGCCGACCTCGTCAATTCATCACCGCCACCGCCACGTTGCCCGCTGCCCTTCGCCCGCTTCTGTGTCGAACATGTACTGATCGCTGAGCACGCTCCTCCCTGTGCGCTCTGCGACGACGACCATGGATTGGGCTGCTCCCAACTTGCCACACACAAAACCCAACACCTCGGCCTCGGACCCCTCAGCCAGGCCCAGCGCCGCCGCCACTGCCAACCTCGACCCCAGACTCCAGCGCGAGCTGGCCCGGATCGGTGATTCCATCCCATTCAACCCGAAGCTGCGCTACCTCCACCATACCTGGGCCCAGACGTTCTTCTCGCGCCCGGAGTTGTATTTCCAGCCTTCGTCGATCCCCGAACTCCAGAAGATCGTCACGCTCGCCCGGAGATGTCGCAAACGCATCTGTGTGACGGGCTTTGGCCACTCGCCATCCGACCTCACCTGCACGTCATCCTGGTTGGTCAATCTGGATAATCTCAGCGCGGTCCTCGAGAAGGACGTGGACGGCGCTCCCGGCCTCTATCGCGTTCTCGCCGGGATTTCTTTGCATGATCTGAATGTCGAGTTGGCCAAGGACGGGTACACGCTCCCCAACTTAGGTTCTATCGATGTCCAATCCGTCGCCGGAGTCATCTCGACTGGCACTCACGGCTCCAGTCTGAAGCACGGGTTGATCTCGGAATCCATCACGTCGTTGACCATCTTGCTGTCCAACTCTCAACTGGTCACCTGCTCACAGACCAAGAACCCGCAGCTGTTTCGAGCTGCACTCCTTTCACTGGGCGCCTTGGGGATCATCGTCGAAATCACCATCCAGGCTGTGCCGGACTTCGACATCTCGTGGTCCCAGTCGCTCCACAGCCTGGACGAGGTCCTCGGCACGTGGGACAAGGACCTCTGGACGACAGACGAATTCACTCGCGTCTGGTGGCTGCCGTATCTGAAACGCGCGGTCATCTGGCGAGGCCGTCGAACCGAGTCTCCTCGTCGCCCGCCGAACGAGACATTCTACGGCGGTCGACTCGGCTATTACATCTACCATAATTTATTGTTTCTCTCCAACTACGTCCCGCGCATTTTGCCCTGGATCGAATGGTTCGTGTTCGGCATGCAGTACGGCTTTCAGCCAGGCAGCTTCGAAATGTCCGCAGTACAACCTGCACGGGAGGGATTGTTGATGGACTGCCTATACTCGCAGTTTGTGAATGAATGGGCTTTGCCACTCGACAAGGGTCCTGAAGCAATCTCTCGCTTATCAGCATGGATCAATCATGACGACGCGGCGGCGAAGATCCCGGTTTCGAGCAAGGGCATCTGGGTTCATTGTCCAGTTGAAGTGCGCGTAACCCATACCGGCCAAGAGGAGCTGAACCGTTCCGGAGTGCGACCCTACCTCGACCCGACGATGGCGGAAGGCCCCACGCTTTACCTCAATGCTACACTGTATCGGCCCTACGGTCGCGATCCACCCTGCCACGACACCTACTATGAAGCGTTCGAGTATCTTATGCGCGAGATGGGAGCCAAGCCACATTGGGCCAAGAACTTCTCCGCAAAGACAACGGGCCAGTACCTCGAGCAGACGTACGGTGGGGATATGGCTGAGTTCATGAAGGTGAGGGATGAGAGTGATCCCGAGGGCATGTTCCTGGGCGAGTGGCATAGTCGGAATTTGCCGTTGCCGGGTGTCTCTGGAGAAAAGGCTGGTCTAAGTCTGCGAGAGGAGGAAGTCAAGAGGACAAGGAAGGGGCTCGGCTGGGGATTTGGAGATGGAGTTTTGTGGCAGGGAAGGCAGGCGAGTTCAGTTGAAGGGGAGAGCCCCGAGGACTTCTTTCATCGGGTGGGCGATGGGCCAAAGGACGGAGAGGACACCCCGAGTCCACCAGCCACGACCACGAGTGAGGAGTCCTTTGACTATATGGCCAAAGGCGAAGCAAGCGTCTATGCCGCGCGAGACGATGCAGAATGAAGCCGGCACAGTGTGACGATGATAAGCGCTGAAGCCCAGGCCAGTGCCAATACCTCGACTATATTATAAATACCTCGGCCTTGTACTTATAGTCGTTCTTGCCGCCAAAATGCCCTGCCTGCCTTGCCTTGCCTTTCATCGCGCTTTGCCAGCATGACGTTAACAGTTGAAGAGGCTTAGTCGTGTGATTCGAAGCACGCATGCGTTCGACTGCCGCTTCTCGTCTCCATCGATGCTCGACGTCGCAGGGTCTTACAACCTTTGACGTACTAACCCTTGGACGCCGCGCCGGATCAATCGAGGCGGGCGGGGATGGTCACTCAGCCGCGCTCGTGTTCCTCGCCATCCGGCCCCTCCTCTATTGGCTTCGCGGGATTCACCTTTTCACGCCTTCCAGCCGCGTCAGGCTGGCATGATCTTCTTTTCTTCCTCATTCGCAACAACCGGCGACCGCGAACGGTGTCTTCCTGGCCGAGCAATGGAGTGTGCTTGCGCAACGAAGCAGACCTAAGAGAGCCTGTTTCTGTCACGAAAGCGAAGAACGTCCATAGCCTCTGCCGTGTGCACTGACAACGATCTCGCGATGCCTATCTGGAGGAGAGAGACAAGGCAAATCCCCAGGCTCCAGCGAGAAGGACCCGTCCTGCTTGTCCAGACTTTCTCAATCGTCAGAGGCGCCAGAACTATGTGTACGAGAGGCTGAATAAAATCCATGATTTTCGACTTCTGGAGCTCCTGCCAGGAGACAATAACGAGCCGATAAGATGCCGTCTGAGGCTCGCTCGTCTTGCCGCACAGCCACTGTACAATGCCGTCTCCTACACATGGGGACCGCGTCCAGCCAACAAGACGATACTTGTCAACGGTCTCGAGTTCCAGGTGAGACGGAATTTACATGAATTACTGCTCGACCTTCGACATGCTCATCCCCCTCAGACATACTGGATTGATGCCATCTGCATTAACCAACGGGACAACTTAGAGAGGAGCGCCCAGGTTAGTCTTTCTGCAAACACATCTACGCGAAGCCTGCCTTTCAAGAATCCGCTTGTATCGGAAGAGCGTTCGGGGTCCTAACACCCAGCAGGTGCGCAAAATGGCCTCGATCTTCCAGACCGCTGTTGACGTAGTGGCATGGCTGGAGAACCATGATATTTGGTTGGAGGGAGTTAACAGCGGTCGTCGTAGATCTATATCAGATGCATTCTGGCTGTCTTCCCCAACTTACCCGACCGACTTGGAGGCTTCTCTGGATATCCTGGAGGCCTTTTTCGACCACGAATACTGGCACAGGCGCTGGATTATACAAGAGCTCGCTTTTGCAAGATCCGCCCAGATATGTTGCGGTGGCTTCACCGTTCCATTCACGCATGTCAGGAAATTGGTCCACAAATACACTTCGTGGGTCAAAGAAAGCCGCCAAAGCCGTCGACGGCTCGAATCGAATAGCGTTGAGAACAGTCTCGCAGCTCGGATTCTCGATCTCCACCAGTCCCCACGTGGACCTGATTTGACTTTGGAGCAGTTAATATACAACTACGCATCTGCCGAGTGCGCCGAACCTCTAGACAAGGTATACGCGCTAGTGTCGATGTCGAGGCTGGCTAGTGAAAGCTTCCCTGTTTCGTATGATGTGAGCAAGCTTGAGTTGTTGCTGACCACCGTTGAGTTCTCATTTGCTCGGCAGAGCCTACACCCAACAAAGGCGATACCATTTGCTCTTGCGCTGAGCGAGCAAATTGGAATCAAGGTGGACGAGCTCGTTCCTACAACCCAGGCTTACTCCATGCGTTCTGACACAGTTGGCGACAACTGCCAAGTCATCAGCATGCTCTGTAGGCGAGGCATCGTCACGGCATCCAGAGTCGACGAAGGACCGCTATTCTACCACAAACAGGCTTTGCGAGAGAGATGTCAAGAGCTGACGCATTTTGACGTCCCCACTCCTATTACGAGAGTCATCCAACCTAGCCAGGAGGTTGCATCTGCCCATGACGCATCCTTTTCGGCAGGGACTACTGCGGACCTCGACAATATCTGCACGCCGTACAACCAGTGGAGAGTATCACCTAGGGATCTCTTCGCCTTCACCTGGCAGCGTACGCGTCCAGAGCATCAAGATTCCTCCTTGGACGGGGTGCATCTCGGATTCGCAACGACGCGCACGGAAGCAGGCGATGTCCTCTACCAGTTTCCGGGAACAAGCGTAGCCATTCTTCTTCGAAAAAGTCGCCGGGAGCTCCGACTTTGAGATTCGAAGCCGAGCACGTTTGGCGCGTCTGACTGGGCCTAAGACTGCTACCTTATACGAGCCGTATGAGGAGCCAACACAGCCAGATGGCGAGGACTTGTCAATTGGATCTCGTGGATGGCGGACTTTGGACCTGATCAGGTTGGCCAGTGTAGATTCCTAGCTACTGTAGACCGCCCACTGTGTCGGACGATAGTGTCGTCAAGGCATCGTGCACGTCTGCATGCAGGGCAGGGTACGTATACCGTATAGCTATAGATATAGCTATAGCCTCTGTTATCCTCGTCTACACCCTCATAAGGGATATAAGATGAAATAGATTTCTTGCCCTTTCATCTGTCGAAACGTGAGTGTTCTCTGTCACTTAAGCCTTAAGCGTACCGACTGACTAACTGACTAATCGACTTGACTAACTCGCCCGTTTCTACGCTTTCTACCTTCGTACCCCTCGTTCGTTGCCCGCACGTACGCACGTCAACCCATATCCATATCCCCTTAAGCGGGTGACTTGGCCGCCTCCTGGCTCAGACTGGCGGCCCTCTCGCGTTCGGCGTGGCGCTTCTGATCCTTGATGTCCATCATGACGCCATTCTCAAACGTGTACAGCGGCTTGAGCTCGGCGGACTTGTTCCAGAAGATGTAGCGCTTGATGAACCACGGCAGCCAAGTGCCCGTCTGGTAGGACATGAAGCGGTGGGTGGGCACGGCGAAGATGTAGTCGAGTTCCTCGAGCGTGCGCTGTTTCGTCTCGGGCACCCAGAAGAAGATCATGATCAGGGCCACCACGTTGAGACCCGCGAAGAAGCCGAACGCGCCCGTGGGCGTGAACGCCTCGAGGATCTTGGGGAACGTCAGGCCCAGCACGGCCGCCCAAAACAGGCACGTCGCCACGGCCCACCCCATGCCCACCTCGCGGTGCGACAGCGGGAAGACCTCGGCCGAGTAGGTGAAGGGCACGGGCCCTTCGCCCGGGGAGTAAAACGCCGCGAAGAGGTACACGAACAGAGCGATAACCCCTAAATGCGCGGAGCTCGATCTCGGGATGTAGAACGCGAAGCCCGCCGCGAGGAGCGTCCAGGCCATGTTGGGAAACGTAAACAACAAGAGCGAGCGGCGGCCGAAGGTGTCGATGGTCAGGAACGCGGGGATGGCAAAGATGAAGTTGACGGCGCCGAAGCCAAAGGAGCCGAGCAGGGCGATGAAGTCGGACGCGCCGCCCTCGCGGAAGATGGTCGACGAGTAAAAGGCCATGATGTTGATGCCGCACATCTGCTGCGCGATCATGACCACAAATGAAGCCAGCGTGGCGCGTCGCACGCGCGGCATCGTGAACAACTGCGTGAACCGCGTAATGTACGTCGAGTTGCCCACGATCTCGTGCTCGATCTGGATCTGTGTGCTGATGTAGTACAGGTCGCGCGCCGCGAGGAGCGGGTGGTTCCGTAGCCTCAGCAGCGATTGGTACGCCTTGGCTACTTTGCCGTGCTTGATGTACCATCTTGGACTCTCCCTGGGGTAGACACGCATGTGTTAGCGAATCGGAGTCTCGCATCCATGAAGCGGAGCTGTCCGCGAGAGTGGTGACCCAAGCACAGATCCAAAACAGGCGCAGTCACAATGGTAAATCACGCACAGCCCAGTATTGACAGGGGAAAAAGGGCCGACTTACGGGCAGAGATAAACGAGAATGGCAAGAGGGACAGCAGGGATAAAGGCCGAGCCTAGCTGCAGGCGCCAGCCAATGTCGCCGGCATTCCAAACGGCAAGGTTAAACGCAGTGCCCAGGAAGATACCAAAGGCGGTCCAAAATTGCCAGGTCATCACAAGAGCGCTACAGCTCGGTCAGCTTAGTTCCCGACACATATTTCGGTGGCAAGGACATTTCTTACCCTCGAATGGCAGCGGGTGAATTCTCCGCGGCAAAGACCGGCGTGGTGGCACCCTTGAGACCCATACCAATGCCCATTAGAACGCGAGTCGCCAGCAATTGCTCCCAGTTTTGCGAGAATGCACCTCCGATGGGCGTGGCGATGAGGAAGATTGCGGACGTGAAAATGGTGCCACGACGTCCAAAGTAGAAGTTCATGGGATCCGAGAGCCAACAGCCTAGGAAGGCACTGCCGATATAGGGGGCTGAGTTGACCAGACCGATGATCCAGAAGTCTCGCTCGTAGCCGGGCTGACCCTCCGGGGTATTGAGGCCAAAGGCTTCGGGGAACGACAGATTGGCGCCGTTGGTGCCCGTTTGATCCCAGCCCTGGACGGCGGCACCGATCGAGCACACAATGACGGTCATGTAGAGTTTCATGGGGTGCTTCCATTTCCTGTTGACCTCGATACGCAGGCAATCCTTTTCGGTTTCGTCGAGCACACTGAGGTTCTCGAACTGGCTGGGATTCTGTGCCACCAGGGCGCCCTTTTGGAGAAGCTCAAGTTCCGCAGTAAGGCCATGGCGATTTGCAAAGTCCTCGACCTGGATTACGCCTTGTCAGCTGGTGAATTGAAATCACGGAAAATCCGATGACACGCACATCCGCGAACAAATCTTCTCGGGGTATATCGGCCAGAGGGTTCGAGATCCTTTTGCCAAGGTTAGCGGAGGCCACGAAAAAAACAAGACGGCTCGCATACTTGGCATCTAGGTTCTTATCTCTGTTAAGGTCCACGATAGAGGAGCGGCGGCGCTCCTGGCTTGGGCCTTTCTCATAGTGGTCTGCTTGTTGGCCATTAGTCTGTCCGGTGGTGGAGTATCTGATGTCTTTCGCGTCCGACATCTTGGCGTCGATTTGCTGGGCCAGCCGACGTGATGGCTGAACCGCTCCAAGGTGAACAGGAAAATGGGTTGAGTTGAAGAGGAAGGAAAGCACGGGGTCATGTTTCTGATATACTAGGACATTTTGACATTTTCGTGGGGACCCCGCTCGCTGATCAGCTTGCCTTCAAGCGGACGCATTGTGGTAACATCGTTCAATCCGTCATTGATGTTGAAGAGCAAGGCCCCCCAGTGACTGCGGGCTCATTTTGGTTTGACGGTCCACCTGCGAGACCAGAACACCCCCGGCCGCTTCTGGAAGAACAATGCGCTCCACTGTTGTCATTGCGCCGCGCCCTTGGCGGCGGAGAAGAGCTCCACATGACCAAGAAAAGAGATGCAGGCTGCGGTTGGCACATGTCATTCGACATTGACAGTGCCTAGTTAGTGAGTAGTCACGGTTCATGTGGGCTTGTTTTATGATTGCCGCTCGCCGTATTTTGGGCATGCGCTTCCGACGACATAAGGTTGACGTGGCAAAGCTCGAAAAGTCAATCGGCGGCATGTCTGAACGAGGAGTTGCGGCGCTGGCAATCTGAAGGCCCGCCATAGATCTTACATGGCCTCCGCGACGAGGAGAATAGGCCGCTCATACGCCGTGATCGGCAGAGCAGAAAATCCAAGTGGTGGGGTGCGGAGTGGATGAAAAAGGCGCACAAGCAGATGCACGGGCGCAGATGTAACGGCGGGCGGGCGCCTCCAAGACTCGCTCAACACTGTGTGTGCAACCGCCCAGGGCGGAGATCGACCTTGGCAAGGCTCGGCGGAGCCTTGAACGCACACTGTACGGCTGCGAATGCCGAAGCAACCTTGTCGCGCAAGCTTCTGCAGTTTGCACTGGTCTAGGCGCTGGTGCTTGGGCGTAGCACTGACGTCATACCCAGCTCCTGGCTGAGATGCAGCTGGCAAGGCATACTTCGGGTGAGTCGTAGAAGGTAGTGTGAAGGTCCGGTAAAATGGTCCGACGGCTCAGAGCTGACTGGCTCGTATGAATGATCTGTAACACGCGTGCTGTTGAGAGAGTCGAACTAGATGACATTGAGGTATAAGTTACCGACAATGTCAGCGCTTGCGCAAGCCGGGAGCATTGACATTCCTGACATTTCTGCATATTGTCGCCGTTGATGCCCGGCGCGTGACGCGTCCATCAAAGTCAAACAGTGCAGCGAGCCGATTATGGTTGGGGTTCAGAGGTCACATTGACGAAGGATCCAGGAAATCCCAAGCGACAAAAAGCAATCAACAGCGGGTGTTGAGGTCGTGGCCGAAAGTGAAGAGGAAGTGAGAGAGAACTGAGGCGATTGGCTGCTGGAGCAACTCGACCGAAATGCTCCGCTGAGTCAACAATGAAACCACCATCACCAGCCTCAAGAGCTGTTCTGGATGGATCTCTTCAATGCAGCAGTCAATCGTCTCTTCTCAAGAGTCCTGGCAGCAGAGACAGAGTTGTGCTGGTATGGCCTTTCAGGACCTTCTATTTCAATTCTGACTGGCAGCCAATTGATCGGTCCTCGTGAAAAAGCCCAAAACTGTCTCTTTCGCCGTGAGAGCAGAGTCTCTGAATGTCCGTTCTTGTCCTTGACTTTGGACTGATGCAGTAGGAACTCGCGCCCTGAACTTTGTCTCCACACAAGGCCACGCTTGTCGCAGCCCACGTCGCAATCCGCAACGCCTCACGGCTCTTTCTACGCGCATGCACCTCGTTAGCGTCAAGTGATATTGCCCTACGGACCTTTATACGCCTTGTCGGCTTTGATGCGGGAATCAGTTGCCATATCGAGGTCTAGACTTCAAAGAGCCTAGAACCAGGGTAAAGCCTCTTGACTGAGATGCTGAATGCTGCCATCAACACCCAAGAGGCGGCCCGATGTGAGCTTCATTCCTGTTACTTGGAGCTGTGCAGGGCCTAGATTCCAAAGGTGGGTGAACAGATGTGGATAGGGTTCTGCTTGATGTATCTCCACTGCCAAGCCATGTATCACGAGGCAGATCCTTGCTGCTGGGACTGGACTGAGAGAGGAAGGCGCTGGGCCTTGAGACTGAGCTTTGCTGAATATGGGATTTACCTACAACCTGATAGCGCGCACGGTGTGAGAATTGTGGTTACGGTAAAGGAGATGAACAAGGGCCCACCCTGAAGGTGAATGGATGGAGAGCAGCACCTACTCCATGAAAGTCTATGACGCTGGACCAGATCTACGGAGTGGTCTTCCTTAACCCACGGACTCAACACTTGACTTGTTGAGAAGAAGCAAAACAGTGAAAGAACAAGAAGGTTGGGACGGCAGCTAGTTCTGGACTGGTCTAGCACTGAACTTGATGACCTCTTTTCCTGGTCCGGGCTATAGCAAGCGATCGCTCTAGTGGACTACATACCTGCCAGCTGATACCTCCTGGGTAGTTTGGTAGCTTCTCGCCTCATGGCAAACAGCAGCGCTGTGGCCAGATGGCATTGTTGCCGCACAGGGCCTGTGCGTTCTCGCTCCGCCACTCCCGCCGCTGAACGTCCGATAAACAAACAACAGGCGGCCTCCCTTGCTCTTGTCTTCTAATGCTGACAGAGTAGCCGAGCAATGTACAGGCTCTCAGCTTCCATGGCGACGCCTGCTAATTCTTCCCCAGGAAAGAAAGTGCACCGTCGTCCAGTAAAAGGCCTGGAACAGCGGTGCCCAAACCCATGGATTGCTGCGTCTGTCATGTCTCATGCTCGACTGCCCGTGGTCGAAGCCTGACGGCCCGTCCATGGTGGCGGGGTACCAGCCGCAAGGTCTATTACCCGCGGAGTAGCGACATTCGAGATAGGCAAATCGTCGCGATTGCTGCGCGAGAAGCTCTTCGACGACCACGGTACATGCGCCCGTCTCAGCGAGCTGCATCCTCCTGTAGTGAAGCTGGAGATGGCGGCGTTTGTTCTACGCGATTGTCAGTGTCGTGGTCTAATACATGACCCCCGCTCGATTCGACGTACCAGTAAGCGATCGATTAGCCTCACTTTCGCAGCCCTTGTGTGCCCATGATCCGGCGGCGAGGGCCATATTGCCGAGGAACGGAGGGGTGGCTCTCTCGGAGGCTTTGGAACTGGGTAGCAATAGCGTCTGTACTGGACGTACTCGATCCGTAGCGGTTTCGCGGAGATGTGAAGATCCTATGCGGCTGTCAGAGACGGGTTTGTAGCTGACAGACGTTCAGGGGCATGGTCGATTGCTTACGATATCAACATGCTCCGATTTGGCCTTTATCACGTCCCACCTACAGACTCTGCATGGGAGCACGACAAGCCAATGCAGCCTCGTCTCAGGGGCAGCGGTCGTGGGCGTCGTGAAAACGGGTGGGACACAGCGCTTCAGTCGTAGTTGGTGTCGCACTTCGCTTAGAACTTGCTCCGTGCATCCCTGTAGAAGGAGTTCTTCGAGCCATTTGTACATCACCACCATCGACGCGGACACAAAGGACCCGGAAGGAACAAAGGTGACGGTGCGGAGGTTCGCAAGCAATTTTGCATTGCTGAAGAAGGGAAGGTGTCCTGAAAAAATGGGGATCGCAGCTTCGATAAATCGAATGTGTCGCACAAGCCGATATAATTTTGGAGGGTGCCGAGCCTCCTTGTGCGAGATAACGAGACAGAGGTCATGATATTCGTATCGCTGGGCTTGAGCGTAGACCTCTCTAGACGCGGAAAGCAGATCTCTAGGGTAGCGCTTGTGGTAGGCCATGGAAAAGGACGGTGGCTGCCAGGACTTCTCGTACTCCCATTCTACTTCAGCTCGCTCAAAGTAGAACGCATAGATCATGTCGCGGAGTTCTTGCGGCAGTCTGAAGAGCAGCCCTAAGCCTGGGTTGGAGCTCACCGTCCGCCTTTGGACTTCGGGCATGCTGACGGCAGGGACGCCTTTCATATCGATGATTGCGTTGTCGTATACCCGCAAGCCAGTCGCAAATCCATATGAAAGAGAGAAGAAGTACTTGTAGCAGCAGAATGGGACCTTATTAGTAGGAGGGATATGATTTAGTGAGGCTGGAAACAGTATTGACAACCGCAAAATGCATCCATCACCAGCGAGTCGACCTTCAGTATTAGTGGTGAGCCAGCAAAACTCCGTTCCAGTACCATGCGCATAGTGCAGCGGTTCGCAAAGTGGGTATCTCTGACAAAACAAAAAGGGATCAACTTTGCGCGCCGTATCCCCCAGTAATAAGTCGTCTTGATCCAAGACCAGCTATTCCTCGCCCACCTTGTGACTCATTTCCATGACATTTTGTAGACTGCACCTAGACGCGGTTGCGGCGGTACCATGGGCGTCGAACTCGCCTGGGACACTTTGTGAGTACATGTACCCCAGCAGAACCGTGAAACGCAGGCTTACGCTCCCTCGCCCGCAGGCGCCACCACGGTAGTCTTCTTGCGGCCATCGCGATGAATGAACCAGAGACCAACAATCGCACTCAAGAGCCAGAAGACGGCGGACAAGAACGAGAAGGCCTCGGCAGATCTGTAGCGACCACAAAAGCCGTGGAAGCTGATTTGGTTCCAGTCGAACGTGTCTCCGTTGCAGGTTGAGTCGCCCAGCCTTTCAACCAGGAGGCCAAAGGAGGCAAACCAGGCAAAGGAGAGGAGGATGTCCATAGGCCCTGTCGAGAAAAGCACTTGTCACCTCTCACTTCTTTTCGACGGGCAGAGCCAGCCCGAACTTACAGTGGAAGAAGCCGCCGGAGAAAGGGAGCAACCAGAGCAACCCGAGTAGAAGAGAGATCCCGGCGACGACTTCGATGTAGATCAAGCGCGCAAGCGGCCAGCCATTGCCGTCATGGTAGTCGTGAAGGTAAGACCCGACGATGCCAGCGACGACCTGGGGAATGTCAGAGATCGACTTGCAATCATGCTAAAGGCGAACTCACTCCGGCGAAAGCGATCTGGCAGGCACGAAGGCCCACTGAGAGGATCCTCGAAATGACGGGCATTTTGAGGGTTTGTCTCGATATTTTCGAAATTTCGTCCGTGAGAGATGCTGGTAGAATGTGGAACTAGGAAGACAAAGATGCAAGATGAGGAAGGCGGATCGGAGAGCATCTAAAAGTGGTCACGGTGAAGGTGAGGCAGACCTCATGAGTGACGACTGACCTCTTGTATTGGTTGCTCGTCAACACAAAGGTACACCGGAATTCATCTTGTTTGCCCTCTGCGCGGCGCCAGCCACATGCATCACACCTCTCAAATCACTCTGGTACACTCGCCACCATTGCGATCGCCAAACCATACCTTGAATTTGTGCAACGACAAGGAGCGTTGTCCTACCAAGACCTTGATTTGGGCCCAGGTTTGGGGCGCGTGACACAGCATGAAACGTGTTGACATGATGCTGGCATCACGCCATTGGACGAGCTGAAGAGGTACAACAACATCCTACCAAAACTGGGCGGCACCCATGGCAGATTCCGGTCCATACGATAGACTTGGGGGACTGAAAAGCTGGGCAGGCTGAACTGACCTAAGAGAAAAAAGAGGTGCGGATGAAAACCGGTAAGCGAGACGATGCTTCTCGGAAATTAATTGCAGATCCCTGCAGCGATTGCCGTCGCTGACGTACTGGGGTATGACAGGGCTGAAGCCAGCCTCGTTTTTCTGCAGCTGTGTGCCTTTCCAGAGTACGAGGTACGTCGATGGTCACAGCCTCACGACAGTGCATTCACGGTGATTGAGCCTGCGTTGTCGGGGGATTTAGGCATGTCGGTCCTTCGGCATGCTCATTGTCGCGACAGCGCCCTCAGATAGCACACAAGAAGCACACGTCAGCCCTTGCAGGCAGAACCGCCTATGTGATGAAGCCTCGGCATTGAGAGTCCTTTCTCCTTGTGTCTCCTTTCGTCCTGGTCAAGGACAAGTCGTGGGAACCGCATAGAGGTGTATGAGCAAGGCATCTACGCTGACACCACAGCTGTACGGAGTACAGCCCAAACGATCCTCCCAGCTGGATGCCCAAAAGATTTGGCTCCGCAGCCCTAACCACACCCGCTTCATCTGTTCTGTTCTGCCATAACATCTGAAGATGCCGCTCAAGGCTGCAACGCCCTCGCCGCCTCCTTGACCGCCTCGCCAAAGTCAAAAACCCCGCCGAAGAGGATCTGCTTTCTCGCGTCAAGAATGATACTTGTAATCATTACCGTTCTACCAACAGCATCCGTCCATTTCTCCATGAACCCACCAACGTTCATGCGCGGATACATATCATCGGTCAACAAGCTTGCATTCTCTTTCACTTCGTCTGCCTTCGCGATGGCTAGGGCCTTGGAGTTTTTCTCGGCATCAGGAGGCAAGATCGGAAGGAGATACTTTTTGTAAGTGGAAATCTCGAAGTCGGCGACGTTGTAGAGTGTGGAAGGGGTATTTGACCGGTCGGGAAGCCCTTCGGGGTTCAGCCGCATTGAAGGGTGGGCGAGCAGGGCACGGATGAGGGAGGCATGCTTGGAGGCTTCCGTGAAACGCTCTTTAGGTGTGGGAGAGGCCATGATGTTGTGGTTATGAATCAAGGGCCCAGTTCTTGGAGTTTCTGCGGTATTTCAAGTTTGAACAGCTGGCCGTGGTTCGAGTGGTACGAGGTAGATACGATGAAGATGAGAAGAGAGGAGGCAAAGCTCCAAGTCGCCGAGAAAATAGGATGTCTGTCTTGTACGCTTCACTTCAAATGGCCGTTTTCAGTCACTGTTCAACTAAAGTACTGTGCACATTGCGATAGTTGATGTTGATCTTTCCCAAAGTATCAGCGTGAAACGCGTCTGTAGCGCGTTCTTGGGCGCTGAACCAAGTAAAACTGCTGGCGGCTCACCCCGTTGATGGAGGAGGCTGATACCGCACTGGCTTCACCAATGGCTCACATGTGTCTCATTTTCCAGATCTTCGTCCGAGCTACACGATTACGAGGAAGGGTGGCGCCTCAAAACTTCTCACTTGCACTCCGGATACTTGCAATGACCATTTACGAGTGGACTCGACTACTTAACAAAGTATTTGGACATTCCATTCGGCAGGTCAACCGAGCACACTACAAGCTCGACGCTGTTTGTCTCTCCAATGCGTGTATTGACCTCGAATCTCTTGATGCATGTTTTGATGGAAGGCTCAAGAGAGATTTGGCATGACGGACTCGGAACAAATTTTACCCCAGAAATCTTTGTCGTTGACGCCGATCACCAAGCTCGAATGCGGAGGTGAACTTCTTTCACGTATCCGGAACAGATTCCTTTGGAACTTGCGTTTTGTGATCGGATAAAGATCAGGTAATCGAGGAGTTTATCGCCATAATCCACGAGACAAGCCCCGGAGACGAATTGGCAAAGCTCTAGGGAACAACTTAGACATCATGGGCTCCGACCAGATCTCACACTTCTCTATCTGCCAAGCCAGTGAAAAATGACACTTCAGTAGGACGAGCGAAATTGATGGATATTTTCACAACATTAGGATCTATCAACACGCATGTACACTGGTATCTCTGGGCTATGAATGTGCAAACAAGCAAAAGGCTCCTCATATGACCTTGGCAGTTCAGTGCTTGCTCTCCGTGAACCAACTCGTTATCTTATCGACAGCAGCCTTGCCGCCTGTCTCAATCACGTCGCCGTGACAGGGGATGACTCTGTCATAGTCCCAGGCCTTGATTCGCTTCGCCGACTCTGCGAAGCCCTTCCTGTCTTTGCTGCCAGCCGCGTACCACAGGAAGCGTTTATGCCAGGTTGCGTCGCCCCTGGTGTTCATGACGCCTCCGAAAAGCTTGGTGAGGATGCCGGATCTGGCATCCAGGCCGGTCTTCGAGTACTGCTCAGTGGCTGGAAGGTTGAAGATCAAATCTGCCTCAATCATGGTCCTGCTTGGCTTGTGCAGGAAAACGAGCTCCTTGTTGACGTGGGAGTGGAAGTATTCGTAGGAGAATTCGGCGTCAAATTCAGGGCTGATCTTGAGGTCGAGCTTGTTCTTCGCAGAGAAGACATGTGCAAATTTCGTGCCTCTTGTAGCGGGGTCACCCTCTCTCTTCTCGGGCAGGCCTTCCATGCCAATGACTTCAGCATCGGGGTATTCTTTGGCCCATGTAGAGATGAAGATGTGGTGTTCGATATCCGGCGCGACGATGTACTTGACAGGTCCCAAGGACTTGAGCTTGGCCTGGACGTCCGGGGTAAAGGCAACGGGGGAGAAGACAGCTACATTGCCAGTCTGTAGCTTGACCAGGGTGCCTCGACCGCCGACTTTGATGTGCCCGAAGCGCAGAAAGGGTACGCTGAGAGTGGTGATGTTGGGGGTAATATCGCGGATGACCATGACCTTCGCCGGGTCACTGGGGATGAGCGATTTCGCAGACGTTGAGACCGACATCGTGAAGAGTATGCAGGCGCGCGGCGTTAGAGGTGGGATTGGGTTATGGTATAGAAGTGTTCGCCCTGTCCGTACTGTTATTGAAGTGCTGAAGTTGTGCTGTCGAAGATGGAGTGCTCGGGCCGCTGCGACAAGATGTCGCATGATATATGTCTCCTCTCCTACCTTAAGCTCCCCTGCACACAGCTTCGCAATCAACCGTGGCTTGCATTACAAAGTCCCTCGCGTGAATTTAGCCCAGGTCCATGCGCCACAGTGTTCAATGGCATGACAGTTAGAAATCGAAGCGTCATGCAGGGACTGGAATACGTAGCGCCGTGCCGAGGAGCTTTCAAGCAAGCAGAAACGAATTGCGGAGCTTCTTCAGAAACTGTCATCGCGCCTGTCAAATCAATGGCGAGCGCCTGCAACTCACGCCCGTGACTCAGCAGGGAAGCCCGTGTGGCTTAAGCCAGTGTGTGGATGGGCGTTGGGATTGTTACTAAGCCTCCTTGTCAACCATTCCCCTCCTGAATGCTCTTGACCAAGAAGGGTTTGTCACTACGGTGTAGGGGGTGAACTGCTTCAGGTAGTTGGTAGCGGCCTATCCGAGGGTCGCCAGGGCTTGCAGGTATTTGGAAGCTCCTCGGAGGATTCAGTGGCTAGACTTTTAGAGGCCAGCAGCAGCTCCTCGGCCGTAACTAACGAATCATGATTTGGAAATCCGCGGCCAACGGAGTACTGGTGGGAAAGCGCCGTTTATCTCTGCAGCATGATGGTATTTCAAGTCAACTACATTTTCAGCCTCTTGCGTCCGTAAGAGAGAAAAACCAGTTTCCTAGATCTGAGCGTGGAAAGTGACGCTTTGCACGAAAGGTGAACAGGATTTTCAACGCTTCGAGGCCGCTATGCGGGTGAAAATCTCCCACTGTTGTGGATTTGCAATGGCTGAACTTACAACGGACTCCTACCAGCAGCCGCATTATTGTCTGAAGAAGACCACTGTGATCTGATGAGCCCAATGATACTGAGGGCGAAACAAGATGTTCTCGAGGCAGAGACACTCGAGTGAAAACGAATCTGTTGTACAGAGATGTGCAAGATGCGCCCGACCTCAAGCACTGACACAGAGGGAGCTGCAACTCGTTGACGCAGGTCTGTGATAGGGAAGGAGGACTCGAGCAACAACAACTCCAACATTACACATGTGCTACCTTCTCTCCGGCGGCCTCCTCTGTAGCTATTACTTATGATGAATACCTTAGTACTGACCCCTCGTTTTCAATGAACATCCTTCTTTCAGTCACAGCCCACGACGATTGTGTGCGCATCACCACTTCCATCATCGACGTTAATCGCGAAACAGACGACCTTCAAGCGCCAGCTGAAGTGCAATATCAAGATCAACCTCTGGCAATCAAATCCACAACTCTTGAGGGTTCGATCAAAGCTGCCTTCGAATTGCACACCGAAGGACGTCAAAGTCGGATAATCAGACTTGAGACAATGGAAGCTCCAGCGGAAGCTCTCTTGGTACTGCGATGCAGCAGCTTCATTCTCTGCTACGGTTGACTGACACTATCAAGACAGGTGAACCCTCTTCCGTCGAGCTTGAATCCAGACCACCAGCCAGATCCAAGTCCTACCAGCAGTGGCTACTGCCAATTGCAGTCCAAGTCGTCATTCAGCTCCTTTTCATCGTCACATTCTGCAGCCTTCTCGTCCCTTACATGAAATACGCTGGAGCAAAGAAAGCCGCCCGGCATGAGATCTGCAAGAAAGATGCACGAACTCTGTACGAGAAAAACCTCGCTCAGTGCGATGTCAAGACTGCTATAAGCCTGCGTGGCGGGGCTCTGGGATTGAATTGGTTGGAAGTGGGTATGGTGACTGCAACCGCGGTAGCGTGGTATTATGCGACGTGGATGGCCCAGGGGTGGTTGGCTGTGAGGATCCCATTTCTGAAGAAGGGTCAGGAGAAGTAGAGAGAACCATGGGCGTCCCAGGTGAGGTATCAATCGCTTTCAGGATGGTCGTGAGGATACTGATGAGTAGTGTCGAGAAATCTCTCACTGGAAGAAGCCTACCTAGGTAGTTATCCTAGGCTCCCAAACGGTTCCTCACCTACACAGTACGGGTTCAACTTGGAATCGTATCTCATCATTTCTTCCTAGTTATCCTTCACCCAGCGAACACCGCCAGGCACCGAGAATAAGGCCATGAATCCAAGGCTGTATTCCAGTCATCCTTTCATAGGAACACCATACTGCTTCAGCTACTGTCATGATCGAGGTCACCGAAATGCCACCAAGGCCTCCGGCCTGGCCAATGGAGGCACTAATTCTGCCTTTCTCAGAAAAAGGTCACACAGCCCGCCGATTAGACCGGCACAGTCCTTTGGCACACGTGTCCCGGCACACCACAAGGTTTCCTCTCTCCATGTCGACTTAGCACCCCAGACCTGCGATTTTTGATTGCTCGTAATTATCTCCTTGCCCATTCGTGAGGCACTGGCGTGGATGTAGGGGCGATTTCGTCTCCAAACCTTGATAGACAGGGCGCCGTGTAGGAGGTAAATTGTCTTCAGGCAATCGTGGCTCAGTGATTTGCCACCCCTATGCCTGTCTCTTGCTGAATGGTGCGCCACCATTTTCCGAGGTGTTCGTTGGCCAGTGGCTGGATCGCCGAATGCCAAGTATTTATGGCATCTCGTTGTCGTTCAACAGGCCGCTACCCTCGCACACTGTTCTCCTGTCCTTATTGAATTGGTGCTTCAAGTCGTTGTACAACTCAGTCTGGTCTTCATCACTCAGAAGCTGGTCGTCGAACAACACATACGCAGAATCTCCTCGCAACATCTTCGCACTTTCCCCATTCTCGCCAGACTCTTCGTTTTGTTGAATTGCCGAGAGCACCAGCTTTCTCGTCGGCCCCCTCGGACTCTGCAGACCTCGCGGTGTTCTGAGGAGGACCTCAGGATTGTCTCCGGACGAAGGGTTCAAAGGTGCCCACGACTGTCTTGTATCTAACGATGCGAGCGTAGTATCCAGACTCTGGATGTCGAGAACCATCCCCGGTGACCGCAGGTACAGTGCCTGGTCGTAATCCCACCTTCCCCACTGAAGCTCCCCGAGGAGCAAGGCCCGAGTGTTCCGAGCATCTCGAATCTGCACTGGGCGATACACGACATCGTGGAGCTCTTGCACGTCGCGCATGAAGCTCAGTGCGGAGGTGAACAGCGTCGACGAATCCGACTCCCACGTCGACGGGTAGAGGAGGACGATCGACGGCTCTTTTGGCAGTCGACTTGTTGATCGTTGTTGTTTGGCGAAGAGAAGTGCCGAACATAGATGCGATGGTTCCTCAAGGGCGAATATGTACGCCAGTCGCTGAGGTGGCAAGTCTTTCCTTGGGTTTTGCTCCTGTGTCGCCGCAACCACTGGTACTTGGATAGAGTCTGCCCATGGGCCTCGGCTCCCAACTACGGAATCCGCATCCCCTTCAGGCTGCTCTAACACAGCTCCGAAGGTGTCATTCTCGGGCTCTCGAAATTGAGGCGGTAAAGTTGGCACGGGTTGCGGCTCGGGCGGTCTTCGGATGGCTTCCTGAATCGACCGGACTGATTGTTGTTGTAGCACGTATCCGGATAGAAACAGGAGGAAGGTGAATAAGCAAACAACTCCTCCCGAGACTATGGCGGACACGGTCGATGAAGTCAGAAGGACCATGATGTTGAGAAGGCTCCCTGCTCCCCCGTTCTGCTGGCCAGCGACCAGGTCAGGTCTTTTGGGCTCTGCTCGTATGCAGCGACAGTTCCTGAACCCTTCCTGGAGTCGTTGTTTTCGGTCTTGGCTTTGGTTGTACAGGCAAAGTCACGTTGGGGTACTCTTCAAATACACCCAGTGATGCGGTCCGCATCTACAAGTTGCCGTCGCTTTGGCAGCTGAGTTTCGGTGTTGACAGCCTCGTCACCCGGGACAACCAGCCTTGCCATGACGTCGGGCCGCGGAATATCTTCGGCATCTTCGCCGACCTGCACGAGGCTGCGATAGAATTGATTCCAGCACAACTCATTCCCGATCAATAACTTACTCTGTCACAAAAGCTACTTCTCAGAATGTCACACCGCGCGGATGCCTCCAACACACTCGATAACCGCGGGTACAGCGGTCCCCTCATCCGGGGCCAAAATCCGGCGCTCCTACTTGAAACCGCCATGCGCGACCGCATAACAGACTCTCTGTACTGGAAAGAACAATGCTTCGGTCTCAACGCAGCTACGCTTTGCGATCGAGCGGTCGAACTCACATACATAGGCGGCACATACGGTGTGGCCATGAAACCTACTCCCTTCATCTGCCTGGCATTCAAACTACTCACGTTGGTTCCTGATCGGGAGATCGTTCTGGAGTATCTGAAGAACGGAGGCGAAGAGTGGAAATATCTACGGGCGCTGGCCGCTTTCTATGTGCGCCTCACGTTCAATCCGGCTGATGTGTACAAGACTCTGGAACCGTTCCTTGAGGACTCGAGGAAATTGAGACAGAGGAGAAAAGAGGAATATATCCTGATTCACATGGACGAGTTTGTGGATAATCTGCTCACCAAGGATAGAGTTTGCGGGACAACTTTGTGGAAACTACCAGCGAGGCAGGTTTTGGAAGACCTAGACCAGCTGGAAGAAAGAGTCAGTCCGCTGCAGGCTGAGTTGGATGCCATGGAGGAGGAAGAGAACGGCGATCCAGATGACTTGATGGAAGATGTGAGGCCGCATACATCTGCTAGCGAAAATGGGGAGAGCCCACGGTCGTTGAGGAGTAGCGAGAGTAGGAGCGAGAGCCGGAGCCGGAGCCGGAGCCGAAGTCGAAATCGAACACGGAGGCGAGGAAGCAGCAGATCATACAGTGATTGAGTGCAGCGGATGCACGAAGGGAAATATTGCTATCTCCAATAACTTTCACGAGGACGAAATGACCGAAGCTATGGCTCAAATCACCACATACTCCTCGTCGAGGGGAGATGGCTCCTCTGTCTGACGTGCTCCGGCTGCTGCAGACTCGACAACATCAGGGTTGCTGCCAGACTCCGGACTCGCAGATTGCACCTCGGCCGCATCGCCTGTGGTTTTCGACTCGGCTACATTGCCTTCCACATCAGCGACGCCGTGGCCTGCAGTCCCTTCCCCAAACGGCGCGATCATCGACGCCTGAGCCTTGATCAAGTCAAGCAACGACATGCTGTCGTCGTGCCGATCCCACGTTGGATGCTCGATGCGGAGAGGTTCTGGCAGTGGCATGTCCTGCGGAGTGGCTTGTTCCCGAGTTGCTATTTCTGCAAGATCTTGCTTGTTGGTATCCTTGTCATCGCTGTCGCCCGCGGCTGTGTTATCATGGTGTGCTGAAGGTTGATTCTCGCGGCTCTGGAAGTCTTCCATCGTCCGTCCAGTGTGGTGATCTTCCTCTCCACTTCCGACCAACTCGGTCAATTCAGGCTCCTGATCTGGCGAACCAGCATGTGGCTGCCCGGGACTGTTCAAGATCGCCAGGCTCGGAGCATCCGAGCCGACAGACCCATCGTCCTCATCATCTGCACTTCCCAATGAGTGTTCAGATGCATTGTCCGCATCTGCAGTAACGCCAGCTTGCTGGTCGGAAACAAACTCATGGTCTTCTCGGCTTACCAAGTCGCGGTCCCGCCAGAGTTCCTTCCTGACGACCCAACCCCATTCGGTCGCGTCACACGACGCATCCAACAACTGCGGCATGCTCGGTCCTCCAATATCGGTATTCACCACGTTCAGCAATGTGATGGAAAATCCCGGGACAGAACCCTCTTCGACATCCCCTTGACCATATCCTGGCTTCGCCATCGGAAGACCATACGCCCCATAAACCCTCACTGGCCAAATATTCCACACGTCGCGCAATTCTGTCGTCGCAATATCCACGACATAATTCAGCGTGTCTCGCTTTTCCGCGTCCTCACGCCCAGCATTGTCTCCATCCAGATTCACCAGCACCACCGGCTCATTGGAATTGACGTGCACGGCGCTATCTCGAGTGACGTCTCTGTCGAGTAATCCCTTAAGCAGAGTTTCCACCGTCAAGCGAGGGACATCCCACGGCTTCGTTGGGCCATTAGAAGCTGCGCCAGTGACGTGCTCGATCTCATCGCGCACCTGCGCAGAATGAACGGTCTTGACATTGCTTGTCACAAGCGCGCCGACTTTCGCGACATCCTCGTCGGAGTAGATGCTATGCGTGTCCCAGCGCCGTAGTGCGTCGATGATCTTGCAGACGAGAAGCATGCCCGGGCCGGTGGTGACCTCTTCGCATGGATAATTTGATGTCAGGGATCCCGGGTCTTCAGATCGGAAGTGCACAATGTCCGAGACTTTGATGCCATAATGCGCAGCGAGGTCGAGCAGGGAGATGGCATCCGAAGTCATATTGAGGATTCGATTCGATTATTGAAGGTTATGGTTGATTGTCGCACCGCCCGCTCGATGAAATAATTGACTCGATGAGGAGTTGACGGGTCGGATGGGTGACCACTGATGAATGATACTGTATGCCGACCCGTCAATCAAGCCTGAGGGAGATATGGATCCGGATGCAGATGCAGATTCGAAACAGTAGATATAAAGTCAGGATAGACAATGTGGTTCGTATCGTTCGACACAATCCGATACTCTACGTCCGGGAAGGGGGGGACTTGCGAGTATCGATTTCGTCGTTCAGCTTTCCTTGTGCTAGAGAGATCGCGCAAATCGGGCATGCATGTTCCAAGGGACGTGGATGGAGGTAGGTAGGTAGGTAGGCAGATACACAGAATATTTCGTCAAGTCAAGTCAGGGTCTGGATGCCCCTCGATTATCACATTTCCAACAAGTCCTCGTACTCGTACGAGGTACCACAATTATCACATGCCAATCTACATTCCGCATATCTGCATATCTGCAATCTACAAGCCGCGTGGGCACCTGATTACGTGCTGTCGAGTGCGACTGTCGAGTGACGTTGTCGTCCACATTGACGCCAAAGCTGCAGGTGGCGTTGGCGATGACGCAGATGCCGCCCGCCTCAAACATTGGTTGATTATCCGGACCTACAGTACTTCGCCGTATGTTGTACGGAGTAGGCAAGTGCTAGGTAGGTATATAGGTAGGTATGTAGGTAGGTATGTAGGTAGGTGCCTGTGGGTGCCTGTGGGATTCGAGTATATGCGCTCGGGCAGGTGAGGCCACCGAGACAGGACCCCGCGTTGTGTCGGTATGTCTGTTATTTATGTATGTATATATATTATATCCACACCGAACTGTGCTTCGTCCATTACCATCTTTGTTCGAAACGGAGCGAGGCCGCTTTGATCGCGCACGTGACGGAGCATTGAGGGCGCCCGCCGAGCACTGGGGAGCGTCGAGGGAGGCACGGCAGGGTACGGGGGAGCGACGGGAGAGCACGCCCGAGCACTGCGCGAGCCACAGGGAGCGCTGCCCTGATGCCAATCCGCAGGAGCCGGTTCGGGCTCAGGGTCACCTTTGGGCCTCGACTATAGTTGCCTAGCTGTCCCCCTCGCTCGTTTCGGCCAAGCCTGCTGCCTAGAAACTTCGATCCTTCCGTCTGCGTGATGCCGCGCCCAACTACAGTGTCCTAGAGGGGCCAGTTAGGCACCTAGGGTCGACTTCGAGTCCTTGAGGAGCATCTTTTGGCAACCAAGGGGTCAATTTAGGTTACCCAAGTGCTATAAGGAAGACTTAATAAGAATCGATAGATACTAAGTTACAGGTATTAAGTCTCCTTGACGTTAAATCTATACTAGACTCGAAGTAGAAGAGGAGTAAGAGTCTCTTCTACTTGAGTAGGTGGGATTATATACTCTTATTAGGGAAGTCCCTGGCTAAGGCTCTAAGCCTATTAGGCCTTTCTTGGGGACAAAGTCAAGGAGAACCACCATTTATCCTAGAGTCGACCTCAAACTCGACAAGTTGCATCATGTCGAGTGAGCTGCTACTTCTGACAAGGGATGTATGCCCGAGATGCCAATCCCTAGACCTCGTCTCGGTCATCAAGCGGCAAAAGGACAACTTCGCAAAACAAGATGTACTCTGGTCACCATTCCTTGGTCCTGAACCCGACGATAATGCTGCTATCATGCAGCGAGTTCTGTTCGACTTGGATGTTCCATTCTCAGCAGACTGTTGTTGTTGTGAGATTTTGCAACGAATCTCCGCAGCAACCTTTGCTTTCAGAGTGGACCCAGACGGAGACACTTCAATCAATGGTCCTTGGCAATTTGGGCTCGACGACGGCTGGTTCGAGTTCTCAAGAAACAGAAATTCCATTCAACATTACAGCGAAGTAGCTCCTTCCGAAGGCACAGCCTTCTCACGCATCATGGGTAGGGGTGCTCCACGAGGACCTTATCTTGGCGACAAATTCGGGCTACCAACCACTGTTCCGCCGCCGCTTGGCGCTCCATATGCTGGCTACATCGCTCGAATAGTCCCACCGAGACTAAAGACTACGGAATGCTCCGCGGGTGGCTAGAAACCTGCGAGCAAAATCATCCTGGGTGTATGCCTGAGAAATCGCTGGAGCTGAACACCATCAGACTCATCGACTTAAAATTACGAAAGCTGATTACCTTCCCAACTGATGTTCCGCAGGTAAACTTCGCGGCTCTCAGCTATGTCTGGGGTGACGTTCACAAGAAGTCGTTTCAAGTTGATCAACTGCTCCCGCAGCTCCCACAAACCTTAGAGGATGCTATGGTTGCAACTCAAGAGCTAGGTCTGCAATATCTGTGGGTCGACTACGTCTGTATCGATCAGCACGACAACTCATCAAAGCAAGAACAGATCGAAATCATGGGCAACATTTATGGCGGTGCATATGTGACACTGGTTGTTCCTCATGGCAAATCTGCTGCAGAGGGAATACCGCGTGTGGGGGAGTTTGCCGCAATTGTTCACCATGCACATGTCAGTATCGGCCGAGGCAATGAGATTGTCTCGCGTCTACCATCCTTAAGGACCGAGATGGGAAGCTCTCCCCATGCACAACGTGCTTGGACTTATCAGGAAATACTTCTTTCCCGGCGCAAACTAATTTTCACAAAACACCAAGTCCACTTAAGCTGCCGGAAGATGATGCAGTGCGAGTCTATATTCGAGAATGGCCGATTTGACGATGAAGAGGCTAGTGGAGGCTTCAGCATAGACAATGCAGCCACCAAAATATTGGATGGAACATCGGAAAACTCAGAATGGCGTGGCATATATGACAAAATGGTTGCTGAATATGTCGTTCGGAAGATGTCGTACGAGAGTGATGCCTTAAATGCCATCTCCGGTATCTTGTCACGTCTTCAGCGTACAATATACCTCAAAGGTTTCGCATACGGATTGCCCCGAGACGAATTTCGGAAAAGGCTCTGTTGGATCCAGCAAAGCGACAGGTTTGAATACGATGAACAATCTCTCAAGCGGCGTTCTGGCTTCCCGAGCTGGTCCTGGCTTGGGTGGGTGTGGGAGATGGAATCTTCACCTAGCTGGTGGTATGAGCATGATGACAAGACCGACTACTGTCCATACTGCTGTTTGATTCAGCCACCCCTGATCATGCGATTTGGACCGGATGATGAGGTCGACTGTGCGAATGACGGCATTTGTGAGACGACTAGAACTGTGTTCACGGGCGGGGAGGCAGTAAGAAGAATTCGATTTCTCCAGTATCTGTACCAAACAGGCAGGATGAAAGACAACACTAAAAAAAGCCAATTCGACGGTTTTACTGAAATATGTGAAACTATGGTCCACGTATTTGCCTTCCTCCGGTCTCTGCATCGGATCGACAGGATGCCTGGTGACAATACGCAAAGACAAGTCGATGGTTTGACCGAAATATCTGGAGTCATCGTCCAGATATCTGTTGTTTTGAGGCAGCTAGTAGGCAAGAGATACGACTTCACCGACGGATTCCAGGTGCTGCCTCACGTGTACGATAGGCTAGGTCTGAAGGACTGTGAAGCAAGAGCTCGAGCCCCTAGGCTCCGCGCATATTTCGACGGTCCCATCCGCGACCTGGTGTCTCAGGAAGACGTCTGCGTGGAGGTGGATTGCCTTTTAGTGGCATGGAGGGTAGGTGTTAAGGATCAAGCAGACGAGTGTCCGCTATTTGATGATTCTGATACTGACATGGCTGAAATTGCTGAGTGGTTAAGGAAAATGGACACGGCTGCGAAGGAGTCTTTTAGACGCGTGGAATTATCTTTGTTGCTCTTGAAGTGGCGAAATGGGGTGGCATATCGGGCTGGCTTCGTCACGCTTACGCTTGATGCGGATGGACTTTTCAGGAATCTGGAGCACTTGAATCCGGTCTTGACGCGTTTCGTTATAGGTTGATGCTTCGAAGAGGACGCGTCGTGGTGCTTGACAGGTATGATCAAGCGTCTGGCTATGAGCATCAACCTACACCTAGATCAGCCCAAGATTACATCAACGTACCTCGAGTCAGGCGTGCGGAGAGGCCTTTGGACGACAATCTTGTATTTAAATCTTCACCTATCGGTCCTCAGTGGCTTGCCTATTCTGGCGGAGCCTCTACGTACCTCCTCTGCACCGTCCGGCTGTTTGGGATTCGGTGATGGCCCACTGCGTCTCCCTGACGATTCGACACCGCAGACCACATCTCATGCATCTTATGGGAAGGAGGTATATCAGAGTCTCTTTTCGAGAGTCCTCCCATTGGCACACGAAGTTGCGCTGGCCGCGAGATCAATCGATCTTCCGTATGGAACGGCCGTCAGACTCGATGAGGACGTTAGGAAGGTTCTGAGAGAAGTTAGAGAGCTCTCGGCCGAGTCGGCCTCTCCAGCGAGAGCCTGCCATGATGACTACTTGGTCTTGCCGTGGGAAGCCACCACCTACCTTGACACTTTGTTCAGGCGCCTACTCCTTGAGCTACACCGACGATTTGCATACGAGCCACAGGCCGCAATCCACCATGCCGTTTCCCACTGGAGTACTCTTGACTGTGCTGCTGCGATGTTGGTTCTTCAGCGTAGCATCTGCGAAAAGTCCGAGTCGACGGCCGGCCAATGGCTGATTGGGATCTTCCGCTCCGACTTCTTTGTTGCTGGACTGACCGTTTCCGTGTATCTGATACAAAATAGCTCCCAGCTGGACTCACCCACCTTGCCAGGAGGCTACGCGCTGAAGACTTTGCTCGACACATTGAGGTCTTGTCGCGATATCTGGGCTCGCGGGAAGAATTTCTGGCCATGTGAGTTCCAGAAATTTCGGTTTTTCGATCAGGTCATAGCCAGCCTTGACCAATGCACTGTGGTAAGCCACGCATATCGCAACAGTCATTGAAAACGGTCCCGTCGTGGTGGCCGATACAATACCTATCAGCTGCACGCCTTATCTGCTGAACGATAAACGTTCTTGATACTATCAATGGACGCAGAAGAGCATCCAATTGATAACGGATCTCGGAAAAGAACGAAGGAAGGCGATACGTTACCAGCATGTGATCTCGGATCGCGATAATGATTAGAGTCGTACTTAATGTTACTCCGACAGACCGCAGGCTAGTCTGCATGGACGCAAAACACAGGCCACTTTGGTCTTGTTGGGGGTGTGATCGTTCTGTGTGGTAGACCCTCTCCTTCCCTTCTATTCCGCCTCTTCGCATTGTACTCTTCAACCTCCGATAACGTGAACTGTGGTCGGGCAGGAAGACAGACGGCCGAAATCAATCTTCCGTCCATGGGCCCACATGAAAAGGGCGGCACACACCTCCCGCGTACTGGGGCTGTAATGTTGGGTGTTTTGTGAGGCTTGGAGGGTGAGTTTCGGGGCTTCGAATGAACGGAGGGTTCACGGCGTTGCTGAGCTCCTCCTGGCACTCAGAGACAGCTGGACTGTTTCTTTGAGAGTCTCAGCGGACTCCAGCAACGGCCGAAGAAAGCTTTTAAAATTGCGAGTCACTCCTTCGACAAGCACTCTAGAATTAGCGACGCCTCACGTCACGGATCATAGTCGTGGACATGTCGATCCAGAACGTGAGCTGGCTCACCATAATCTGCTCACTTCAACACTGTGCAGTCCAAAAACGTGATCTGTAAAGAAGCTACTCAGGTGTACGTTGTCGTGCGCACAGGTTTGTTCTTGAAATGAGTAGTTCTCTCGTTCCAATTTCGCAACTGGCCAGCCGACTCGACTCGATTACCCCTCCTTCACACGACGGCTCAAAAGATCTTCACCGCTCCTCCCGCCTTAATTCCTCTTGTCTCCTGCACCTCTTAGACACAGCACTTCACCTGACCTCGACGGCAACACTTAAAGCCGACCTTCCGCATTGCTCAGCATGGAAGATGATGACGACCTTGTACAGATGGCAGAGGATGACTGGTGGATGAATGCTATCAAATCTGATCCATTCGATCTTGTTGGCATTGCCCTCGACAGCAGACTTGACGTGGGAACACTATGAGAAGCGTCTGAAGGATTTGTCGCGGACGCTCCATTTAGACAAGAGAAACATGTTCTACTACGAGCATGAATTAGTTGTTCTCAGTGCCTTACCTTAACCGTAACAATATCACATTAATTTTATTATTTTTCTTAATCTTTCGGAGAAAGCACGACGAGTCACTTTCATGAGAATGAAGTACTTCTGGCGGCAGTTCAGCGCGTCAACCTGGAATGCTGGCGCATAGATTGCGCATGGACCTGCTGTGGTTGTACTCAGACCAGATCCGATGTTGTGTGACTCAATTGGACGACATGGTCCTATTCGAAGGGGTCGATGGCGACGCCTGACTATACAGTTACGAAGGCCTGCGGTATTATTACGTGTGGGTCCGAACACCCATACGGCCTGTGACGCCTTGGCGTCGTCTTTACAGACCCTCGGGCAACCTTCCCATTCACAGTTGCCTGCAGTCAGCATCACGTGACCTGGGATCCAACTGCTCTCTATCTGTGTACTTGTCAGGCCCCCTTCCCGGCCCTCTTCTGCTTCGGTATGACGAAAAGCACTCGTCCCCGCTGGGGTGTCGCGGTGAGATCTTGGGCCGAGAGAGAGACTACATACATTCGACCAACGACAGGGTTGTCATTCGGCAGCTGAAGCATCTGTACCCCAGGAACCATGCGATACTGACCCGTCTCGGTTGGGCACCTTTAGTTACACCCTAACGAGTACCATCCGCCAACGACTTGGACCTCCCTTCCGCGCCGTCTTCCTCCTTCGCCATGTTGTACACGTGCTTCTCAAAAGCACCGATTAGCTGCTCGACAGCCGTGTCGGCCGGGGGAAGGACCTGCGTGCCCCAGAACCCGCATACACCAGCGCCACGATCGATGAACTGGTAAAATTATGTATCAGCCAACCTTTCCCAAGCTGTCTCGTCCGTATGTATTCTTACGTACCCAATAGAGATTGGCGGCACCGCTCCAGCTCAGGTGTCCCCTCATGCGAAAGGGATGAGCGTCCCCGACGACAAGCAGGCCACCGTATGCCGAGTCTAACTCCCTAGGGCCGGAAAAGTCGCCAACAGCCCAGCTTGGGTCCTCGAAAGCCGCACGGAGCCCGTCCCTAGCCGCCTGCGTTGGTAGCTGCGGCTCGAACATGAGGCTTGTCGTCTCTTTTCGCAGGAGCTTCTCGTCGTCGAGTAATATGGAGCGCAGCACCTTGAAATAGTCGGTCAAACTTCCGTACGCACCCTCACCACCGAAGCACTCCTTGAGCGGCGGCAAGAAGGGCAGGCCGGGTGGACCGGGTGCCAGCGCGCCGGTGGCAGCGTTGCGAGTTGCCATGTCGCTGACCTGGGTGGCGGGGAAACAGGGTCCGTCGCGCAGGAAGAAAGCAATCCGTGTGATGCCGAGGGGTTTGAAGATATTGCTATCCATGTATGCGCCGAGGCTCTGGCCCGTCAGCTTCTCGACAACCTTGCCGGCCCATGTGATGCCGCTGCCGTACGTCCACCCTGCTCCAGGCTCGTGCAGGAGCGGAAGGTCGAATAGATCGTCGACGATGCCAGCGGGATTTTCCCTTTTGGTGTACTCGACGTAGCGCTTCAGGCGGGTGTCCATGAAATGGTACCCCGCCCCGGAGCTATGCGTGAGGAGGTGGCGCATCGTGATGGGGCATCGCCGCTCCTCGAGCAGCGGCGACCCGTCGTCCTGCGAGAAGCCCGTCAAGATGCGCTGCCGAGCCAGTACGGGCACGTGCTGGGAGACGTCAGCGTCGAGGCTAAGGGCCCCGCGCTCGAAAAGTTGTAGGACGCACAGTGTGGTGAGCAATTTGGTCATGGAGGCGAGGGTAAAGACGGTATCGAGACGAAGCGGATCCTCGACGCCGACCCGTAGCGAGCGCCGGCCCACGACATTTGCGTAGTTGACATGTCCTGCCAGGTGGTCGCCGAGTCAGTAGTGAATGAAGGTCGGGCAAGGTAACGTAGGCGTGTCGCGTGGCTGCCTACCTGAGCTGCTGGCCGCGAGGAGGACAGCTCCAGGGATGACACCATCTTGCACGGCTTGAGCTAGCTTAACGTCTAGTGACATGGTTAACAGATAGATTTCCCAAATGTCCAAGCGATCTTATGGACGAGCTGAACTGTTTGCGAGACAATTGCTCTCTGTCCTGCTCATCGGACGGATGGACCGTGTTTGTAAGTCGATGCACGCTGACATGCCCAACGCCGAGCGAACTTCTGGATCTTGAGAGCCGAGCATGCTTACTTATCAGTGGTGGGAAGGCGGGGATGGGTAATAGTCAGTGCGACAAAGGAGTCTATACGGAGTATGTGTAGCCTTGTCACTGGAGCACATTTGTCAGCAAAGCCGTTTCAATGCTATAACTGTGGAGATGCTAACAACCAGTAATCAACAATCAATAGGACACAACACCATTGGCCGCTTTGCTCACCCTCTTGATGCCCCTGGACAAATAACTACAAGGGTTGCTTGGCTGTGTATGCCCTCACTCTGTATATTTCTACGTCTCGGTTGTCGGCCACTGACTATACCACCTTGCTTTGGGACCGGTAGATGCGTTGGGTTCATGCCCGACCTCCTGCAGCTCAGCGCATGTCTGCCCAAATTGCTCGTCGCGGCCTACATTGGCAGAAGGTGGGTGAAGGACAATTTCGAGACCTGGCATCTGGGTACACGGTACGCGAGAAACTTGGACAGGCGTACTGCCATGTGCATGGTGACTTGGACACCTCGCGTCCGGATGTGGCGCATCACGGTCCGGGCGCGCACCACGAGGTCGGTCTCGAGGCGGTCATGTCTCGACTTGCCGCAGGTTCTAAACACCAAGAAGCGGCAAGCGTCGATCAATCCGTCGACTGGTGGGCGATCTCGTGGGGACTTTCGTATTCGGGTGGAGGTCCAATCGCGCGCCCAGAAGCCAAGAGACGTGTAACGAATTTTAAGCCTGATCCATTGAGAGTATACAATCTCAAGAGAGTCCAACCTAAGGACGTTGCCTCTGAGAAAACTTGACGAGCTGTGTTCGTTTCTGAAAGGCCTTTGGTCGAGCATCGGTGACTTTAAGCACCACCTTTGATTCGCTTGCACGCCTCTCTCTCTCCGAGAGCGGTTTGGTACGTTTGCCAGAGGGCTTTCGAGTTTCCAGCAGCCCACTGGCTTAGCCACTTCGTTGTCGGACCCCCTACAATCGCGATGGCTGCCCACCGCAATCTCCTGGTGGAACTTGCACAATCCATTAGCGATCAAGCCAGAGTGATTGCAGATCTGCTGAATGAGCAACAGCTTCCACAACCCTCATTCACCCTTGATGCCCCGTTGAAGTTTCCCGAGGGACAAGACCAAAGGAAGCTGCAAGATGCGCGGATGAGTCTGCTTACCTCCACTATAGCCCTTGAACAGCTTGTTACAGGACCCCAAGACTTTATCATGTGGCAGTCTTTGACGGTATGGTGTGCCCGATCGTCTCGAATATTGCAACATGTCTCATCTTATGCAGGTCATGCATGATCAATTTGTTCTGCACGCGCTGGAGCGATTCGGTGTCTTCGACGCTGTGCCCACCGACGGCGATATCTCCTACCCCGATCTGGCGGCGAGGACTCCTCTCACGGAGAAACAAGTGCGACGAGTCATTCGACATGCAATGACGAAGAACCTCTTCACTGAGCCTCGACCCGACCATGTCGCTCATAACGCCTTTTCGATTGCTCCGATCAAAAACCCGTTGTTGAAACCTTGGATTGGACATAACCTAGGGGAGATGCTGGTGGCGTCTAGCCGTCTCGGGGACGCCATTGCCAAATACGGCGACACCGACGATGTCACCAGAACCGGCTTGTCCTTGGGATTCGGCCTAGGAGGAAAGAGTATGTGGGAATGGTTCGCCATGGATGATGATGACGGTCGGCAAGAAAAAGGTTGGCGAACTCGTCGCTTTGCCCAAGCAATGGAAATCCGTGGTGGGCTTGACATGGCCCATATACATAATGGATTTGATTGGAAGAGTCTTGGAGAGTCGACTATCGTAGATGTCAGTGGCAGTTCCAATCAGGTGCTTGTGTGAGCGTGTTATTGACCTGAAAATCCAGCTAGGGGGATCCTCAGGCCATGTGTCAATGTCGCTGGCACACAAATTTCCCTCCCTGAAATTCATCGTCGCCGATTTTCCCGAGTTGCGTACGCCCTTCGATGAAGGCTTACCGACCGAGCTTAAGCCACGAGTCGTCTTTGAGCCGACCGACTTACTTTCGCCTCAGCCGGGGCGGACAGCGGATATATTCTTCCTCCGACACATCCTGCATGACTGGCCCGACACGGCGGCGATCAAGATACTGCGGAACATCATCAACACTCAAGATGGTTTGATCAGGGACGGTACCCGCATAATCATCGCAGATTCGGTTATACCTCCGGCCGGAACGCTTCCACAACCACTTGAGCGCCTGATCACCGCGTTAGATCTCCACATGTGGTGTTCCTCGAACGCCGGCGAGCGGACGCAGGAAGATTGGATCAGGCTCTTCATGGCAGCAGATCAGAGATTGGAAGTCAAAGCTTTTGTCCGGCCTGAAGGAAGCGCAGACACATTCATAGAGCTTGTCTTCAGAAACTCGAAGGCTTAATGTTACCTGAATTTACAACCCCGTCAACATCTGCGCGGTACTGTTCTGGTGTTTGAGGGAACGAATCGAATGGCACATTTGATCACTAGGTTCGGTACCTACCCTTCCTGGCGTGAGGCAGTGCTCCCTGTGCTCTGCCGTGGCTCTCGCGACGCTCTCCTGAGCTCGGTCGATCCTCCTTCGATACTTTGTCACGTGCCAGATTAAAGCGGCCTCGCTCCCTTTCCTGAACGAAAATGGTAATGGACGACAGCACAGTTCGGGCTATATATAATGTATATATAACATCCCCGAATCGTCGTCCTTCGCGCCTATTCAGCGCTTTACTCTCCCACCCACCACTCTCTAGTCGACTCGCTCCCCCGTCCGCTTTTCCACTCCTCACGGCTCGAGCCCGCTCCTATCGTGCCACCTCCCACTCGGGCCGGAAATAGTAACAAAGGGATCCACTTGACTCTTCAGAATTGACAGGCGTCCCTGGATGCACTACCAGTAGTCCCCGACTATGGCGCTAGAAGGCACTGTCAACCCTTCCCTGCCGGATTTGAACTGCGTCTCATCTCCCTCTTGTCATGAACGGATAAACAGGAGACCTCTGCAAACCGCTAGACGGTGCCCGGGGCTATGATTGCGAGTTTCATGTGAGAATAGCGCGTTCTCTATGCTTCGAGTCCGAGTCTCGGCAGATAGCTCGCAGGACTGATAGTAGGACTATTTATGTAAAAGCTAAGTTTTGAGAATCCAGACTAATGGAGGCGAATCGAAAGACGGTTGCAGGAACTTGCAAAAGGCGGCAGGTCATGAAGGAGTTGGAATGAATCTGGCATGTCAGGCGGGAGGGAGACTTTGTCTTTTCACTTGAGTCCAGAGAGGGGACATTTTTCCCAAGGAAGCAAGGAAGGAAGAAAAAACGGCTCACATCATTTTCACCTAGGGGCGTCAAGCCTATATACCCTATACTGTGGTGGGCAGTCCCGGTTCCTGCCCTGGCCATGTAAGGCCACGCGAGATAGGCACGGGCAACACAGTTCATAGTCCATAGCTGAGAGCCTAGCTCTTAAGAGACAGACAAAACAAGAGAAGGGATTGATGAGATACTGCGGTGCCCTACCACATATACCTCTTGAGGTAACAAAAAAAGCACCATCAACTCCTCAAGAGCAAGAACCTCGATTTAGCTCCTCATTACTGAAAGCCTCCATGCCACGTCGATCTCGCGCAAAAACAAATTTTCCTCTTCACGAGCCATTCTGCAATATCAAGTAATTATTCGCATGCCGTTTTTTGAATACATTATGTATCTTCCTCTGATTTCCCCCGGCTCGACTGCCCGAGCCCTGCTTCTATTCGCGCCAAGAGGACGCATTCCCACATTCTTTGCATGTCGGGCCAGTAACAAACGAGCTATTATTGAGCTGCAGGTATCGTGTTGAGCACAAAACTTCGCATGGTGGCGGCGCTCCGGCTCTATCATGATTGATTGCGACAGAAAGAGGACGCCGTGAATCGAAGCAGGCCTCACCTCGCCCCCAAGGGGGGTTCCCACCTACCCTTACCCTTATCATCTTCAACTATATGTTATCCACGGCCCTCCTCTCCCCTCCGTTGATGCAGACTACGTCATATACGCGGGTCTCACCGTCGGGCATATTGAATCCATCAGGAAAGAGCCACGAGAAAGAAGTCTTTCCTCGTTATCATATTAATTCCACCACGGCTGTATTGTACTTCCAACTTGTCAAAAGATTGTGTGGCGTCTCACAGGCCTTCGTCATCACTACTATCATCGTATACAACTGCGTCTCCAGAGGCTGTCTCCGAGGACTCTCCTTCTTGGAGGATCCGAGCTCGCCGCCTCGTCTGGCGTCCACTTTCTCGTCCTTTAGCGGAACCCGTCGTGGCTTGGGTGTGCTGCTCCGGCTGACCAGAAGCTTGACTGCCGGGTAGAAACAACAATGGAGGGTGAGTGTTGGACGCCACATGGACGGTCGTCGTCATCTTGTTCACAGAGTCCAACAACGGGGTCGAATCCACATAATTGTTGACCGCAACCACGCGGACACACGCTTTCAAGAAACAGAGAAAGACACAGAGCTTTGAAAGGTCGACGCTCGGGTACGTGTTCTGGGTTGAAAAGATGCCAGTGTAATCGAACTGATAAATCTTGCCTCCTATCGTCACGCTATCGGCTTGCGTCTCGATAGAGATCATGTCCCCAGGTGATGGACCTCGTAGCAAGTCGGAAATTTGCCCAAAGAAAATCCTATCCGTAATAGTGAGAACACTGACGACAAGTTGAATGCGTTTCAAGTCATCAGGCGCGGGCGCGCGAGATAGTTCATTCTCAAGAAGTGTATTCGCTTCTGCGCAAAGCTGCGCCCGTTGACGGCTGAAGCCGCGCACGTCCCCATGTTCTCCAAGTGTTGTTAACGTCAATGCCAAGGACTCCAAAGGATCGCCGAGGTGGTCGACGTTGTTTGGATCCTTGAGAGCTTCGCTGAACTTGGAGCCACGAAAGAAAGAAGACAGGTTTCGTCCTGCGGGAAGGAGGAATCCCCCAGCACTCAACGTGAGCTTGAGTATTCCTAGAGCCAGGTGCTGTCGGTCCGCCTCTTTGACAGCCACTCGGGATGTGTTGGTCCTCACGCCAGGCGGGAACTCGAGGTAATAGATGTCCCTCTCTCTGGCACCCATGGAGGTGGCCCATTCTGTATGCCTTTCCAGCAGACTCTCCCTCCTTGTAAAGGCAACCGTGTCCTTTCTGGGACGGTCCTTCTTGTCAGTGGGTTGTGCGGTGACGACCGTGTGCTCTCTGGGACGGTTCTCCTTGTCATGAGGGCGTGCGGTGACGAGCGTGTCCTTTCTGGGACGGTCCTGCCTGTCAGTAGGTCGTGTGGAGACGACCGGTGCCCTGTTGGACATGTCCAGGTCATAAACGCGACGCCCGTCTCCCATTGGCAAACATCCAATGGAAAGCCAAAACAGCTCCGATAGTGGAGTCGGATCCACGAGATGTTCCAATCTCGGCCGATCCGGGTGTTGGGCAAAGTAAATCTCGTCGAATCTCGTCTCGGTCAAGTCGAGGCTCTGACGCCACCACGCCACCCCAGTCGTTCCGTATAGCTTGTTGGCGGTACCAGAGTTGAGGTAGGCATCCTCGTCATCGAGATTTCCCTCCTCCGTAAACAACCTTGCGGTCGTTCTTACGGAACGGCTTTCTCCCCGATCTGGACGATGACCATATCGACCCCGAAGTCCAATCCCCAGGATAAAGAATCGATGAACAGGGAACCAGGCCTCTCCGTGCCGAATGAGCAGTGGGTCTCCTTTCTTGGAGCCGGATGAATAGAACTCGGCGAGCTTTGCGAGATTGACCCATCCAGTCGAAGATGATGAGACAACGTCTTCCGCCCTGTTCCGCTGTTCCAATGTCACGATCCTCGACAAGCTAACCCCCCCCTCTCCCGGCAACAAGCTTAGAAGGGGAGCGTGTACGGATCGAAAGCGGATTTGTCGGGTCATGTTCCACCTGTTCTTGATGTATCCGGTGCCGGCATCATCGACTTTGCCCAGGGCCTGAGAGCGCTCCGAACGTGCGGCTCGCAGAAGGAGGAACGGCGTGATCACACCGACGATGGCGACCAAGCCTATCACAACTCCAAGCCATGTGCCGATAACCCCCAAAAGGTCCAGCGTATCCGCCATGAGAAAGAAGGCGAAGAAGAGGCTCTTTTGCAGAGAACGAACCGTCTGAAGGTCGGACACGAAAACAAGTGGTGTCCAACTTCTCTCCTTGTGATCTAATACTGAACACAATCCACCCTTGCTGATAAGGCCATATGTAATTCACAGATTTTGCGAACGGCAGCATCTCCTGTGGCAATCCGGGTCAGGTGGGCTGCCTGAGGAAGAGGGGGTTGTGCATTGTGACCTGTCAACCTTTCTTCTTCTGACGCTTGCTGCCGGGGTTTCGCCTCAAGAAACAGCGAATTCGCTCTTTTCCTTGTTCTCCGCCAAGCTTATGCATGCAAGTCGATCAAAAAGGGCGGCCAGCGTGGCAGTCCCCCAAAGGCGGCCTGTGATGAGTGCTGTCGAAACCGAAGCTAAGACTGGCCACAACGGCCCAAGACTCGTTTGGACACTCGCGACAATTGCAAGTGCAGCACCTCCAATAGGCCTCGGCGCCAGCGATTGTGTAGGGTTCAAGTCTGGCCTAGACCACGCCACTCTTGCCGAAAATAACATCTGTCCCATTTCTTGTCCTTCCCTTGACTGATCACTTCTGTCCCATGATGGCTGATGCACAGCTACATCAGATTTAGCTGTACCAAGTTTGACGATTTCCTTGCGAGGACTTGTACCGGGGAGCTCCTCACTCGGGCGCATTTTGATTAACTCGTGCGGCATTTCTGTGATCAGACGTACCCAGATGTAGCCTTTAGCTTTCTGTACCTGCATGTGCCAAGGTTCTTCACTGCGCACATCGCCTTGTAGTCTGCCGGATAACCCTCTAACTGGTGTTTGGCACCGAGGAGGAAGTAAGAGGGCTGACTGTTACTGCGCAGAGAATTCGATTGATTTCAAAGATGCTCCTCCAACTCGTCCACAATTCTAGGACAAACGCCAGAAGATGCCTCTTTCACCTCGAAAAATAATCCAGGCTAGACGGGATATTAGAGAGATGCACCGCGGTGAGACCTCTTAAGCCCCTGGCCCGGCGGCGGTCGGTCGAAGTGTGGATGCTCGAGGGCGTGCTGGCCGGTAAAGCTGTGTGTATAACGCACAATTTGAAGACCTCGAGGGGAGCAAAAGGACGGCGAGGATCGAGGATTAGGAGGGTGATTCTTAAAGCAGCGAGTGAGAGCATCAGGGAGCGGGATATAATCCGACCGAGAAAGGACGTAGGTGATAACGCCGTGCCACACGACGGGTGCATCGAGGTGAAGGAAGGCGAGAAAGAAAGACAGGTCGATGAGGAAAATCGAGTGTATGACGAGGGGTTCCAAAGGCAACAAGGCGACAATGCCGAAACCGGCAAGACGGCCTAAAGAGCAGGCGGATTTCCAATAACACCTTCCACTGTATCCCATCTACAGTCAACTCTGACGACAGTAGGTCTTACACACCAAACCAATTCTTCCTTCCTTCCATCGCCCTTCACGACTATTTCTCGCACCCGCCATAGCATTGCAAAGACGTTATAAGAGTGTGCCTATACCATAACGCCATTGGAACGAAATATCTACAATTTTACCCCGTGAAAGGCGCCAAAAGAGGGTACCAGACCAGCCAGAACCACCATCGCAAGTTCGGTCGTGTTGTAGTGGGTACAACGTATATTCATGTACAGGGAAACAATGCTGGAGGTTATGGGATGCTATTTTGTATGGTATTACAATATTGTGCTGGTGTTGATGAAGTTGTGATTGGGCAAGGCTGCCGTTTCCCGTACTCGTACATGTACAGAGAAGCAATCTGGCGCTCTGATTGGTGGAGCTTTAGCGCAAGGCTGCGCATCTTTCCATCTGTTTTGCCTTTTGCTTTCGATCGTTCATAGACAGGACAACAAAAACAACTCAGCTGGCAGGTATCGCACCGTTCCTTTGAGATGTACCTTAGTGTAGTGTACTGGCGGAAGATGGTCGTCATGACCACCTGAGTCCAAGAAGGAAGGTGTGGCGATGCACGTAATCTCTTCTACAAAGACAGCCTTGCGCAGCCTTACCAAAGCCGCGGCGAACTGCGCTCAGACAAATTCAACAGTGTTCAAGATGGCAATGGCACGAGGCTGCAGCACAGCCTTGCGGAAAAGAGCATGCGATCACGCAAGCATATAACGCATCATGTAAGGCGGACATTCAGATAGAGACAACAGAACAGTTTTCCCCTTCTTGAGTGAGGCGTCTTGCGTGCGCGTTTATCTTGTGTGTTTAGGAAGCTCTAGCCAAGTGTGCTGAGCATATTCATTAATCACAGTCATCTTTACCTTCCGTATCGGGACGCGCCCATGTGTGGTGTCCTTGTTCTTCACGACCATCGACAGCGGCTCTTCGCCGTTGCACCCAGCGCCCTCCGAGACAGCTACGCATCGCCGTAGTAAAACTCAGCCTACAGTATCTCAAACCGTACAATATACCTGGGGAACCTCCTATACATACTCCGCATATACTGAACATACATACAACCATACATCTACATGTCCGCACATCCATACATCCGCACATGTATACGGGATAAAACACTCTAGCCATGATCTTACTACGACCTGTTTGTTTATTCTACGGCCACATTACATTCCTACGATGTCGGGGTCAAGTTCTTCCTTGCTTTAGCTTATTTGCTCTGGCCGGTTCATCGCATTATGTCACTCCGTACTGTACCGCGCTGTGTTTCTCATCCAGCGAGGATGCGAGATTCGGTGATATCAGCATCGCAGATTCTGCTGCAGGCGGGCCAGGAAGACAAAGCTTTAGTGAACCTGTCTGTGACTTGGAATGTGAATGTCAATCTGACTCTAGTATTGTGAGATACTGATGCTATGCAATGTATGCGTCTGATAAAGCCACCCCTCCTTCCTTCCAGCCCCTACGACGAACGACCCCGCGTGAAGTTTCCACCTCTGGTTCACTCCGCACAAGCGTTACTTACTCTGGCGGCGCAAACCCCTGCTGTCTCACCCATTTCTCCTTCCAGCCCGGGAACCAAGGGCTCTCGTCCAAAGTGTGGCATGGCCAATCCTTCTCGACGATGCCCTTTGCGACCTGCTCGCGCTGATACTCCTCCAAGACCGGGATGACGACGTGCTCCACGTGCCAGGTATTCTTGTACTTCATGAGATTCTCTTTGCCTTCTTTGAGGACTTTCAGCACCAGACTCGGGAGGTACGGCTCGTCGCGAAACTCGGTAACGGGCGTGAACAGCGCTTTGAAATTGAACACGATGCCGCCCGAGAGGGGGAGGCGGCGCAGCGTTTGCCAGTCCACGCGCAGGTGGATGCGCGAGATGTCGAGGTCGGGCGATTGGAAGTCGCGCAATTTCTCGTGCGGGTCGCCGGGAGGCATGTACAGAGGTTGGTCGACCTCGAGGCCCCAGGAGCCGCGCTGGATGGGTTTCGAGGCGGGCATCTTGGTAAAGAAGCTGTACAAAGCAAAGTTAGCATTCCTCTTCCTGTCAATGTCGTGCTGTGACGAAGCATTCGCATACCGGTCCATGCTGAACTGCATCTTCTCCTTATAGTCTGGGATCGGGGCATGGATCTCATGCAATTGCAACCCGATCTTGCTGCCGACGTTCCAGCCCAGAGCCGAGCAGATCATCCCCGCGCGGAAATGGTAGTACCCGGTTTCCGGATTCCGCAGCGTGATTGCAAAATCTTCTGGAACATTGTCCAACAGGACGAGTAACGGATGCTTGGCCGAGACGTCCTGCGTCGTGCCGAGGATCTTGTTCTCAAACGTCTTCTTGTCCGCGTGGAGCTTAAAGTACTGAGGGTAGCGGGCGCAAAGGAACTGTAGAGCCATCTCCATCAATTCTTTACAGGCCAGCTCAGAGCCGGGAAGCCATTGAAGAACAGCTTCGCCGTGTTGGGCGTACAGCTTCTTGCGTTGATTGATCCGGGAGACATAGGTGTTTTCCAACTCGAGCCACCAGTCAGGCTCGAGCTTGGTCAGTGCTGTCCAGGTGGGTCAGTCGAAGCAGAATACAGGACTCGTCACTGGCACTCACACATGGTCTGATGGTAGGCCCAGCGAAATGGCCGGTATGGCCGCGGCAAAGCCTTGGTGATGTCATGTTGAGGATAGGCTTGTGGAAGTGGGATACCACTCAGGGCAGAGTAGTTGGGGAAGTCTCCTAAAGCGCGGATCTCCTTAACTTTGTAGCCGGTATAGATGTACTTGTCCGGGTCAGCCTTGCGGAAGTCGTCTTCAAATCCGAGGATGGACTTGGTCCACTTCTCTTCATCGAAGGTGGAAGTCTCCAGAACCTTGCGGCGCTCTTCCGGTAACTCGGCAGCTGCTTCTGGGAGGTTCTCTCTGGTCAGAGGCGGGAAAGCGCTCACATATTCGGACGACTTGGGTTGTGAGTTGGCGGGGACCTTTTCCGGAGAGAGTGACCGAGGAGGAGTATCCGCACTTGATGATCGGCGCCCTCGGAGGATCAATCTGCTGAAGACGACTTCCTTCTGACGTTGACTGAGACTCAGATATGTGATGATGGTGACACATACAGCGAGCCCTGCATACAGCAGGGTCCGCTCATCCACGAACGAAGCCATCTCTGAGAACTCAGGGTGGAAACGTGTTGTTGCGTCGGGATCTTGCGAGTTTATGTACGGCGAGGCGACGGACGAGCTCAGCACGGTCTCTTACAGACGATGCAGAAAGACCTTCAGTGTCCCAGCGAGAAGTTGTGACACCTGTTTCTGTGCAGTGATTGTCGCAACTGTCAAAAGCCGCTGACGTATGTCAGCAGGAGAACATGAAGCCAAGGACAGCCGTCGACAGTCAGTGTAAGGCACAGCAAAGCGGCTGATGTGTATAAATATGATTGCGGAGCTCGAAGATCTCCCGAACAGGACAAAATGCCAGCAGGAACCGGGACAATCGGTCAAGTCACGCCACCTAACCGCCAGAAAATTTCGGGGATAGTGGTACGACAGGATCTGATTGTTTAACAAGGTCGCAGAAGAGCGGGCGAGATTGATAAAAGAATAGAATTCCGGCTGCGGTGCACAGGGAGTCGCGGGGACATGATGATGGTAGTTCGAGGGAGAAGTGAGCTCAAAAGGGTGTAGACCAAGCAGGGTCCATCTTCAGAAGGGATCGTGAACCACGCAGCTCATTGGACGGTCGGAGAAGGAAAAGCTCCTCGGTAGACACCGTCGAGAAAAGCTCGTCCGTCTGGCCATTCAACCGAGACAGTACAGCTGGCCTTGTACAGACCGAGACTGTTGTCGAGCGGCGATCGCAGCGGTTCGTGACAGGGCCATCGGGCAAGCTGCTTGATTCCATGCAGCATGCCAGATGCATGCAGCAGGATCAGCCGGCAAATCGGCCAGTGGGGAGAGTATCCAATGTGCCTGACGGGAGCTCGATCGGGCTCATGTGCAGATAATCACAGAGGGAGAGCACGTCGTCGTCGAAATGCGAAGTGCTGCGGTTGGCTGCACGGACAGCCTTGCCCGAATAGGTTTAGCCCTCGGCCGATACCAAGATAACGAATCAAATCGCGGGGCTGCTCGTGATTGGCCAGCGTCGACCCCACGACTCCGGGATTTCGCCATCTTGGATTGTTCCTCTTTCGGGCAAATCTATCCCGGGTTTGGGCTTTCTGACCTTCAGGGACCTGAGTGGCAGCACTCCAGGTCAAGCGAGCCTGTGAGCATGGACAGCCTCCAGGTGCAACATGTTTTGAGTGCGCACGAGACACACACCTTCTCCAGGCCGGTGTACTCGTGCTTTATGTGCAACGATCGTTCCGTCTCTGTGGCCTGGTCGAGTTCTCGAAGCAACGGGCATGCCATGAATTGTAACATCCTGTGCTACCACCAGCGATGCTTGCTATCCAATTACTGGGGCGCAACACACGTGGCTACCACTCCCCGGGTACGTGCCGATTTGTTTCTGGCCTGCTGATCGTGGCACGTTGGCTCTGAAAGGGCTGCGTGGGATACTGCTTGAGAAACGGACTGATTGTCTGAGCGACAGGAGGACTCGCTGCATTTGATCCAAAGCGATTCCCAGTAGCTCTCGTGGCGACGGGAATGGCTCTATGGCTTTCTAAGCGCGTTTGTCGAGGTCATTCGGTATGGGATCTCGGGTCAAATAGCTCCCATGCAGCCTTGCAGGGCGAAGCTTGTTCTTCCAAACCAGAAGTCGATAACATCCGCCACATTTCAATCTCCGATCATAGCTCTCTGACGCTGACAACAATGCTTCAGCATTAGTGGACTCAGGCCATACCGTGATGTGACCTGGGGCTAAGGTGCAATGTCGCAGTAGCCGAGAGTCGTAAATCCAGGATCCCTTTCGTCTCGAAGTGTGACAATTAGCAACACGCCATCATTACGCCCGAGGCTATCCTGTTACCAGGCTACGCGTGCGCGCTCTCCGACGTCCACGAAGGATTGCTCGACAGCACGACTTCTGGTTCCATTGATGCCAACAACAGATAAATTGTCCGGGGCAACTCCCGCCTTGCACAGCTTCGCGCCAGACGGATCACAAATGGAGAGGAGGTTAGGCTTCGCGTGGTCGAAAGCGCATCTGTCGTGCTTGCTGGCACGAGGTCCGGCAACACAGTCATCTCCTCTGTGCCCTTTCCCTCGTTTCGGCGTTGTAATTTGTGAGTGGATAATATGTCTGCAAGTCTGTTGCATCGTGTTATAACGGCCCACAGATTATGCGCCTTGGGCTGACAGCTGAGCTGTGGAAGTAACAGTCATCAAGTATGGGCAATCCAAAGCCGCGTCGCTCGACTGAGCATTCGTTGCGGTGAGACGTGGTAGTTGCACGATTTTCCTGCTGCTGCTCGAAATGCTCCTCATTCGAAGTTCCAGAATCACCGAGACGTACCCCCAGTGGCATTTCGCTGGCGGAAGGCACAGGAGCGACCTATGTGCCCCGGTTATAAGACACTGCCTACGTGGGTGGACAAGGCTAACCAGTTGTCACCGAGTCGGTCAACCATGCGACGTGAGTAAACATACAATCTGTGGGTTAAGAGATACCGCGAACCTGATCCTGTCGGACGTTCGTGCACGTTGACTAGGGTGCTCGGCCACAGGTCCCTGGTCAAGGCCAGCACTCACCGTCCGTCAGGCATGCGTAGAGCGTCGTGAGAAGTTCTCGTATTCAAGCAGACAGCGACATTCAGTACGAAAGAACGAACGCTTGATTACGGCAGTAGCACTGCCGTGAGAGGACAAGAGGAGAGATGCTTGCCTGATTGATGCGTCTCGGCCTGATACCACGAAGAGGTACGTGAAGTGGTTAGAAAGACGAGGGTTCCGAGTCTGAGAATGAGGATGCAATAATTGCCTTTCTACTCCACCGTATGTGATCTCGACCGCAACCACTTCGACGTAGAATCGAAAGCGACCGCAACGTCTTACTTGAAAATCTCTCCATTCACCATCCTGATGCGCCTGCGTCTATGCATTGAGAAGACAACGTGAGCACAATGGCTCAGCCATCCACGAACTCGAGCCCCAAACTACGTGACCTACGATGGCCGCATTCGTCCCGCGCAAGGTGTATCCGCACCTGGGTTCCATTCCCAGATCCTACTACCTAGGCCATCATGCCGCCGGGCTGTCGAAAATGAAATCCATGGTGTCGCAGATCGACCTGGTCATCGAGTGCCGCGACTACCGTACACCGATTGTGTCCCGCAATCCCATGTTCGAAGCGAATCTCGGCGAGCGTCCACGATTGATCGTCTACACCAAGCAAGACCTAGGAAGCAATCTCACGAACGAGGACAAGCAGGTGCGCGGAGGAGAGACCTCGTAGGAGTTTTGGGCTACGATGCTGACAACGGCGCAGAGAGAGCGGATCATCCAGAAGTGGGACGCCCCCTCGATATCTTTCTTCACAGACATCAAGGCGCGAGCCACGATCAACAAGGTCCTCGACTTCGCACGCGCCCACGCCCACGCCTCGACCTCTCTATTCGGCACTCGTCTCATGGTCGTGGGGATGCCTAATGTGGGCAAGTCGTCTCTTCTGAACGCACTCCGCAACGTCAGCTTGGGGAAGAAGAAAGCCGCCCGGACGGGCGATCAGCCCGGGGTGACGAGGAAGATCGGGAGCGATGTGAAGATCATAGAGGCAGAGGATGGTCGGGAAGCCGTCTATGTGCTCGATACGCCCGGCGTGTTTGTTCCGTATGTTCCTGACGCGGAGAGCATGCTCAAGCTCGCCCTGTGCGGGAGCGTCAAAGACACCATCATCCCGCCGACGACGATTGCGGATTACCTTCTGTATCACCTCAATCTTCGGGATCCAAAACTGTACAATACATTCTCGGAGCCCAGTAACGATATCTTCGCTGTGCTGGAAGGTTTGGCGCGGAAGCAGGGCCGTTTGAAGAAGGGCGGACTCCCGGACTTTGAATCCTCGGCTCTGCAGTTCGTTCAACGGTGGAGGAGCGGTCAGATGGGCCGATTCATCTTGGACGACGTGACGGAAGATGCCCTGGCCGAAAGAACACAACGATTGGAGTTGCTGGGAGGGAGCATGAACCAAGCCCGCAAAGCAGCCAAGCAACTTAGGAAGGAGGCGTACATGGCCGAAGGATGAGCCATGGAACGAAAGTTACCGAGTACAAAAATTCGAAAGCAGAAGATTCTCTACCTACCACTAAGATGACCAACACGGCTATTAACGGAGTAGAGTGAACCTCCTCGAACCCTTCATGGTAATAAGTGAACTTTACCTCCTGTCGTACACCAACCTACAAGTAAGTGACGAAGTAAAGAAGCAAAACTAAAAACTTTACCTTGACCTCTATTCTAGCAGGAGGAAAGCTAGAAAGAAAAACAAAATCAAAACCAAAAAGCTCTACCACAACCTCCATTCGGGCAGGAAGTCGTAGTGAATTTCATTTTTACTGTCATGATAGGGGCTATACCCAGCAAGTGGCCAACCCGCCGGTCTACTCCCCATCTCACGGGTACTTCGATTCGATTTCGATTTCGAAGATGCCCGCCGATTTGACTTTGTCAAGTATGCAACCATTGTTTTATTTCTGAGCCTGTATGGCTTTATTATCCACCGCTTATTATTTCTGGTATCGGTCGACGAGGAGGATGCAGATAATGTCGGTTTTTCGTTTCGGATGCGACTGCGGGAGTTGAACTGGAGGACAAGTCACACAATTCGTCTCGGACTCGCCCCTGCCCCGGGGTGCAGTTTGACTTAAGCCCAAGAAGATATTGTGACAGGAAATGAAGATCCAAGAAACATGAAGACTCAATATCCATGGGGAGGGTATGAATTGTGGACGAGGGACGTGAACGTGCATGTGAAGTCGTGGTCATGATTCTGCCGAACCTGGTGAACCGGGACAGGGACAGATGGCGAATGCTTGAGGCGACGACGGGGTTGGCATTGCGATCAGCTAGATGGGCTTACACGAGCGGAACTGGTATGCTGAAGGCAGCACAGGCACAAGCAATCATGGTAGATCTGGGAAGACACCATGTATCTTCGACATCGGGACTGACGACTGTGTCGAGAAACCGTTATTGATTCTCAATTCACGCACACACATCTCTAGAGCATCATTGTCCATCCCTCACCAAATCCTCGGGCAAAGCCCATATCCTGACGGCGCCTTCGTCGCCTGTGGACACAATAATCTCCTCGCCATCAAAGCGTCGATCTTTGTCTCTCCTCTCCGCCCAGCAGACGTGGTTGATTTCGTATTCATCGTGCGCTACTTCCATCAGCGCGACGATTTCCCATGTCGACTTTCGAAGTTGGTAAGGCTCGCTTTCTTCGGCCGGGTGAGTCTCGGGAGATAGAGCTTCCGAGGACGCTTCAGCAGCCGTGCCGTTCATATCGACATCCCCTCCTTCCTGCGCGGGCGCCGCAACCTCTCTGTATACGACAATCGTCCCATCACCGCCACAACTGACTACCAGGCCTGTGCGTCTCGACCAATCTACCGCGTAAGCGCTTCGCACGTGAGCCTGCGGGAGAATCGCGTCCTCGACCCAGTTTTCCATCGCGCTCATGGGCCGTATCACCGAGGGTATCCTGCTCGACGCAAATCCCATGGGCGCAGCACCGGTGGTAGGTGCACCTGTTTGCCTCTGTTGCCTTCGTTTCTCTTTCTCAGCTGCACTCAGTTCTCTCCGCCATACGCGGACGGTCAAGTCGTCGGAGCAGGAAACGATACGCGGCTGCCAATCGTCCTCGAAAGCCCGGATCGCGGCATGCTCCTCTTCGGCTGTTGCGTCGCGAGGAATGTCGAGTACCGAGTAGTTTATGTGGCCCTCCCACTTCAGATCCCAGACCGTGCCTGTGTGTGAAGCTATCACAGCCACGCAGAGCCAATCGCCTTCTTCTTCCACGTCGCGCCATAGACGGATCGTGTCGTCGTAGGACCCAGACGCGAGGATGGGCCGAGCACCCACGATCTCGTCTTCTTCATCCTCATCGCCTGCACTCCCGTGTTGCGTCGCTGAAGACAGACCATTCACTTGCGCTTCAGACCCATTGCTCATCTCCAGATCCCCATCTCCCTGTTCTCCCGCGACGCCGCTCCTCCGTTTCAGGACCTTCCTCCTCTTCGCTCCCGTGCACCACCCTACACATTTGACGTCGCCTGTATGCTCGCTCAACACGGCAATGGTCTCCCACTCTTCGGGCTCCACCTCCTCCCAGATCCATACGCTCTTGTCTCGCGAACTAGTGGCCAGAATATTCGCAGGGTAGTGTGGCGGGCTGAAATCAATGGATTTGATTTCGCTGTCCGGACCTGTAAGGAGGGTGCTGAAGTGCCATTCTTCTGTATCGTCGTTCATGTCCGTCTCAATGGCATCCTCGGACGTTGGGGCATGGGAGTTCCCAATTTCAGCACCCTCAACTTCGGATCCCAGTTGTGCCGGCCGCCGCTCGTCATTCCACACCCATATGCCGACATTGGCGTCGAAGCTGCCCGTCCCCAGCACGACGGGCTTCCTTCTGCCATTCTTTTTGGGGCGGCCGAAATCCTTCCACGCCACCGTCCGCACGCTGCGCTTGTGCCCGCCAGATATTGTCGAAACGACGGAGAAATCTCTCAGTGAGTAGATGTTTACGCTTTTATCGGCAGAGGCGGTAGCCAGTAGCGGGGTGGAGGGGTCCGGGTGCGAGACGGATTGCCATGAGCGCGTAGAGCCGCTGCCAGGGTGGTGCAGCGTGTGAAGGAGGGAGAGAGGGCTCGGTGACGGGATGGTTGAGTGGTCCGCCATTGCGGGTGCGATGTTCGAAGGAGTGGGGGTGAAATGAGCTACATATGAAGCGCGGGACGTGCAACAAAAAGAATGCACCGGCTAGTTATGGAGATTCATATGATGGGAATTCAAGGGTTTGACAATAGAGATATGGTCGTGGCTCAAGAACACCCAAAGTCCTACGGAGTACAGCACAAGCAGTGCTCGGGAAAAGTTCATATGCCGCATTCGGAGGAAATCCGCCTCCGGTTTGGCCGGTGCTGCCGCTTCGGCCCCGCGCCGCCGCTTTTGACGTTGATAAGAATCACCACGCCGTCTCCCATCGATCACTTCCCAGCTCTCGTACCTTTCTCTCTCACCTCTGTTGTCTCGACGCGCATCTCCTCTTCGGTCATGCAATATCACATGGTAAGGGCACGTCCCGGATCAACATAAAGCACAACGATGTACAGCTTTAACGAGTGTCATGATGCATTGTGTGGTCGCAAAACGTGGAGGCTCCTGAAAGACCTTTGGAAGTATGGCCTTCTTCTGGGCTCTAGATTTGCCCCGAAAAAGGATCTAAGCGGCTACAAATCATGGGAAGACCTTGTGACAACTTAATCAGAGAACTTGGGAAGCGATGGTACTTTTTCAATCAGATTGCGTTGACGCCGATCCTTGAGCTAGCCCACCACGCAATTTGGTTACGCCACGGTGCGTTGTTGACCCAACCGCACAACTGGCTGGCTGTTGGGACATCAATCCAGGTAGTATTGATGACCACTCTGACCGGAGAATTTGCCAGTGTCGGTAGGTTGCAGCACCTACCTACGAAGTTCTCTTCCTATACCGGCACCCTTCAGTATAGTGGCCCTCATGGCGGCACTGAAGGCACCGTGCTTCGGCCGGCGTATGGACAAACGGACATCGCTTGCTGGCGTGAGGGCCAGCGCGATTACACTTCTTGGTTTTCCACAGCCGGAAATCCAAATTTAGATTGTCCCGAAATAGGTTCTGCTCCTCGTCGCTATGGCGGTGACCACACTCGCCTCTTTTCTTGCAGCGGACGCGGTCAGGACATTGCTGAGTTTGGAGTATGCTGCGACGATGGTCTCTTGCTAGGTCGGATCGAATCACCGTTTGCCAGCCGTTGTTGTCGTCAGGATCATTGAGACCTTGTGTCCTTTCGTTTTCCCTGTCTACACTCTCAGGCTCTGCGGTACTAGACGGCTTATCTTCACGTTCGACATGTTTGTGTTCTTCTTTCACTGTGACATTGGTGGAGTGTTGGCTGTTAGCATCCGTCAACGGCGCATACATGTTGCTTGTCTCGACCATGGCCGGCAGATCCTCATGGAGACGACTTGAGTATTCGGGCCATGACAGCACTGTCAAAACATTCTTAAACAGCTCTCGTGCCTTGCGGACCACAGCCTCGATGTTCTTGACCTTCGGAAATTCCACAAATACCTCCGTTTCCGCCTTGGAAAGAGTGATGTAGAACAAGCGCTCCAACTGAATGAGCTGCTCGCGGACGAAAGATTCGACGTTATCCCCTCCCAGGTCCGCGAACTCGCAAAGCACGATCGTTTGGCCAGGATCGACTTTGTTGGCCTTGCTCCGTCGGGTGGAGCGGAAATTAGTAAAGGAGATCTTGTCGAATATCTCGTCCAGATAGTCTACCGAAAGCAGACTGTTGTCGGCAGTTAGCTTCAGGTACTCCGTGGAGATTCCCGACTTCCAGGCCCAGACCTCGACCGGGATGTTGACTCCAGTACTTTCTTGATTGGCGGGAGTAGGTCGCGGTCTCCAGTAATGGCGACAAACGTCGTATTGGCTTTCTGCTGTCTGAACCTCAAGTCATACTCGGCCCTAATGCTGAGTTCGGTGGCTCTAGAGCTCAGATCCGTCGCCATAGAGTTATCCACCTCCTTCTCTTTCCCGTGCGCGCGATCATAGATCTTAGTCTCGAACTTATACTTCTCAAACGCGTTCCAGACGGAATCATTTGGCGGTGGCCGAGAGCCATAAAGAAACGAAGGACCTTGCCTGCGGTCTTTTCTGAGCTCATCGATCAACTTCCCGATGTCAACTCTGAGACGCGGGTCGATGTCGCTGTCTGTCAGTTTGGGCATGCGGCTATTGCCTGAGGCGGCGAACTTTTGGGCCTCGATCCATATGTTGGAGTCGTCCACGAAGAACATACAGGTCTCGGTCGGTTTGCTACCCATCATGGATGATGTCTGATAATCTAGCAGCAGCTGATGTTGGGATATTCTTAACCTCCTGATGTCCCATCAGGCAGACAGTGTGGTCTTGCATTGGCCCGCAGTTGCACATCTCGGTTGACCTGCCTTTCGTATTAAACCATGGCCAGGTGGTCGACCTCGTCGACCTAGGTCGCGACTCATAAACTTGGTTGCGGGGAAGAACGTCCATGACATACTGTACACATCAGGCTGAGAGCGTTCATGTGTCAGTGGCGGGAATCGCGTGCGGTCGGTGATACGGCTTGGCGTCTTACTGCTTCACCGTTATTGATCCACCGTACCCGAGGTCGAAACCACGAGCCTGCCGAGCCTTGCTTCTCCCTCATGTTTCCCGACCGCCACAAATCTCCTTCGACGCTTCCTAGCCATGCCGATTGTCGTCCAATCACCGTGTTGAGCTGGGACGGGGAAGACTACGCGCATTAGATCCTCAAAGTACGAGTATCGGGACGTCTTCTCCCTGATTCTGCTACGCTTACCGCACGCCACCATACTCCAGACTGACCTCTGCTGCCCAGAGGCACTGCTGTCTTGATCTCAAGCGGGCTGTAAGGAGGTCTCTCGCTACGCTGGATGGAGATCTCCTACAGATAACCAAGAAATAAAGAAAGACATCGGTCTTCAAATCAGGAGCTGACTTCCTGGTTGGGCACGATAGCAATTCGGCAGGACTTCGATCACACGAGACACAATCCCCTTCGCAGAGATGTGGACACCTCCTAATGTTCCATATTACGTCGCACCAGATCAGCTTCCTGCTCCCCTTCCTACTACGCCGGAGATTCGAGCATGCGGCACTATATTGCACGAACGCTCTAACCTGACTGTCAAGGCTATGGGTATGCACTTCGTTGTTAAATATGGCCCAGGAACCAAGATCCAAGAAGGCAACAATCTGCTTTTTCTACATCACCATCTGTCGTCCGTACCCGTTCCACGGCTGTGGGCAATGTACGAGGAAGGTGAGGACGTGTTTATCATCATGGAGCAATTCAGGGGAGATACCCTACAGGATATCTGGCCATCGTTGCAAGCCTCTGACAAAAGCGCCATCACGAAACAACTTCGGGGCATAATGGATCAACTGCGGGCATTCAAGCCACCGGAACCGCCGTTCTATGGTAGCTTAGACCGCGGTCCGATCCCTTACTTCTTGTTCTATTCGAGCGAGTCAAACCCGGCAATAACCGGACCGTTCGGCAACGAGTATGACTTCATCCAAGGTCTCGTACGGAATTTGAGGACCATCGATGACCTTAATCACCGGGACAGTTACAGAACAGATTTCTACGAGCAGAATCTCCCGTCCTGCTTCCGCCTTGGCCGGCCAACGCTGACTCACGGCGACATTCAGAGAAAGAACATAATGGTCCAGCGGACATGTCCTCAGGGTGATGTGTGTGAACCCGCTTTCAGGCTCATGATCATCGACTGGGAAGACTGCGGTTGGTATCCTGCCTACTGGGAATCCTTCGTGGTCTTCACATCCCTGCGCTGGGACGACGATTGGTGTTCGAGGATTCAGGACTTTCTTGTCCCTTGGCCAGCTGAGACAGCAGCACTAAACATGATATACCACGATCTATTTTTCTAGAGACGGGCTGCTGAGTTTATGTATACCAAAACATCCGGATTCGGCTTTTGCGAGCGCAGAAAGATTCATCCCGTCTCTCCCTCCACACCGTCGCAATTCCATGGTTTCCCAAGAACCCAAAACATGCTTACATCGCCTCGCCTCGCCTCGCCTCGCCGCGCCGCCACCTCATTGAAAGGCAATCCTTCCCCGCCGCAACGCCGGAATAACTGTCCACTCAGTGCATTTAATCAACTTAGGCCGCGGATCTCCAGGCCCGTAGAACGTCCCATCCGGCTTAACCGACTCGGTTCTCATGGTCTGTCTATTGAACGCCTTTTGACGCGGCGGCGGCGGCAGCGGCGCCGTCTGGGCCAGGCACACCCTGTCCACTTCGGTGCCGGGTATTTGGACTTTGCCACGCGCCAAAGGAGCGTCGTCTTGTCATGGAAGGTTTACAAGTCCTCCGGTCTGGGTCCCGAATTTATTCCCGTAGCGCATTCCCCGTGACGAGATCCTCCCGTGACTTGATGGATGTAGCCCCCGTTCCGTCCGTTTCTGTTTGCACAAAGATCACCGTGTGTGGAACCTCGGTCGTCGGACGTCAGGGTCTGGTAGACAATGGTCGTTCCGGACTTTATAGAGGGTCGTAGTGGTGCGCCATGATAAAGCGATCCTGCTGACTGGCTGGCTGGCTGCCCCGGCTGGCTGGCTGTTATGGTCAGGTCCCGAAGAATTATGGTGTACGTATTGTGTGTAGGTCGAGGAAGGAGAGAAGTGATCGCCAAAGTCAATGCAGTCGATGAAGTTCGGACTATAGTGCGTTGCAGCAGTGGTGCAAGGGCACAAAAGCATGCTGTCTTACACGTACGCTCACTTCGATGGGAAAATGCATCTCTACCAGCCAAGTCGCAAGATCATGAAATTGTCTCCGCCATTTACCAACCTACAGTAGGCACCGGGATCGACTGCATGGGTCTTAATAAACAATGGTACATACGTATATGGGGGACTGGACCGGACACTGTACGCTGTCCGCTGTATAAATAGGACCTGCGGTGGCCTGAAGTTTTGCTATTTCTCATGGCATATAGAATCCTTGATACCTCACGGAGAAGGAATTGCCAGCTGGTGGTAAACGTCTTAGGGGAGATGCGAGTGTGTCCCAATTCCATCCTCATGATTTGACCGACAGTCCTCGACCAGGCCGTGCAGAACACTCGAGTGCCCCGACAAAGGACGAGCGGAGCCGTGATGTCGACTCTCACTTCAACTGACACTCTCCCGGCTCGACGAGGCACAAAAACGTGTTCGACAGGACGACAGCCGTCGAATGTCCCTCCTTTCAATCTCGACAGACAGGAGGCCCCAGTACCTGGCCTAAGTGTAGACCTGATACGCGACGCAGCCTGTCTCTAGTCAAATCTGAGCCTTTCATTTTCATTGATCGCCCACACGAGTGTGCTCAGAGCCTATATCAGCCAGTGACTCCGTCGTCCCACTCTTCGAGGCGGCAACTTTGAGAGTGGCTGCTGTGGTGCCTGCGAGCTCGGGCTGAAAGTCCCGAGAGGTTAGTTGCCCTTTCCGAGCAGAGTATTCCACCACGACCCAAGCCTTACGGATTTGTCCGGCTTTTCTTTCTTCTCTCCGTTGTTCTGCCACCATCGAGCTGAAAAGAAACCAACCATCATACCAACCAAGTGGTCGAGATAGTCGGACCTTCCCAAGCGTCCTACCACCCCAAAGACCTGACCCGCGGCAATGAGGAAGAAGATTGCACCGCCACTGAAAGACAGTGTCTCTGTGTACTTATCCGGTACAAAAAAAAGAGAGAATCGATCACTATGGTGCATCATGTCAGTATCAGATTATGCTTGTGGTCTGTGCCTGGGGAAGCATTCTTACTTCGTGTGAAGAGCAAGGTAGGCGGACATGATGCCGTAAACGCAACCACTCGCGCCTAATACAGAGGTTGCCATGTTGCCCTGAATGACGTGGCGCGCGAAACTCGCAAATCCTCCTATCAGGCCCGAGGCGAAGTAGATGGCCAGGAAATTGCCTCTGCCGATCTCTTCGTGGAGAGGAAGCCCGAATATGGCCAAAGCCAGCATGTTCATGCTCAAGTGCCATAACTTCTGATGGCTGAACAGAGTCCCCAGATTGCTGAGAGCGTAAGGGTACGCCGGAACAAAGAGAAAGTACTTGTTCAGCATCGACCAGTAAGGAGGCAATTTCCATAGCACCCAGACAGCAGCGTTAAGGGCGATCAGGGCACCGACGGTAGCAGAGGACAGGGACACGTCTGGGAAGAATCGGTCCGCCTGTTTTGGTCGGGTCCACGCCTGGGCGAAGAAATAGCAACCGACGCAGAGAGACGCAGCCAGCAAGAATGACGGGAAAACGCGTTGGAAGGTGGACATGTGAGCGATCTCGGGCGAGTCGAGAGCCAACTTCGACTGTGCTCGATTGCGCGCTCGGAGCACCCATCTTTCAAAGCTGTTGGGCGGTCTCAGCTCTTTGGCCGTCTCCAACCCCTGTTCCGGCCGCTGGGCGATGGCTCTTGTCCGTTCCTCGTGCAACTCTTGAGCCTTTGCCATTTCCGCGTCAATCTGTGCTTGTAGTTCCTCCTCTTCCTTGGCCCGTTTGGCGTCGTTCTCTGCTCGAATCCTGTCGAGCTCACTCTTGCCGTAGGGATCATGCTCCTTTTCGCTGAGCTCAGCCTGATAATAACCACTCTGAGGACCGTAGTAAGCCTGCGGGGATGCCGCCTGCGTTTTGTAAAGCCCGAGATCTTGCCCCCTCTGCATCAATACCGAGGGATGGTCCTTTTCGCGAGGGTCCTCTTCCCGTTCGATGCGGTACATAATGGCTTCATCTTCGTCGATCGGATACGCCTGTCTCAGGTATTGGAGCCCGTTCTCGACGGCGTGAGGGTATTCCTCCAACTGCGACTCGACGTCTTTCGGCAGCGGCAGATCGAGGGTCCCGTCGGTGCGACGGCCATGTAGGACTCGGAGCACTCGATTCGCAAATTGAGGCGGAGGGGCATCACGCCCAAATATGGCTAGTATCTGGTCATCGCTCAGGTCTTGGTCCTGAAATCTCAATCCCTGTTCCGGCTTCTTGTCAGATCCATACGGCTTGAGTTTCCGAGCGACTGCAGTCTGGCTAAATCGGCATGGTGAAAGCTGGGAGAAAGGACGGTGCCCTGTGGCCAGAGGCTGTCTCTCGTGGCAGGGGAACAGGTCGAGGAGCCGTGGCTGCGAGACGGACAAAGGGTACCGTCGACATGTTGTAGCTCGTAAGCAATTTCTTGCTATGCGCAGGGCTACCGTTTCAACATTGTTCATTGCCTTCACGCCCGAAGGCTATACTGCCCCGAACTATTGCAAACCACTTCCAAGTCGGCAGTCCTGCTCCTGTATGATGAACGTGGACGCAATCGTTGGCCGGAAATGGCTTCAGAGGACTTGGTGATGAGGACCAACTGGACTCCACATCTGGTCACGTGATGACGCGTTCGAAATGCGACGCGCTCAGAAGAATCTTCAGTTGATTGTCTGCGCCATCTCAATGCCACCAGAGGCGTCTGCAATTGATGATTCTATACAGTACCGCCATGCGAACTCAATTTGCTAGCCTATACACCTGGTATTCGACCGCACTTCCTTTCCCATCAACAATCCAGTGTCCCTGTCCAACCCACACCGATTCCTCCATCCACTTCAACCGTTCGTCGCTTGTCTCAATGAGCGGTGAAATGAACCATTCCTGCTCGCCATACTCTGTGGATTTGGCATCTGGTGCACCAGAAAGGACTTTGCCCCCAGCTTTGTCGACTTTCAATATGCCCTGGTATTGGACAAAGATGGCTGCTCCGGCCGATGAGCGCGCCGCAAGCCGGACATTGAGATGCGCCGTATTGGTGGAGGGATTCATCTGAGATACTAGTGTCAACCCCGACCCGATAAGCAGCCAGAACGCAGGGTTTGTCTAGCATATCTCCAAGCGCAACCGTTCTCCACCAGAAGCAGCAATCAACTCTACATACCAGGACACCATCCGACGACGCCGGACTGATCTCTGCCTCAAGCCCTTCCGCTGGACCCACGCCCTTGATGGATCCCCCTGTGACCGGGATGAAGCTCCTCTGAGGTCCGTTGAGGACGTTTTTGATCTGAAGAATGTCGTCGCCCACCGCGATGTATCCTCGCACCGTCATGCAATGCTCCAGCTTAGGTGCCATTTCCGAAGCTGTTTCAACTGTTCTCAAATGCGAGACCCGCCACTGAGAAATACACCAGGGATGTTCAATTTTCTCAGGATGCACATTACGCATGCTTTCGTGCCCGTTTATGTACGGGTTTCAAGCCCCCTCCGACCAGCACCTTGCATGGTCGCCACACCAATCTTCGTCGACAATGTTTCAGGGTGACGCAGATTACTCATCCTAGCGATTTTGACCTCGCCGTGCGGAACAACGGGAAGAACATACTCCAGATTTCAAGTCCACGGTCATAATGGACGCAACTTTCACTAACCTACATTAGTATATTTGCTCTTCGTCCTGATTGGATCACGCGCAGCAACGTCGAAATACCGCATACGTGGTTCCTCACTGAATCTGAAGCCGACTGCCTGGAGCGGCGAATGACAGGCACGAACAGTAAGGCAAGCGACTGACGGCGGGTAGGCAACAGGCGGTTAGGTAAGGTCCTACACTACAGCAACTGACGAATCCAAACGAAAGGCAAAATTCCCTCCCAATGCCAGCTACACATTGACTGCTTAGTCACACCATTCTGCGAGCACGAGGCCGTCATCAAGCCACATGCCTCAGCTACCTCAATCATGCGCCTTCCCCATATACTTCTGTGCAACATCCATATCATGACCGAACACCAACTTTGCGTCAAACAACCTCTGAAGCCGCTGGATCATCTTCAGGCTCTTGATCCACGCATTGTGATCTCGAGCAAGCCAGCCATGCGGATGACTCAACTCGTAGTTCTCGGCGATGTGGAACTGATCCGTCGTCCAGATCCACGTCCCACTCCGCTCGAGATTCACCTGCATGATGCACAGGCCGGGCGTATGGCCAGGCGAGTGGTGCAACGTGATGCCCTGAAACAGCTCAAGGTGGTCTTCGCTGAACGTGTTCCACTTCAGCTTGTCCAGCGACATGTAGCCGGGGAGGTAGACGCCAAGGTCGGCCCCAGTCCCGACGGCCCAGCATGCGTGCTTGAATTCTTCTTCGTGCACATAGATGGGCACATCGGTACCCATGAAGTGCTCGAGGCCGCCGGCGTGGTCGAGATGCAGGTGGCCGATGACCACGGCCTTGACGTCTTTGATGTCATTGCCCGTGGCCTTGATTGCGGCAGGGAGTTTTTGCTCGTCGCTATATTTGACGCGAGGAAACACGTCGGTTAATGGGGCCGGCCACGCCTGTGTGGGTTTCGTCAGTATGCTCTCTTTCCCGATGCACTTGCCCCAAGTTGTTCCCCCTGAGGAAAATTCAGAACCAGGGACGAAACGTACGACTTCCAAGTCCTCGGCACAGCCGGTCTCATACAGAATCAATCCGACACCAGGATATTCAATCAGAGCAGAGAGAACGATCAGATCCCGGCGCTTGTTCTCGGGATTCTTGTTGCTCAGCGAGCTGCTGTTTTGGCCTCGAAGCAGCCTGCAACACACGTCCTCGTCAGTAAGTGATCCCTGATCTCTGGTGCTCGCACGTGGCTTTGACCGTTGCCCCCACGAAGCGAAAATGCCAATGCAACTCACCATCCCTCGTCAGCTTGCAGCGTACCCAGATCCAAGATGTGCATCTTTGTGCCTGGGGGACATTTGAACGCCGGCACGCCAGCCTGCGCAAGCAGGGCCGCCGTGTTGGAAGATGCCATTCCTGCAGTTTTCGACTTGCCGAACGTTTGTTCTGGCTCTGGTTCTCTCGACTTGTGGTGCGAAGCCCGGTCAAGACACGAAAGAAAATATTCTGGTGAAATGCGTCGTCCACAAACAATTGAATCAACCTAAGTTCCTCGAGAGAATCACGATAATTATGTACGGTGGCTCGAGAGATACAGTGCCGCGTGAGTCCTATGCATGTACAAACGTGCCTTGCTAGGTATTCAACAAGAAGCAGGGGAGGAAAGCCAGGATGTTGTGAAACCGGCCCTCGCACCCACGGATCCCACAGACATACTATAATCCCATAATGCGGGGTAATTAAGAGGTCACACCTTCCGTCCAGGCTCGCCAGGTCAGTTATCCCGATCTTCGTGCTCGGAGACCTGGAAGCCCTGGAAACTCAAAAACAGCGTCGAATGGGTGTTGTGGTGCCGCTGGCTGCTGGGTGCCGGCTTGGAGGGGGTCACGGGGGGGTTGTTGCTCAGAGCCGTCAAAAAGAGGGGATTCGTATTCCGAGATCTTTGAAGGGGTCGTCGAAGCAAGGAAACTCTAAGGTCCACGTTGTGACGTTTCCCAATGTCTGATTGGTGACGACGCGAATCTGGCCTCGAGGTCGCGGATTCGATTGCCGCGGCAATGCATGCATGCATGCATTCATGCGGGCAGTCAGTGAGTCAGTCAGTCAGTCAGTCAAGTCTTGTCTTTGGTTCTGCTGTCTTCGGCTTCACGCGTTACTGGGAGAGAGGACCCAAGGGCGAGGGTCTGCCAGTGGTAGACTCGTACGAAGATTGAAACGAATAACAGAAAAAGGAGATACCGAGATCTGTCGAATCCGTGTTGTGTCGATGGGTTGGTGGTCAAGATTCGAGTTCAATGGGGCCGGGGCAATCGGGGAAAGGTGGAAGCTTCTAGTTCGATGGGACGGGCAATCATTGAAAGGTGGAAGATTCCAATTCGATGGGATGGGCAATATTGAAAAGGTGGGAGCCAGGCAGGGCAAGGTTGGGCGTCGCGGCGTCTCGAAATCCCACCGATGGATGGTCATCACGACTATAAAATGCCAGCCGTAGCTGCTGCTCCCCTGATTGAAGAAGTCTTCCAAAGTAGACGACATCGCTGCAGTTAGGCGGGGAAAAGACACCTCATCGGTGGAGACTGCGAGTTCGAGAGCTGGTGTCGGCTTGTCGAGATGTTTGTTGCTTACTTTCGACATAATAATGGCAGCTTAACAACGGTAGCAGAAGCGCTGGATGCTGGTCTGATTGACAAGGTGTCTTTGTATATCAGACCAATCGAGGTGTCATCAAGGTATGAATTGAAATTTGTCCAGCTTCAGCTTGATCATTAGTGTAAGATTGGTCTTTGAAGAGTTCTCTTTTACATAGCTCATTACTCTCCAGACCTTTCTCGACGCTCGCCGCTCGACACTCCCCACGTGTTCGGGGTGACCCGGGGTTTCGAGTGGATGAGAATCTGGCAACGTTCGACATCACCTCCCCAGCTCACTCCCCAGCCCCGGCGAACACGCCGAGATGCTGTTGAAGTACCAGCCATGATCGGTGATACTGCTGTCCAACTGGCCCTGATTGCCCTTCAGATTAATCACGCCGCTGCTCACTTGCACGTCATTCGGCGTGACGGCCGCGTCTGTGGGCGAAGTGATCCAGTATTCGGGCGAAACGTGCGCATAAATCGGGTACCCCGGCAGCTTTGGGATGAGGTCCTGCGCGTGTGTAACGCGGTAGTTGTCCGACGATTGATTGGTGATGAAGGTCGCGAGGAGATAGTTGCCCACCATGGGCGAGCCATAAGTATACTGCGTGCTACATGTCAATTTTCTGGAGTGAAACGCAGTATGGCGAGCACGGCTGGACGTACCAAAGACACGTCGTAGCCAGAATTCTCCCTCAGGTCTGCGGCCGCCAGCGTGGCGATCGCGCCACCGAGGCTGTGTCCAGTGGCCACAATCCGATACGAAGGAAAGCTCTGTCTTGCGCTCGCAATTACTCCTTCGATTTGTGGCTTCACACTCGTCCAGGAGTCGAGGAACCCAGAGTGCGCTGTGCACAGTGTGCAGATGTCCCACGGGATCATGACCAAGTTGATATCCGCGAGGATATTGGAGAAGGACGTGGTGCCTCGGAATGACATTACAATTAGCTGATTTGTGTGGTCGAGGGCCACAAAGCCGGTCGCGTCTGCCAGCCCCTCGCTGTGCGTCCCGGATCAAATTAGCACGGTCACGTCGCATCGGGATTCGCCTTGCGCCCGCCTGAGCGAGATGGGGTGAAAATACTTCTGGAATTCAAGAATAGACTCGGCGCCCGCTGACTGGACAAGAGGACAGTTGTCGGCATCGCAGCTGATGCTTGCGTTGGAGACAGGCACATTGTTCTCTGGGCAGTATGCCGCTGCGGAGTACTGCTCGAAGAACGACAACTCGTTGAGCAAGTCCTGGGAAATAGCTGCCAAAGAGACGTCAGCCGCAGATCAACGGCCACCGTCGGGGTTTAACTAGTACCTCTCTTGTCGAGTGCGAGTGGCGCGGCGTAAACGAAGGTGAGAAACACGGAGAGCAGAGACAAATAACAAAGCTGGGAAAGCATATTGTCCTAAAGACTGGGCTGACTGGGGCTGGAAAGTAAAGCTGACAGACAAGGAGTGGACGCTTCTGGGCAAACACAGATATTGAGTAAAGAATGGACAGCCCTCGCAAGATGCAGAGCACGAGATTGAAGGAAAGAAGCTGAAAAGAACCTGGAGGACTCACACCATGTAGACCGGAAGTTGGAATCGAAACCAGATGGGCGGCAGCTGATTCTTAAAGAGCCTCATGATCTCGCGGCCGCCAGGAGCAACAACCCAGATTAGATTTCATCCACTGCGTCTTCCCCAGGATCTTGTTCACCATAGTGGAAGCTAATGCAGGTACATGCGTAGTGGTGCATGGTATTTAGACCATAGAAGGCGAGAAGGCAGACACAAAGATGGAGATGTAATCTCGACGATGTGCAGGAGGTGTGCCAGATTTGGCGACAGGGCGACAGGCGACGACCGGCATGACCACATGGAGCTCGTGAGCCGAGGACAACCCGCGTGATACACGATTTTACATATGGCCAATGGGAGGTCGAAACTGATCATAGGATCTGCTGATGAAGCGCACATAGCAGGTGTATGAAGGGTTCAGGAAGTGATCAATCGCGTCGCGAGCGGAAATGAGGTGGGAGGCGGCCCTGGGCCAATGACAGCGCCAAGAGCGTTGGTTCGGGATAGCTAACGGCTATCGCCTGTCACGTGGTGTCACGTGTAATTGCACGTTGAGCACGTGACACTGTCACATAATCGTCTGGCCGTCACGTGGCATTGGCGGACCCTGCGAGGCTCTTGGCAGCTCAATTTCGTTAAGCAGCCGGTGTCGCCGCTGTCGCTGCTGCCGCAGCCCAACGCCTCCAACCCGGGGGGCCCCCTCGCCCCCCACTATGGGAGTCTGGGCTCGCCTGGGTGGCCAGTCTGCGCTGGCCAGCTCAGCGGCGCATTTGCACGTCCCCTGGCCCGGCTATGCAGGCGCATCTCCAACGTTGGACAACGTTCACTGGCCGTGCATCTTAGTCTGCATATGTGATCTCGAGCTTATATTCAACCTTCATCGACAAACCTCGACACTGATAGCAATAATGGCTCGTGGTGCTGGACCGCACCGTCATGGAAAAGGCAGCCGATCAAGCGCCCCCCTTGTCGGCCTGCTGGCGCTAGCCCAATGAGCCGTGCGAAACCCAATCCTGCCTAGCCTGCGCACCTCGGCCGGTGTCCGCTCCTTCAGCACAATTCGGCTCGCTTGGCTCACCGTCACCAACCTCACCTTATTCGTACCGTAAGTCAACAGAGCTATGCGCTCAGCTTCTCCCACCGCCTGATGAGCAGCTGGCCCTCCATCGAACCCTCGCAATGGCTCAACCGAGGCGGCAGAACACCTACCACTTCGTGCCCGCGGCGACAAACGCTCCGGGTGGCCGGAAGGCGGTCGAGAAGCGAGCGCGTGCTCATGCGGCCAAAGTCACCCATGAGCGGAGAGCCGCCAAACGCGGCGCGGTCGTCAAATGGATCAACGAAAGTGGGAAGTCTCGCGCAACAGGGACTCAGCTCGTCGCACGGAATCCCCCCATGATGGCCCAGTTCGAAATCAGCCCGTTGTCACAGTTGTCACAGGCCAAGGTGGATCCCTTTGAGACCAACCCTCATACCATCCTCCCGAACCAGCTCCAATCCATCCTTGACTGGGGTACGTTGTCCTGTCTTCCGCTCACACGTCTGCCATACTGACCTCAGTCTCGCGGACAGCCTATGAGTATGTCCATCCCAAAGTCCTCTCCGCCGCCTCAGAAGATGAAGCGTCGATGATCAAGATCTCCTGGAGACGAGTTGGCCAAGAATGGCCGATGATGTTCCACCTGCAAGTCGCCGCTGCGGTCAATTTGCACCGCGCCGATGTCGACCTTGAACCGCTGCCCAAGGAGATCGACGCAATGGCACAGAGTCATTCCGAGCGAGGTCTGAACATGGTCAGAAAGGAGCTCGGCAAGCTCAAAGGCCCGCCTTCAGATGCCCTCATCATGGCGCAGATCATGGTCGCGCTTTTGACCACCCCAGATCAGACAACATCCTTCGACGGTTTCCGGAGATCGCCTTTGGCCACTGCGCAAAACCTTCATCGCTACGCAAGACTGGCGATTGTGCCCCATTTGATTGGAGCACTCTTAGAACTGGTCACTAAGCGTGGCGGGATTGAATCCACCCGTGATTTTGGAAATTCGCAGTTGCTGCAATTGTGAGTCAATGGCAGATCCCTACCCTCATGTGCTGGTGGAGCTAACTCTCGCCAGTGCCGACTTGATGATTAGCTCAAGACTGGGGATACAGCCATCATTTCCATGGCTCCGGCCTTCTCTACCGATTCTCAAGGGACCCCGGTATCAACCTGATCACCAAGCAATCGCAATCTCAAGAGTCATCGGCACTGGGTTCAGACAGCTGGACTCCATCGACCTGAGGCTGGCTAATATCCTCAGGGATGCCGGCGAAATTACCGTTGCTCTTGATCACTACCAAGAATGTCGACCGAATGCTCCACGCCTGTCTGATCTAATCAATGCAGCGAACGAGACTCATCACAAACTACTGAGTATTGGAGTAAACATGCCACCATACCCGTCGAAGCTCGATTTCTTGTGCGACATGTGCCGCCTGGCCGGTCTCATTTATAGCGATTTCGTGTTGTTCTCCTTACCAACTACGACGCAGGTCAGACCTCGGCTGGGTGCACAACTTCGTGCTGCTGTGGAGCAGTTCGAGAAATTCGAGGCCGGGAGGTCCGCCACTACCTATTATGGCCATGATGTCGGCGACCACAACATTCTGGTGATGTGGGCCTTGATTCTTGGTGGTCTGGCGTCCCTCAACACCCCCGAGAAGCCATATTTCGTACAGAAACTGCGCGAATACGTTGAACGGGTCCCGTACGTCTCTGAATGGCGAGCTTTTAGCGAGCTTATGGGCACATATCTTTGGTGGGACTACATCTTTGAGGAGCCTGGTTCTGGACTCTGGACGGAAGTTGTGCAATCTCCAAGCCTTCACCATCGTCCGTCAGGCGACTCCCTCTACAAACACTCCGCTTCACCAACTTCAATCCCGATCCACACTCACCACCGTACACCTGCGACAGAACTTGGCACTTATGGACTGCCAACTCCAAGTTCTTCCGAACAGTCTCCACAACCCGCTAATCTCCAATGGGAGCCAATCTGGACGCTTCCCAGGGATGCTTCTCTTGTCCATTGGGTATGGACGTGAGTATGCTCTCGACAAAGACATCCGGCTGGCTCAAGAATGGTGGATGCCCGGCCCCGCGGCTCAGCTCCTGCACACCAAGTTCTGCCTGCTTCACCATCATCTCCAGCAGTGCCGGGGTGGTCGTTCTCGCAGTAGAGGTAGGCGGCTGGAATCTTGATGTATGCCACCTGAGGTTGGAGATGCTTCAACTTTGCTGTCCAGAATGCCTGAAGCTTAAGTGACAGCTACCGTCTTCTTGGAAGATATCAGCGGTCAATTTACCTTCTAGGATGGCGGCACCAACCCTGCAGCTCACCTCTTCTTTCATCCAAGCTGGAGAGCTTTCTCCCAGAGATTTGCGCAAATCGGACCCAATGGAAGCAGAAACGCGCAGCCATAAAACAGCCTCACTATGCCGCCGCTCTTGCAACGTTTCATCCGTTCCTCTTTTCCCAACCCGACAGCGGCCTGCGTTCCAACCCATCCCAATACGAATATATCACCAGCACCATCTCTTGTCCATGATCTATCAGTACCTCCGGCTCGGCCCGACCGTGAGTAGCGTCATCATGCAAGGTCAACAAGGGCAGGACTCCGGTCTCGGCTGCTGAAGACAGATCATGGTGTTCCCAAGATTTTGAGTTGAGCCTCGACGACATCGCGATATAAGGATCTTCCCAGGCCCCCAGTAACATATACGCCAGAGGTTTAATCGACATTTGACCTCAAGGAATGTCCCGCTCAGTATTGTCGAACAACTCCAAGTTTTATCGAGACACCGACGACGTCAAAGATTTATATGCACAATATGCGGCCATGCTTCTGCCCCCTGCAACTGTACCGTATATCGAAACCTTGAGATCATCTTACTCTTCACCAAATTACACATGGGCCTCAGCAAGAGAACACAATGGGCGACAGTACTCGCGGGCGCCACCACAAGGCAAGACCAGCTGTTGGACTTGCAAAAGCCAATGGATCAAATGGTCAGTTCCTCTGTGCCGTTCGAGTCGTCTATCTCCAGTCCCCTTCTCTAGCGAGGGTACGGCACTAGCAAAGCATTGATGGAACCGCCGGTGACGAGCGCGAACCGATATGTCGGAGGTGTACTGCCTGCAGCGACCATGCTCATCTGAGCCTGTGAAGACATGGTTGTCTACACGCCACACCCAGAAACAGTCGCCGAATGTCGAACCTGATCTCTCAAACAATAAATTCCAGCCGATCAATCATGCAGAACCACCAGAGTTGCGGGCATTGTCATTTTTTCGGGAACACAGCGAGTCCCAGTCTTTCAGCCGTTTCGAAGTTTGCCAAGCAATTCTGGATCAGCTCATTCCCAAGTTGCAACCAGGCAGGAGTTGCTCGGCTGTCCGCCCGACAAGTTATTGGAGCTCTCTGCGATTCGTTCTTAAGGGCCTCTCAACAATAGTCAAAACCTCACCCGGCCCACAGTGACCTTGTAGCCGTACGGTGTGGGCGTTTCTCTGTTTGGTGTGAATGCATGCAGGACCTCATGGACATCCATCTACTTACCAGTGGGACATCTTGGTGCCGGCTTGGGTATCCTCGGGGAATATCGTACGAATGACAAAGACTCACACCAATGCAGTTACCGAGATCATTCGTGAATACCTGGAACCAAGGGTATCTTCAGATGAAGATGATGATCTTCTCGACGTTCAACCCTCCAGTCCACACTGTTCGCTACGTGACATTATCTGAATCGGCGACACGGAGACACGGCCTTCCTGCAGGGTTTGCAACCGTCAAGACTGCTCGGTGGTGGTCTTTCAAGATCTACAGATGGCATTGTCATTCCAGAGCAGAGGCAAAAAAGGCATGGGGCTTTACGAGGTCGGCATTCTTGACCGTCCGAGCGGTCTTTGTCGAGTGGTACGCTTTGATCCTGGCGTACAATGACGGATTGAACAACAATGCCAAAGATGTGTTTGAGAGACGGCGTGAATCATTCGAGTCCACTCATGGTGGAGATGGTACACTCGACTACGACACCCAGAGCAATCGAAAAGCAAGATTGAGATTTTCCTTTATTCGCCCCAGCGGCCGTCTGAGGACCTCAGTCGTCGACCTTAACAATCCGATGTATGTGGTTCGTCGCATCCATCGGTTACCAGGGAAGTCTATCCCTATCAGATATGTGACTGGACTGAGACGGAACTTTCCAGAGATCCAAACCTGAGAATCTGGCCCTTCGTGGAAATGAGGACGCTCGAAGAGGAGAGTGGAACGGGATAATGAGACTGAGGCTGAAGATGGGTGGGTGAATGGGTAGGAAGGATGAATGTGTTGCATACCGGCGTTTTTGAGTTACGAGACAGGTCTCCCGCAAGGGAAAGGATTAATCGGAAAAGAGGGGCGGAATATGATATCGCTTGGAATATCTATGGGATTTTTCACAACTGCTTTGGAGGATTACATACAGTTTGCACGGGGCGTTCTGAAAAGGAGGAAACCAGATGGAACAGGCATCAATCGATGGGGCGACCTATCTACAATACTAGTATTCCCATCACAGATTGATGGGAGGGAACATCGCATCGGGTACAGTATATCGACTGAATCGGTTGGTTGGTTAGTTATGTTCATACTATACCCCGTCACTACGTGGAATTTTCCAACTGTGCGATCCTCCCGGTTCACATCGTGCTACACATTCGCATGTGGAAGACTAACCTCGTACACACACACACACGCACGCACGCACGCACACACACAGACACACACACACACATATATATATATATATATATATATATATATATATATTGCAGGATGAAGGGGCATTCAGTACGGAGTACGTACTCACGAGCCAGTTCCGCTCCACCAGCGGCGGCGGCGGTGGCGGCTGCGGCTCACTCACTCACTCACTCACTCACTCAGTGGTCTTGCTCGCCAACTACTGTAATTAGCAATTAGCAAGTAATGATTAGCAATTAGCAAGTAATGATTAGCAATTAGCAAGTAATGATTAGCAATTAGCAAGTAATGATTAGCAATTACTCGCCGGGCTGAATTAGAGTATGTATGTATGTATATGACGACGTCGACAGCCCGACTTGTTCAGGCTGGTGTTTTCATGTTTTCATTTCCGTTGTAATCTACGTCCATGGAGCTCATAGCTCATAATTAATAGCTGATAGCTTTTTCTGAATTGCTGTAGCGCCAGGTACAGGAGCTGGGATAAGTATATGTCTTTCCGTGCTTATGTGTGTGCCTGTGTGTGCATATGTCTACGTGTGCATATGTCTACGTGTGCATATGTCTACGTGTGCATATACCTGTGTGTGCCCGTGCCTGTGTGTGCCCGTGCCTGCGTCAGTACATACTTCTAGTGCACGTCCGCTCATCCATCCACCCGTTCCTTCCGTTCGTTCACGTGTGACTCTCTCTCTCCCTCCCTTCACGACCTCAACCTCGCAAAACTCCAAGCCTGCTGCCCTGCGGCATCTCTGTCTTTGCCGTTTCTGCGATGCGTAGCGTTAGTGTCGACCTGCACGACCGCCGGGAGGGGTCTCTTGCCCGGCGTGGTGGAGGGGGTCCGGCCTAGAGGTCTCGTGATGCTCAAGGATGGTATCGTCGACCTTGAGGTTGGATCCGGAGCCGGAGCCGGAGCCGGAGCCGAGGTCAAGCGCGAGGTTGAGAACGAAGTCGGTCTCGTTCCTGCTATAGTCGCAGTTGGTGGAGGGAGAGTGGTAATGGCAGTGATAGTGGGCAATTGAGCTTCAGCTAGACCTTGGGCTTGGGCTTGGGCTTGGGCTTGACTGGTCCGAGCCGTGGGTTTTCTAGCCGGGACAACAGGGGCTATCTGGGTTCTTGGGACTCCGCTTGGAATTGGGATTTCGCCGTTGTTGCCGCTGCTGCTTCCGTTCCCGCCCCCGCTCTCTCGCCCGCTCCGGGGGCGTAGGTCCATTGCACTTGGCTTTTCCGCTCCCATTTCCACGTCCATCTCCGCAAGCTTTGTCGGCCCAGGCGTGCAATGCGGTGCTTTGCACTCAGGAGAGGGAGTTCGTGGCCCTCGAACCACGGTCTTGCCTGCACGCTTGATTTGCAGGGCGTTGTGCTCCTCCAGGGTGACGACGAGGCCATCGTTTAGGGTGATTCGGACGGGTGTGGCGTTGTCTACTTGCCAGGGGTATATCTCTGTCAGGGCACTCACGGCTCGATTACTGTCGGTGACGGGAGTGGATCGTCGGAGGCTAGCGTCTGAACATTCCGGGGCAGTTGATTGAGGAGCTCGTAGTTGGCGCTTTGATTTGGGTGTTCGTAGACGGGGCCTAGGCCGCAGAGGAAGGGAGACGGACGGCTGGGAGTCTGGACGACGGACTAGGACAGAAGCTTCGTTTTGGGGCAGGGAGACCTGCGGGGCTTGCCGGTTTGGTGCATCCTGATTCACGACCGCGATGGCTGCAGGTTGTCCTCCTAGACGGGGCTCGGTGGTAGTCATCGACGTGGATTGCGAGCGTTCTTGACGCTGTGGTCTCCGTGCCCGATTCGTGAGTCTTCGGTCGCCAGGTTCGCGCCCACGTCTCCTCCCTGACCTGCGACCTCTTCCGTGGTTTCTAGGCCCTCGGAACTGCTGTACGGGCATGCCACGATCGTGGCAGGGTCCGGATCCAGATTCACGTCCACGCTGCGGTTGACGTCTTTCCGGGCAGGGAAAAGGCTCGATATGAACCTGTGATCCATTCCGTGGCGTTCCAGGCGGAGGAGTCCATTCTCCACCCCTAGGTGGACTGGGAGGCGGCAAGCGTGGACGGCGCCACGGGGTTTCGAAACCTGGGAAATCATGAGGAAGACCATGGCGGCGACGGCGGCGGGGGCGAGATCCTGGAGGCGAGCTATCAAGAGACACTGTTTCGTCGTCCTCATCAGCACTCCCGATTCTAGTACGACGTCTTCGGCGCTGAGGTCGCGGTAATCGTCGCCCTGAGAGCTCCCCAAGACGGCCGATTTCCTCATCCTCCCAGATATATTCCGGGTAGGCGGAGTTGACGTTGCCTCCACCACGAAGAGGTCCAGAGGAACTGGCATTATCGTTGATATCATCTCGAGCTCCGGCGCGTCCTTGCTTCTGTGCGACTGTTGCAAAAAGAGCGGCGCCAAACCTGGGATTGTCAAGCTGGAGCATTTGGTTCGAGGAGGCTGGACTTAGAGTCCGTGGCACGCTCAGAACAGACGGAGAAAGCACACCGGACGAGATAGGCGTGGGTATGGTCATAACGTTTTCTTTCCCAGGATCCAGGACCGTTGAATATCTACGTCCCTTTCTGGGGTCGCCAGATCTTGAAAGCGGAGACAATCTTCCTGATGGTCCGAGATCGCTTTCTCTTATTCTTTCCTTGATGGATGTTTTGGTCCGGCGAACTCGTTTGAAATGCCCCTGACGCAGCACCCGGTGTTTGTCGTCCCGTCACAGCGCATGCTTGATCTTCGAGTGATGATGATTCCCCACTGCCAACAAGTCTGTCTGCATATTGCGAGGTGCCCACGGCCGCCATATCACCAATCTTAGTGTCAGAGTCAACACTGGTGACTTCTGCTGGCCCACCACAAGCAGTTTGCTCCGCGGGAATGATAATCTTCCGCGCCCGCTGTCTCCATTCTTTCGAGTAGATGGAGCATGGCGGTCCCGTCGACTTCTCTTCGTCCCGCGTGGTGAATCGAATGCGCATCTCATCCGGAACGGATGGTACGGGCGCGAGAACCTCTTCATTATATCCAGTTGGCTCGTTCGGCTTATGTATGGAAATGGTGGAAGGCGTTGGTACTCTTGAACGTCCTCGCTGAGCGGTCTGCCCGTAGTCGGAAATGGCAATACCGATCTGGCCATTATGAAGATCTCCAGCTTGTGCGGTCGAGGTTGAAGAAAACTTGGGCGCTGAACTGTCCACGCCGAGTGTAAGATCGATATTCAATGCTGTGAAGTCGAAGTCGAAGGCAAGATCTGCGGCCAATCCTGGCGTCGCTGGTGGGTGTTCCGCTTTTTGTAAATCTGTTCGAGCTTGCCCCTGCAGATAATGTTCTCTGATGCGCGTGAACCGGTCCATGTCTTCCGTGGTGCAGCAGATTGCCTGAAGACCCAGGTAAAGCCTGTCCAGAACAAAGACTAGAAGGATATCAAGTGTCCACAGAGCGAGATACAGTGGTCCAGTAACGCCGATAAAGATGAAGAAGCAGATCTGAAAGGGTATGTCAGAAGTCAAGAAGGGAGAGTAATTGTGCATGAGTATGCGTCCAGGCCGATCAGACTGATTCGAGCATGCTTCAGGCTAATAGATTCTTCGTGCGCCAGTGGAAAGCTAGGTGGACTGGAAGCCGCATTTCAAGCCCAGTATGTCGAGACTGACTGTAAAGGTGACATTTCTCGTTCATCGAAGTGAAGCAGCGCTGTGGCGCAACGTTGCTTTCGTACTGGTTGTCCATTGCTCTACATATCTTCATTGTGCCCATACCCATTTGGTGACGCCCTGACGCTGCAAGTCGTCACCATCCTTCGTTTAGACGCTGATAGTCTTGAAGACGCCCAGTCCGCTCCCACCAGTGACCATGACGGTCCCGGGCATTTGCGGATGCCAGTGCAACTCTTTACCATCTTCAACGTGGTGAATGAACAATAGCTGAGGAGGAACCTTTTCAGCTCCCTCACCCAACCCAAGACCTGCTTCTTTGCCGTATTCCTCATCGTCCAACTCGACCGCTAGATCCCAGAGCGTTGCGGTATTATCCGCGCAGGCGACTGCCACCACGCTGTCGTCACCAGGATGCCACTCTATCGAAGTGATAGGTTTTTTATGGAAATGGAAGTCGGCAACCGGGCTAGGCTTGAGCTGGGAACCAGGAGTTGCTCCAGATTGGGGCTTCCATTGCCGCAGATCCCACACCGCCCATTCGCCATCATCAGCACCGGTGGCAAGCAAGTGGAATGTCTGGGTCGACCACGACATGACATTGACATCGGTATTACTGATCTTGACATCGATCATCGATTTCCGACTCTTACTCCGAGCATCCCAGACCTTGACTGTGCCGTCCGAACTTGCCGAAGCAAACACGAACTTCTCGTTTGGTGACCATTGGATTTCTTCCACTGCATCCGTGTGACCGAGAAATGGTCTCGTGTCGGTAACCCAACCGCCACCTTCTGTTCGTTGTGTGCTGAAAATTTGACCAGCATTATCGCCTGTGAGGAGTCGGCCATTAGGGTGTGAAGAAGCCGGAGCCCAGTCCAGCGCGTAGCCTTCTGCCTTGTGCATTCGAAGGGTGCTGAGTGGTTTGGAGGCATTAGGAGGGAGGGTGTAGCCGGGCGTTGAGAGCGCATGTAGGTAGGGGCTGACGTCGTGGATAAGGACTTGACCATTCTCGAGCCATGTGGCAGTCAGTGTCTGGGATATCTGCGTCGGGTCTGAAGCAGCAGAGGTAGGCTGAAACGCTCGTATCCGGTTAGTCGTGCTTGGAAGCGGTATTGACCTTGACTCTAGTACTGGATCTGACGAGCCTTCATCATCTTCATCGTCGTCGCTGTCGCTCTCTGAATCTGTCTGATTTCCGCGGTCCATTTTTGAAAGACTGCTCAACCGCAAAACATACAGTTCGTTCTCTCGCGCGCGCGCCGACTCGGCCTGCGTCCCCGCAACTGCATACAGTGTCCTCGGATACTGTTTCCTGTTGTCGCCGAGGTTGTCTCGTACGACATCAAAGGATAGGCAAGGCCAGGTTGTGGACATCAGATGCAGCATCTCGTACGTAGAAGGATCGGGGGTGAGCGACATTCCCGGCTGTAGGATCGATCGCCCAGGAATAAAGGTCTGGTTATTCGAGTCAACTTCCATCGCGTCCTGTGCCTGTTCGGCTTCTCTTTCAGCATCCGGTCGCCCATCGACCCCGGCCTCCATGATTTCGTCCTCGGACTCATACTCATCCTCAAACTCGTCTTCAAAGTCGAGGGTCGCTTCACCGTTGGCGCTTGCGTCAGGCCGTTGCCCTGCCTTGAGAGACTCTAGGGTTTCCTGGTCCTCGGCTGTGCGCTTCGACATGTTTGCTATTGGAGGAAAAGATCAGGTATTCAGTCAATTTCTTGCCCGTCTGAGCGCACTTCAGAAATGTGGTGCACAGGCGCAGACAGGCGTAGACACTCCGCACTATGATGTGCAAATTATTTTTTGTTTTTTTACTCCAATTACTGACATAAGCATCGAGTACGGCGGAGTGCTAGCAGCACAGAAGTAGTCCGTGCATGTCGCGGTTGAGTAAAAGACTCTCTCCCTTTACTGCGAGTCTGGGAGAATGCTTCCAGCCATTGACCTTGAAGCCAAAGTCCGCCTATCCATTCTATCTCGTCCGCTTGAGCATAGTTCGGTGTCACCGGGCGCCTTGTAGAAGTATCATGTTGCATAAGTTACCCAGTTACAATGGAAATCCTTCAGGCTGGACCGGGTGAACGTTGAACGTGATGATGTATGTAGAACAACCACTTGACGCCGTTCCACCGGAAACAGGGTATACAAAGACGGTGTTGAATTACTGTCACCGTGATCACTGGTTAGCCGTCTCATTGCCGATTGCACAGTTTAGGTGCACTGATTCCACAATGCGTCGTACTGTACGTACGAAGTGTGCCAAATACCCCGGATCATGCTCGAAATGGATGTCTAGCCTCGGCTCTTTCTCACCCGTCGTCCTCCACAGTTTGCCTGCGCCCGGCCAGCGAGGGAAGGACTTAAATCCTCTGCATGCGCTGTACGGAGTACTTGGTACCGGGTACAGTAAGAAACCAATCGAGTCTACCGACGGTCGTGTATATGAAAGACGGGCCGTCGCTCGTGTAAGATTGCTATTGTGATCATAGATCAAGAGGATTCAAAAGCATACACTCTCTGCAGCTCTTTCCAGCTGAAGCGCAAGACACATACAGACGCATTCATTTACTTGCTCACGCACGTCCTACGTTATAACGGGATATCCCATCATCATATCAACGCATCACGGTATCTCGAGATATCGATCGGGTCCTTCTGTCGAGCACGTTGTAGTGTTTCCATAAACGACACAGTCGGCGGGACGACTGCCTTGAGCTGAGATCATAACCACAACCAAGAGCACGAAGATGACGGCCGTCCCCAAACGACGCCTCGCGGCGCTCTCGAAGCAGCTCGCCGAAGGCATTCCCTCGGAGGGCACATTCGAAGAAATACCCCGCGTGAGACATGTCGCAGACAGCTCGACGGGGCCAAGGGTGAAGGGAAAGGTCGCCATCGTGACAGGTAGGTGGGATCAGCAAGAGCACACATATATATTGTGGCAATACCTTTCTGACGCTCCGTGGCAGGATGCAATTCCCCCATTGGCATCGGTCGAGCCACCGCGCATCAATACGCCCAGAACGGCGCCAAGGCAGTCTACATTTGCGATTACGATGACAAGTACCTGGAAATGCATAAGCGGGAAATGGCCCAGTTATACCCCGATGTCGAGATCCACCCGGTCAAGGTTGACGTTGGCGAGGAGTCGCAAGTCAAGGCGGTGGTGGACCAGGCGTTGGAGAAATACGGTAGATTGGACATCATGTTCGCCAATGCAGGAATCACTGGCGTGCCCAGTACTTTTGAGCATATCTCGAGTCAGGCGTTCATGAACACAATGCGGGTCAACGCTCTGGGCGTGTTTTTGTGCTTCAAGTATGCGGCCATTGCCATGCAGAAGACGGGCCCGGAGAAGAAGTATCCTGGCGGGAGTATCATTGGTACGGCGTCGGTGGCTGGTCTCAGGTCGAACGCAGGAGGCACGGACTACTCGGCCAGCAAGGCTGCTGTGGTGTCGTTGGCCCAGACCATGTCATACCAATTGAGTGGTACGGGAGTCCGGGTCAATGCAATCTGTCCTGGTGTGATCGAGACGGGTATGACCAAGCCCATGTATGATCAAGCACGAAGTCGAGGGACGGAGCGAAAGATCGGTCAGTTGAATCCGCTCCAAAGGGGTGCGGTGCCCGATGAGGTCGCCAGAGTCGCTCTCTTCTTGGGAAGTGACGAGGCTAGCTACGTCAATGGGCAGGCCTGGGCAGTTTGTGGTGGACTGAGTGCTGGACATCCGTTCGTACCAGGCAAACTTGCTTGAGAGATGTCATAGACTCCGTATCGAAAACTCAGCCATTGAGATCTTTCTGAAGTACTTCCAAGACTTTCTTCTCGTCAATGCTGTGTAGGTCGACGACCTCGCCTTCTTCCAGCTCACCGTCTGGTGCGTATGTCGGCACGTTGGTGGAGACGTCCAGTCCATACAATTCATTGTACTTTGCCTCTGCCACAAAAGGCTCTGGCAATGCCTCCGGCGCCTCCCGCCGAATGTACAAGGTTGGAAATTCCAGGAGTGTCTGATTGCGCAGGACGTCAACCAGTTTCGAGTCTGCGGCAACTGGGATTAAGCATTTTACTTTCGACGTCGTATTGGGTTTGAAGAGGTAGTAGTGGATATCCTCCAGTGGTTGTGCCGCAACTCGTTGCCGCATATTGGTTTGGTCATTGTCCGACATATGTTCGACCATGGCCCCAGACTGGACTGGGGTGGGATCAGTTGACCGAAAACCTATGTCCAGTGGGACGTCTTGTGCCTTCTCTACACTCTCCTTACTGATTTGACTGTCTCCGTTTGCTTGAATAGATGGAACCTCCCGTTCTGCAACTGGCGCAGACTCTGTTTCAGAGGAGCCTCGCTTGCGTTTCTGGCTGTGCATAGGTTTCCGCGCGAACACACTTTGAAAAGCTTCCCCAACGGTGCTTGACTCGAACACAATCGTATTCCTTTTGCGGCCATCGTAGTGTATCCATTCAGTTGTCCATGCGACACCCTTTGATTCACCGGCCCAATGGGACTTGTTCTGCTTGTTCCTGGATAGGCCTTTGGGTGCCTTGATCAAGCGTATACCTCTCTCTTCGATAGCGCTGTCGAATTTGGACTTGCGATCGCGCCTGAGGCCACTTGGGGCCAGGTCAGTAGTGTTAATTGAACTCAGTGCGTCAGCTCGCTGGAGTGATCTTTCGACAGAAGTGAT